GGAACCTTCTCTAAAATCAACCACATACTAGGTGGCATAACAAACCTCAACAGATACAAGAGAATAGGAATAGTCCCCTGTATCTTATCAGACCAGCATGCTTTAAAATTGGAATTCAACAACAACAACACAAATAGCAGAAAACCTGCAAACTCATGGAAACTGAACAATGTGCAATTGCACCACTCCTGGGTCAAAGAATAAAGAAATTAAGGACTTTCTAATATTCAATGAGAATGAGGACACAACATACCTGAACTTATGGAACACCTTGAAAGCAGTGCTACGAGGGAAGTTCATTGCACTAAGTGCCCATATGAAGAAAACAGGATAGTCACATAAGAGAATTAACAGTGCAGCTGAAAGCCTTAGAACAGAGAAAAGCGAATTCACCCTGTAGGAGTAGACGCCAGGAAATAATCAACTTGAGGGCTGAAATCAACAAAATAGAAATCAGGAAAACAATACAAAAAAAAAAAAAATCAATGCAACAAAGAGTTGGTTTTTTGAGAAAATCAACAAGATAGACAAACCTTTATTCAAACTAACGAAAAAGCAGAGAGAGAACATGCAAATTAACAAAATCAGAAACGAAAAGGGAACATAACAATGGACACAGAGGATATCCAGACAATTTTCAGGTCATACTTTGAAAACCTGTATTCCACAAAAACTGAAAATTCAAAGGACATGGACAAATTTCTGGATAACTATCACTTACCAAAATTAAATCAAGAACAGACAAACAACTTAAATAGACTTATAACCGGCAATGAAATAGAAGCAGTCATTGAAAGTCTTCCAACCAAAAAAAGCCCAGGGGCAGATGGATTCAGTGCAGAATTCTACCAGACATTCAAGGAAGAACTAATACCAATACTCCTCAAAACTGTTCCACAAAATAGAAACAGAAGGTTCATTGCCAAACTCTTTTAATGAGACCACAATAACCTTGGTACCCAAGCCTCACATAGACACAACTAAGAAAGAAAACTACAGACCAATATCCCTGATGAACATCGATGCAAAAATACTCAATAAAATACTGGCAAACCGAATTCAAGAATACATCAGAGAAATCATCCACCATGACCAAGTAGGCTTAACCCTGGATTGCAGGGATGGTTTAACATATGAAAATCTATCAACGTGATCCACCATATAAAAAATTGAAAAAGAAAAACCATATGATTATCTCCGTAGATGCTGAAAAAGCCTTCAACAAAATTCAACACCCCAGGTCTTGGAGTGATCAGGGATAACAGGAACATACCTAAACATAATAAGAGCATATATACAACAAACCAACTGCCAACATCAAACTTAAGAGAGAAACTTAAGCCAATTCCTCTAAAATCAGGAACAAGACAAGGCTGCCCTCTCTCTCCATATCTCTTCAATATCATACTTGAAGTTCTAGCTAAAGCTATAAGACAACAAAAGGAGATCAAGCAGATCCAAATTGGAAAGAAAGAAGTCAAACTGTCTCTATTTGCAGATGATATGATAGTTTACATAAGCGACCCAATAAACTCTACCAGGGAACTCCTACAGCTGATAAACACCTTCAGCAAACTAGCAGGATACAAGATAAACTAAAAAAAAAAAAAAATCAGTAGCCCTATTTTTTTTCAGACGACAAAGAGACAGAGAAAGAAATCAGAGAAACATCACCCTTTATAATAGCCACAAGCAACATAAAGTATCTTGGGGTAACGCTTACCAAACTAGTGAAAGACCTATATAATAAGAACTTTGTGGCTCTAAAGAAAGAAATTAAAGAAGATACCAGAAAATGGAAAGATCTTCCATGCTCTTGGATAGGTAGGATAAACATAGTAAAATGGCAATCTTGCCTACAGCAATCTACAGATTCAATGCAATCCCCATTAAAATCCCATCACAATTCTTCACTGACCTTGAAAGGATAATAATCAACTTTATATGGAAAAACAAAAGACCCAGGATAGCCAAAACAACCCTATACAATAAAAGAACTTCAGGAGGCATCACCATTCCTGACTTTAAGCTCTACTATAGAGCTATAGTTCTGAAAACAGCTTGGTATTGGCACAAAAATAGACAGGTAAACCAATGGAATCAAATTGAAAATCCTGATATTAACCCACACACCTATGAACACCTGATTTTTCGACAAAACAGCTAAAATTATACAATGGGGCAAGGACAGCATCTTCAACAAATGGTGCTGGCACAATTGGATGAGGTATGTAGAAGACTGCAGATAGACCCATGTCTGTCGCCATGCACAAAATTGAATGGACCAAATGGATCAAAGACCTCAACATCAATCCAGCCACACTGAACCTCTTAGAAGAGAAAGTAGGAGGTACCCTTGAACAAATTGGTATAGGAGAACGCTTCCTGAACATAACTCCAGAGGCATAGACACTGAGACCAACAATTAATAAATGGGACCTCTTCAAACTTAGAAGCTTCCATAAGGCAAAGGACACAGTGGACAAGACCAAACGGCAGCCCACAGACTGGGAAAAGATTTTCACCAATCCTATATCCGACAAAGGACTGATCTCCAAAATATACAAAGAACTCAAGAAACTAGTCAACAAAACACCAAATAACACTATTAAAAAAATGGGGTACAGAACTGAAGAAAGAATTCTCTATAGAGGAAATCAAGAAGGCTGAAAGACACTTAAAGTGCTCAACTTAGCTATCAGGGAAATGCAAATAAAAACAACTTTGAGATACCATCATACTCCTGCCAGGATGGCTAAAATTAGAAACACCAATGATGACTCATGATGGAGAGGATGTGGAGAAAGGAGAACACTCCTCCACTGCTGGTGGGAGTGCAAACTCGTACAGCCATTTTGGAGATCAGTATGGCTGTTCCTCAGGAAAATGGGAATTAGTTTACCACAGGACCTGGCATTTCCCCTCTTAGGCATATACCCAAAGGATTCACATCCATGCAACAAAGACACCTGTTCAACTATGTTCATAGCAGCACTATTTGTAATAGCAAGAACCTGGAAGCTACTTAGATGCCCCTCAATTGAAGAATGGATAATGAAAATGTGGCACATCTACACAATGGAATACTACTCTGCAGAAAAAAATAATGGTATCTTGAAATTCGCAGGCAAGTGGATGGCACTTGAAGAAACCATCCTGAATGAGGTAACCCAGTCACAAAAAGCGGAACATAGTATGTACCCACTCATATATGGATTTTAGACCTAGATCAGAGGATCACCAGCCTATAATTCACACCACCAGAGGAACTAGGATACAAGGTGTATTCTAAGAGATTCATATAAAGTCCCTCACAGAACCAGGAAGGGACAAGTCCCCCCCAGAGCACAGGGGAAGTGGGGGGGGGGCAGTGAATGGAGAGAGAAGTAGGAGAAAACGAGGGGGAGGAAAGGAAAACATGTGCGACCAGGAAGATTGAGCCCGGTTAGGAATAGAAGACAGGAGAAGAGAGAGAACATAAAAAAGGGAGCCAATATTGGTTTGAAGATAAAGTTGAACACAAAGAAAGGTCTAGAGAACAACAAGACTGCCACCAACTAACAATTTGAGCTTCTATGGAAAGGCTACCATAAATGCCCTTCCTGGATAGTGAGATCAACAACTAACTTATCCATGGAGCCCTCAACTAATGCCTGTTGGAAACAGGAGCAAACGCCCAGATATAAACACTGAGTCAAACTAGAACCCAGATGTAAATGGAGAGGATGAGACCAGACTGCAGAAACACATAGAGACAGCTGACCTGAACAAGGAGGAGCTAACAGGCCCCCAGACTGATCGATAGCTGGGAATCCAGCATGGGACTGACTCAGGCCCCCCTGAATATGGGTCTCAGCCAGAAGGACTGAACAGTCTAAGGGACCTCAGACAGTGGAGCCAGGATGTATCCCTGGTGCACAAAAGGACCTTGCAAACACATCTCCCATAGAGGGATAACTGCCTTAACCTAGAGACAGGAGAGAAGCCCTAGTCTCTACTTCACATGACCTGTCAGATCTACATGACTCCAACTGGATGGCATTCCCCTACATATGGAATTGGAGTTGGGGGAAGGGAGGGGAGGGTGGTTAGGGTGCATGTGAGAGGGCAGAGAGGGTAAAAGGGAGGGAGAGAGGGAGGGAGAAAGAGGGAGGGAGAGGGAACTGGGATCAGCATGTAAAATAATAAATAAAATGCTTTGACTACAAAATTTAAGTTCAAGGACATGTTACTGGGGAAAAGAATTTCTATTTTTGTTTCCACAGAAAATGAAAAGCTGTGGATTCCTTCCAGGCTAATGTGGTTTGATCAAGCCAGACCGCCTGAAACAGAGTACCAGGTGATCCTACATTCAAAACAGCTGGACAAAGCAGCCTTGCAGACTACAGCCAGGATTTCTGCACCTTCTTAGAATCCCCCATGACAGCGCCCCTTACCAGCTGGAAGTAGTTTGGAAAGAATGACGCCCAAATTCCTAAATATTGTCTATAAATGTTTTTTTCATTTAAATGGACTTGGTTATAATAAGTAAGAAAGGTGAACTACTTTCCAGGAAAGCACTGATGGTAACTGCTTACTGAGCATGCTCTCTGCCAGGAGGCTGATAGTCATTAACCATCCCAGATAACTGATGAGGAGGAAGAAGCTTAGGAGGGTGAGTAAGTGCTGTGTAAGTGATGGATTTAACCAGGATTGAACTGTGGGCAATCAAATACAGAGCTCCAGGTTCTGAACATTTACCACAGACATCTCCCCCCCCCAATCTGTATAATGTGTTAATTTTTATAAGATTTTAAAATCCAGTTAAGGCCCAGTGTGTTGGAGGCATAGGCCCATATTGGGCCTGGGGATATAGAGGCAAGATAAGGCCAATCTGGTTCACATAGCAAGTCCTTATCAGAAAAAAGGCAAGTGGAGGCATCTTACCTAAAACTGGTAGATGCAATTACGTGAGTCAATGACACTCAGTAACTCAGAGCATGTTTGTCATTTGCTCATCTTCACTGTTGGATATGCAGTACATCCTCTTTCTTCTTCTTCACTATGAAGGCAACATCATTTTTCAGCTTCTGGAAGCTAGATTCAAGCAGGTCCTCCAAATCCTTCAGCATCTGTGACTGTTGGTGCACAAAATGTTGAAGCATTTGCTCATCTTCCTAAAAAAAAAAAAAATCAATGAAGGAAAAAAATGACAGTAGACTTCATATGACTAAGGTTAAAAAAAAAAAAATACTTGGTGTGTGTGAACGAGGTATCCAGTAAATGTTGCCATGAGGCTGAAGAGCTGCACTGGACCATTCTGAGCAGTAGGGACCTAGAGCAGGCGCTTCAGGAAGGGCATTTGAATCTACCAAGAGTAGATGAGATAGATCACAATTTCACATTGGAATGCTGTGTTGTGTCAGTAATGTAGACATTCTGAAGCTTGCACAAGAATTCCCAGAGGCAGGAATTTGCTGATGTCTTCCGTGACCTGTGGAAGCCAAGTGCCCCTGCAAAGGTTTTCCAGAGTTCAGGGAGCATCAGCAGAGGGGAGGGTGGGGCAGACAGGTGACATAGCACTGGGCTCCAGTTTGTTTCCTGGATTGTCAATAGATTCCTGCCTGTTTGGATCCTTTGCACATTATTTCCAATGAATTTTCTGCATTCTTTCTAGTTCAAAACTCATCATTTATATAGTCTGAACATTAATACTTGGTATTTATGGCCTAGCAGTCAGGAAGTTTCAGGTTTTAGAGTATTTTGGCTTTTTGAGTGAGAGATGTTCATCCAGTTAAAGTCCATGAAAACATCCCCAAATCAAAAAAACAAAACAAAAAACCCTGTAACATTTTAGATAAGGGATAGCTGACCTATGATACAAACTGGTTTGTACTTATTTTTATGTGTAGAGTGGGAAGGAGGGTGTGTATGTAGGGACCTGGGATCAGCCTCAGTTGTTCATAAGGAGCAGTGCACCTTGGCTTTTTGAGTCTGACTAGCCAGTGAGCTCTAGGGATCCTCTGCCTGTCTCTCCCTAGGACTGGAATTTTACCCACTTGCTATCATGCTTGGCTTTTGTATGTGGTTCTTTGGTTAAACTCAGGCCCTCATGCTTTTGCTGCAGGCGTTCTACCAGCTAAGCCATCTTCCCAGTCCCTCGTGCTAATTCTTAACTTTATTTATGGGGCCTGTTTGAGTTGGGATTTCTATTGCTTCCCTCATTAAAATCCAAACACAATTCTTCAGAGACCTTGAAAGAACAATACTCAACTTCATATGGAAAAACAAAAAATCCAGTATAGCTAAAACAATCCTGTGCCATAAAGGAACTTCTGGAGGTATCACCATCCCTGACTTCAAGCTCTGCTATAGAGCTATAGTCATGTCATAAAAAACACCTTTGTATTGCCATAAAAACAGATAACATAGACCAATGGAATTGAATCAAAGACCCTGACATAAATCCACACGCCTATGTCTTTGACAAAGAAGCAAAAATTATACAATGGAAAAAATGAAAGCATCTTCAACAAATGGTGCTGGCATTAACTGGATGTCAACATAAGGAGGATCCTGCACAAAACTTTAGTCCAAGTGAATAAAAGACCTCAACATAAATCCAATTATACTGAACCTGATAGAAGAAAAAATGGGAAAGTAGTCTTAAACAAATTAGTGCAGGAGACCACTTCCTGACTATAACACCAATAGCATAGACACTGAGAACAATAAATGGTACCTCCTGAAATGGAGAAGCTTCTATAAGGCAAAGGACACAGTCAACAAGACAAAATGGCAGCCTACAAAATGGGAAGATATTCACCAACCCCACATCTGACAGGATTGAGCTCCAAAATATATAAAGAACTCAAGAAACTCAAAGCATCAAAATACCAAATAATCCAATTAGAAATGGGGTACAGATCTAAATAGAGAATTCTCAACAGAAGAATCTCAAATGGCCAAAAGACACTTAAGGAATTGTGCAACATCCTTAGCCATGAGGGAAATACAAATCAAAATGACTCTGAGATACCATCTTACCCCTGCCAGAATGGCTAAAATTAGAAACACCAATGACAACTTATGCAGGAGAGGATGTGGAGAAAGGGGAACACTCCTACACTGCTGGTGAAAATACAAACTTGTACACCCATTTTGGAGATTACTATGGTGGTTCCTCAGGAAAATGGGAATCAGTCTACCACAAGACCCAGCAATCCCTCTCTTAAGCATATTTCCAAATGATCCTTATCCACGCAACAAAGACATCTGTTCAACTATGCTCGTAGCAGCATTATTTGAAGTATCAAGAACCTGGAAGCAACCTAGATGCCCCTCAACTGAAGAATGGATAAAGAAGGTGTGGCACAATTATACAATGGAATACTACGGAATACTACTCTGCAGAAAAAAATAATGGAATCTTGAAATTCACAGGCAAATGGATGGAACTTGAAGAAACCATCCTGAATGAGGTAACCCAGTCACAAAAAGAGGAACGTGGTATGTACTAGCTCATATATGGATTTTAGACAGAGCAAAGGATCACCAGCCTATAATTCACACCGCCAGAGAAACTAGGATACAAGGAGGAATCTAAGAGACTCGTACAAGATCCCTCACAGAAGGGGAAAAGATCTCCTGAGCATATTGGCGGGGGGCAATGAGTGGAGAGGGAGCTAGGAGAAAGAAGGGGAGAAAGGAAAGCTCATGGGACTAGGAATATTGAGTTAGGGGAGGAATAGATGAGAAAGAGAGAGAGAGAGATCATAAAAGAGGAGCCATTACAGGTTTGAAGAGAAAACTGAACCTAGAGAAATGTCCAGAGACCTACAAGACTGGCCCCAACTAACAATCTGAGCAACAGTGGAAAGGCTACCATAAATGCCCTTCCCTGATAGTGAGATTGATGACTAACTTACCCACCATCATAGAGCCCTCATCTAGTAGCTGATGGAAACAGAAGCAGACACCACAGCTAAACACTGAGCTGAACTGGAATCCAGATGCACAGAGGGAGGACAAGACCAGGCTACAGAAACCCATAGAGACAGCTGACCTGAACAAGGAGGATCTAATGGGCCCCCAGACTGAAAGCTGGGAATCCAGCATTGGACCGACTCAGAACCCCTGAACATGGGTGTCAGTTAGAAGGTCTGGGCAGTATAAGGAACCTCTGACAGTGGAACCACCTCCTGTAATCAGATTGTTGACGACCCCTAACTGTCTTCAGAGATACTCTATTCAGTAACTGATGGAAGTAGATGCAGAGATCCACAGCCAAGCACTGAGCTTAAGATCCAGGAGTTTTGTTGAAGAAAGGGAGGAGGGATTATATGAGCCAGGGGGGTCATGACAGGGAACCCACAGAGACAGCAGACCTGAGTTTGTGGGAGCTCATGTACCAACAGTTAGGGAGCAACCATGGGACTGACCTAGGCCCTCTGCATTGTGTGACAGTTGTGTAGCTTGGTGCCTTTGTAAGGCTTCTAGCAGTAAGACTGGGACCTGTCCTTGGTGCTTGGCTGGGTTTTGGGAGCCTGTTCTCACCTAGCATTGATGCAGGGGAAGGAACTAGGTTCTGCCTCCACTTGATGTGCCATGCTTCATGCTCTGTTAAAGCCCATGGGAGGTCTGCCCCTTTCTGAATGGAGATGGAGGAGTGGAAGGGGAGATGGATAGATGGGAAATGGGCGGCAGGGGGGAGGGGAAGAGAGAAGATGGAGAAATGGCAATCAGTATGTAAAATAAATGGAAAAAAGTTATTTAAATAAAATTAAAAAAGGGTATTTGTCCCAAGGCTGAGCAAGCCAGCCTGTCACAGTTGGGCACCAATGACAAGAACTCATGTTTGCTGAGTTCCTCTTGCATGCTGGAAAAAAATGATACTTTCTATTAAAAAAAAAAAATTCTGTTGCTGTGAAGAGACACCATAACCACAACAACTTGTATTTTCTGCCTCACTGTGCTAACTACAATCTGAAATTGCAGGGATAGATTAGCCAGAACGCTAGACTCGGTCAGTTGTTAGTCATGGGGCACTCCATCTGCCTAAATTTCCCTGATGAGAATGAGGACTGTCCATTTGATTTCTAGTTCACTAAGAATTTGTTGTTGCTGTGTTTTAAGACAGGGTTTCTCTGTGTAGCCCTGGCTGTCCTGAAACTCACTCTGTAGACCAGGCTGGCCTCAAACTCAGAGATCCACCTGCCTCTGCCTCCCCAATGCTGGGATTAAAGGTGTGTGCCACCACCACCCAGCTAGGACCTACACTTTTAAGGCAATAATGTACTCATCCGCTCACACAGTCAGATCTGTAGGCTTAATTGAGTGTTTGGGTGTTGCCGAGAGACTGGGTACTCACGGGAGGTCTGCACTGCCTCAGTCTGAGCAGCTGTCCTCTGGCCATGCTCATGCCTCGATAGAACACCTTCAGAGCTCTGGCCAGTTGTGCATCACTGCTGGCTTGCTGAGCACACATTTGCGTAGCCTCTCTGGCTGTTGGCAGCTGTGACATCAACCCAACTCTCTCTGGATTATCTGGCTCCTGGGCTAGGGCACACAAAAGTATTTTCGTCTGTATTCAAGCATTTCTGTACCTTTTTTTCTTTCTTTTCTTTGAGACATGGTTTCTCTGTGTAGCTCTAGCTGTCCTGAAACTAACCCTGTAGACCAGATTGTCAAACTTGAAGATCTAACTGCCTTTGCCTTCTGAATGCTAGGATTAAAGGTGTGTGCCACCACAATCAGCTTTGGTGACATTTTATGTCTTCACTTATCAGCATATGTCTTTGGACCCACTCAAAGAAATCTTAAGGGCAAAAGAAAAAAAGTTTTTTTATTTATGGTCTTAGATATAAATCAACTCGTTGAGATTTCCTATTCTTCTGGAGCTGGAGGTATGACTCAACAGTTAAGAGCACTGGCAGCTCTTCCAGAGGACCTAGGTTCAATTCTAAGTGTCCACATGGTGGCTTACAACCCTCTGTAGCTCCAGTCTTAGAAGATCCATCTGACATCTTCTACTGGCCTCTGTGGACATACATACATTGAGGCATACATAATACATACTCATAAAAATGTTGTTGTTGTTTTAACTAATTCCTATTCTAGACAAATAGCACATCCCAAACATGGGCATTGGGAATGAGATGAACCACTCGAACAATACCATTTCTCACCCTGTTGAGCAGAACCAGTTTTTTCCAGTGAGGCCTTGAGAAACAGGTTTTCTTCCCTAAGGGCTCTGTTAACATCTCTGAGTAGCTCAGTCTCCTGCTCCAACTTGATCAGCTTGTGATACATTTCTGGCACCTGGTTTGACATGACCTACAGAAGATACGTCAACTCAGCTTTTGTGGGATTACCTGTATAGCCATCCAGACCTCATGTAAACAAGGATGGAATGGGAAGGCAAGGACACACAGAAAGGCACAAACCCCACTTTCACTGAAGGGATGACTCTTACGGGGCTGTCACCAAGCTCATTTGGCCCCTTGTGATCTGCCATGTATACACACCTGGCTCACAGTCTTCACACTGGAAAATTTCTTGGTATCTACCATGATGTGGCTCTCTCCTGGGAGCAAGATGTCCAGATGAGAGAACCCTAGCTCGGCACAGCCCTCTGCAGTGTGGGAGAGAAACTAGAAACTAGAGTCTGAGCTGTGGAGCTAAAGTGAACACCAAAGATGGCGCTTACCCACTGCTCCGCAGACACTTCCCCTTCCCCCACCTCATCCCCTTCAGCGTTAGATCCAGTTGAATAGCACACACTGTAGGAAAGAAATGAGTGAAAACATTACCTTGGAGGCCCCACAAATCAACAATTAGGGCATTTGTCAGTAAGTAATCCAGAAACTCTCGGGATGCACTCAAGGCTACAACATGGACAGTCTCTTCAATTCTGGGATTCACACTTTTCCACACAGGCTTGGTATACAGAGTGTTTGGGAGATCATAAATTTTGTACCTGAGGCAAGAATGGAAAACAACTGAATACCAGAAGGGGAGTTTGGATCTAATGAATTTAACCCTTTCTGGTTGTGTCTGTACCATTGTAAGACATTTTACTTAACATAGTTTGGGCAATTTTTTTTTAATGACAATTAAAATGTCTGACCCTGATGCTTTAATCATGTAAGAGACTCAGGAACCATCCTAGTAATGGGGAGGGCCATGTGGCTTCTCTACCCGATGGAGAAAGTAGCCATTCTGCAGTTGAGAAAACTGAAAAACTTAAAATGTTATGATAAACTCATCTTGTAAAAGAAATAAGGCCCCTCCCACCAGGACCCACACCTGGGTGGTGTGCAGACCCGTACCCCATCTGAATGCCCCGGGTGGCATCTTCCTTTAGCCATTTGACATCAAGGCATCCAACAATGTGAATCTGGAAGTCGATCCTCTTGCCCAGTAGCTCCACAGGGTCAATAATCATGTCTTCCTCACCATGTGCCCTACAGACAAGAGTTGAACCTCAGTCTCTGGATTAGGCTGGACCCAGGCTAGTTAGCACTCAAATGTCTCAGGAGTGAAAGAGTCCTTAAGAGACAGACAGAGATAGATGATTGCTCTGAAGAAGGGTTGGGTGCTAATCTGCTGTGGAATCCATTCACTGAAGAGCCAGTTCTTCATGGTGCTTCTGGAAAAGATACCATCTCCAACAGCTCGAAGCCCAGAGAAGAGTCCAAACATCTTCATGCGATGAATGTGTGTGGATATGGTGCTGAACCCACACTGAAGACTGAGGTTGGTCCCACTGGGGAGGGGGAACGGCCAGCTGCCTGCTCAGATGCTGCAGCCTAATTTGTCATCCACCTCGGTAAGTCATTCATAGTCCAGTGTCGACATCATCCCTCTATCCTCAGAAACTGACTTGGGACAGCTTTCTAACTGGGGACCTCTCTTATGTCAACCATGTGTAAATCTAAAACTTAAGCACAGAATATCATGTTGTTCACTTTCGCTGTGACCACTGGGCAGCTGAGATAGCCAGAGTAGACAGGTGACTAGCCTGTGACCTGAAGTCCCTATAGACACTGAGGTTGTGGTCAGTTGGCCTTTTGGACCCAGCACACTGAGGCTCTCCTACTCCCTTCTCAAGTGGGTTTCCTTTCATCAAGACAAAAGGTCACACTGGCTGCTTGTACCCAGCCCAGGACTCATGCCACCTCTGTGCTTAGGATTGCTAAAATACTTTTATATAAATGTCCTATGTCCTAAAACAAAATACTAAATACTAAAACAGGAGTTGAGGAACAGCACAGATGGAGTCCAGATACCTAACACTCCCCTCAAGCCAAGGAGCAAAGTTCTGGCCTCTGCCTAGAACCAACTTTCTGCTTCTGGCTCCGATGCCCACTAAGTATGACAAGGCATCCTGTGGCGTGGATGCCATACCTCCAAGGCACCAGGAGTAGGCTGTGGGTAAGCATGTCTACAACATAGGCTTCTTTCCCAGGTGTCCCCTCATAGAACCAACCCAGGCCTTTGGGTTCAGTGTTCCTTACTCCATCTTCTGCTTTATGGGATTGTCCTCCTCATTCCTGGGTTCCCCAGGGCAGTGATGAGCCATCTCTGATGCTGGACATTTGGCAAGAATCTGATTCAACAAGGCCAAGTCATAAATGAGCTCATTCACTTGTCTCATTGGTAACCCCTTAAGGGTTCCCTCCCCTCATGAGAACCCGGGCTCTTTCTGAACATTCTGGGAGGGGACCGAGACTCACCGTCCCTCGGGGGAGCAGGGGGTGATTTGGATATGCAGCACCGCCTCCTCCAGGCCATCGCAGTTCAGAAACTCCACCTGCTCCTCCAGCATCATGCAGTAAGCCAGGGAATGCAGCCAGATGTGCGCTGAGCCCAAGTGGACAACCTCCACAGGGTCCCAGAAAGGGTCATCTTCCTGAGCCACCTGGCTGTCTTCTCTCTCTAGGAAGCGCTGGTAAAGTTCTCCCATCAGGGATTTCCTATTGATAAACTTGGCTTTTGACCAAATCCATACCTGGGGATGCAAAGGGCATCACCCAGCATCTTAAATTACTTTATTTCTGTGAAGAGACACCATAATCAAGGCAACTTGTAAAAGAACATACTCAACTGGGGCTTGCTTACAGTTTCAGAGGGTTAGGATGTGATCATCATGAAGGAAGGGTGGCTGAGGTAGATAGGCATGGCCCTGGAGCCGTGGCTGTGAGCTTTATTTACATCGTGATCCAAGGTGGAGACAGAGAGAGACAGACATACACACACAGAGACAGACTGGGCCTTCCATGAACTCCATGAACTTCCATGACATACCTCCTCCAACAAGGAGACACCTAATCCCACAACCGTTCCATCAACTGGAATCTAACTATTCAAATATATGAGCCTATGGGTGCCTTTATTATTTGAACCACCAGGCCATGTGTGTTCTTTCTTTTGCTGCTTAAACAACCTATCTTTTTTCCATTCTGCTCCTCCTAACGGGTGGAGTTTTGGGAAGACCACATACTACTCTCATCAAACCGTTTTGTGAGGCCCTTCCAGAACACCATATCTAATGTGATGAAAATGGAGCCAGAGAGGTAATGTGTGGCTCATTAAAGATAGAAAGGTCATGAGCCAAGGTATATTGGTAGTGTCTAGAAGTTGGAAAAAGCAAGGAAATAGATTTAACTGCGGGTTTTTTCCAGAACAACATGGCTAAGCAAGACCTATGTTAGACTGTCTGCCTCCAGAGATTGAAGGTTATAACCTTGGGTCATTAGTGAGTGAGAGTTTGTTATATAGACAATAGATGACAAATACAGGACAACTTGCCTGCAGAAAAGCCAAGTGGCAGCATAGCAGATGCACAGCCCTGAGCTGGGGGACAACCCCTTCCGCCTTTCTTGTAGCTAAGCACACAGGAATGTTAGCTCCTTTTCTCAGACACCCCTAAAGGGGCCATTCTTGTTCAGGGGTTCACCAGTGAGCAACAAGTCCGGGACATGAATTGCTCTCCTCTCACTGGGCAAGGGCAAGGCCTCTGTGAATTACCAGCTATGGAGAGAAGCTTACACTGCAATATACAGAAACCCAGATTTTCTTGACTGAAAATGTCCCACTAGAGGTGGTATGAAGTAAAACCAACAACCTCTTCTCTGGGCAACCAGAATAAGAACAAAAGCCAATGGACAAGGGCAATGGAACATCCCCTTCAATGGGACATTTGCACAATAAACAGTTTTTGCTGTCTCTCTGGCCAAAGCACCATAGAGAGACTGTATTTCTCTCTCATGCACACACAAAGAGACATGGTCACCTTTACCATCTGGGTAAACTTCCAGACCCTCCTTTTTTTGTTAATGTCCAGGCAAGGTCTCTTTGTATTCCTAGCTGTCCTGGAACTTAGTATGTATACCAGGCTAGCCTCCAAGATCCACCTTCCTCTGCCTCCCAAGTGCTGGGGTTAAAGGGTATGCACCACCACCTTGGATCTCTGAGTTGGAGGCCAGCCTGGTCTACAGGCAGAACTATACAGAGAAACCCTGCCTCCAAACAAAACAAAACAAAACCAAAAAAAAGCAGGTTATAGTCAGGTCTGTAGAGCATTTATTAATTAGTGGTTGATATAGGAGGATGGAGCACATGGTTTGGACCACCATGGGTTGGTGGTCCTGGGTCCTGTAAGAAAGCAGGCTGAGCGAACCATGAGGAGCTAGCAAGCAGCAGTCCTCCATAGCCTCCAGGTTCCTGCCCTGCGAGTTCCTGCCCTCACTGCTTTCAATGATAAACTTACATGGGAGTGTGAGTAAAATAAGCCCTTTTCTCCCTAAGCTGCCTTTAATTGCCATGTTTTGTCACAGCTGTAGTAACCCTAAGTATAATGTCACCAGAAAGAATCCTATGAGAAAAGGACACACGACAAAGGGTCCCCAGACTCAGCTCCCACTCAGAGAACATCTAGGATTTTGTCTAGCTTTCCTGGATGCAGCTGGCAAAATGCCCTGTGTACTTTGGAAGCCTCCCAAGAAGATGCATACCTGCCTGCTGATGGTGTCCTACCTCGTGAGTCCTTGGTTTGGTCACCTTCACCATGACCTCTTTCTGGAGGTCAAAGCCCCTGGAATCCAATGCTGCTAAGTTCTTCACCTTCAATTCCATTTTCAGACCCTGGTAAAGAGACATCTCGCTGGACAATCCCCTAGTTCGTATTCTTTTGGCAGTCTCTTCCCCATTCTTCCCATCCTTGGATTTGTAAAAGAACATGGCCCATCTCTTCTTGTTCTGTGGAGTTCCTGCCCACCCAACAGCAGAGCACCAGCACAGTCCCAGTACCCTGGAACTAACATTTGTGTTTCCTAAGTTGGTTAATTCCCTCCCAAGGCTCCTACTGACTGGGGTCAGTAACCCCAGCCCAGGTCCCCTTTGTGGCTTATCAGCAGCCCCTGAGATGTTGGAGAGGCACTGGGGACATCAGAGGTATCCCCAGTAAGTGTTGGTCTAGGATGCTGGTGGCTCTGATAAGTAGAGCAGGTGCTCAGCTTGCTCCCAAGGCCTGAGGGTTAGGGCTAGTCTAGTTCTGTCACTAGCTCTCAGCACCATCACGGGAAAAAGCTTCATCCTTCCCTAGGCTTTTTGGGACCTTATGTTGTGCCATCATCAGGAGGTGGAAGGTCACCTTCTCTAGCTCCTCACTCATCTGATTTGCTTCCTCAACCAATGGCATGAGTTTGATGTAGTCCTGGAACACAGCTAAGACGCTGGGGTCAGCTTGGCCATCTCTGGGGCTCATGGTACCTAGTGAGAGAAAGTTGAGTCTGATTCTTGTTCTATGATACTTTTCAGTTGTCACAAAACACACACACTCAGCTGTTAGAGTTGTTCATCACTACCTTGAAATTGTGGCTATCCTTATCCTTGATTTCAAGGACCAGTGTAGCTCTGGACTATCCAGGAAGGAGGGTTAAAGTGAGTAGAAGCCAGAGGAGGGGCTGAATCCTCAGTGGCCCAGCGAATAATCTGTTCTTACTCCAGTTGTGGGTGCTATGGATTAAGGGTCATAGCGACTATGGGAGGCCCTGATCCCCTTTCCCTACTTGGAGGAATATGGCCTTGTATTAGGATCTGTCTTCTCTTTAGAGACTCCCTGCCCATATGTCACCACTTCCCCATTCTGGGAAGGCATTCTGTATAGTCAGTTATGAAGAACTCAATGTAAGGTGGGTTATTTGTGGATAATCTTGCTTACAGTTGTGTGTTCGTGTACGTACAGATGTGCATGCAGAGAGCAAAGAAGGGTGTCAAGCGTCCTCTCTATCACTTTCTACCTATTTCCCTGAGGCAGCATCTCTCCATGAACTTAAACAAGCAGCCACCAAGCCGCACAGACATCCCTCTTGTCTCTGTCCCCCTGAGACTACACTCAGCTCTTTATATGGATGATGGTATAAACGCATGACCTCATAGCTATGAAGCTTGCATTCTTAGCCACTGAGCCATCTTGTTAACCCTGGCCTTGGATTTATACCAAAGACTTCAGAAGAATGTAGATGTGGTAGCATACACCTGTAATCCCAATACTCAGCAGGCTGGGGCAGGTTAACAAGTTGATACCAACTTGGGCTACATAGTGAGTTTCAAGATAGTCTTGGATACCTAGTGAGAACTGAAAAACCAAAACAAAGCTAGATATGGGGGGCTCATACCTGTAATCTCAGCACCCAACTGCCCCTCACCTGTGGCTTTATTAAGGTAAACAGAGCATAGGCGCCTCCACTGAGAAGCCAGCACATTACAAAGACCTCAGTGGGCTCCAGCCAACCCTGTGCCGGTGACTTGCGGCTGGGGGAAGAGGTGTGGGAAAGTGTTAGAACTCCCCACCTGAGGTGGACGGGCACAGGGTGAACCCTCTAAGAACCTGTGAGGAATCCAAGATGGTGTAGGGGTGGAGGATAGGTTGAGGGGCAAGGGGGTATCTTTCACTCGGAAACCTAGAGCTCCAACTTCTTCCAGACCAAGGCCTGGCCCTTGGCCCTCACCATCTCTCAGGGCCTGCCGTTGAGCCTTCCATTGGCTGAAGGCCTGTGTCTGACCCATTGATCTCCTGTCAACATTCTCACCTCCACTTGCTGCACGTGACTCTCTCCCATACCAAGCTTCCCCCTCATCCCTGGGGAACGGTTAGTGAGCTCAACACATCTTTGACAGGTACTCAGTTTTCTCTATTTCTATGAAGACCAGATTTGGGGGCTGAGATTGGGGCTCGGTGGAGTACTCGTCTAGCATGCAAGTTCTTGGGTTTTATGGTCAGCATGCACAGAGAGGGGGATGGAAAGGAGGAAGAGAGAGAGAGAGAGAAAGAGGGGGGAAGAGGGAGAAAGAGAGGAGGGGAAGGGATAGAAAAAGCATGCTCACATTCTAACTTCCTCCTGCATACTGTATTCTGACTCCATGAATTCACAGGGAGGTGCCCGAAGGTGGCACTTACCAAGCATGTCCACACTCACTCCCTCAGCAGCTGCCCGTTCCAGCTGGAAAAAGTCATAGTCGAATCTGCTCAAATCTTCACCACGTCGCTCTGAGGGAAACCCGATGTAGAGGAAGGCACTGTTGGATCCCAAGATGATGCGGTCCTGGGAGGGAGATCTTAGGCAGGAGAGGCCTGGCCTGCTCTGGGGACCCAGGCTTCTACTCAAGCTGAATGGAAAAGGGCTGAGAATGCTCTTGTCTCCATGACCACCCAGGCTCAGCCCTCTTCCGGGATGAAGTCAGAGCCTCAGAAGAAAGCACAGGTATGGAATGCACTAGGTCTAATTCAGACTAGGACCTCAGAAGAACCCTGAGAGGGCAGAAGATTCACGTGCAGTGGTTGTGCGGGGGCTTTTCGGTGAGGTAGACCACACTAAAGGAAGTCCTTGGAATGGGGCGTGTGCTGGACAGTGAAGCTCACCCAGTGCTTCTAAAAAGGTCGTGGCTGAGCTACCTGCCCATCTTAGAAGCGTGTGACCTCTGATATAGTGACTGGTGAAGGGAAAAGGCTTCGACTCCAAGGAGGGTGGCAAAGCAAGTGTGAACAAAGGGAATGACGTAAGCAGCAACCATCACTCGCCATCAGGCTCTCTCAAGCCTCAGATCTCATCAATGTGAGCACTGAGGAAGGGCACTGAGATCCATTCCCACCCTTCTTGTGTTATGGGTGATGTTTCTGGATGATGGGAACGGGTCTGTCACCCTAGCCTATTCAGTCTGGCAGAGAGAGGAAGCCCCAGGCCCGGCCAGCCCCTCTCTGTATGACAGGAGACATTTCACAAGACAGTCCTGTCCCCACCCCCTCCCCACCCTGCTACCATCTTGAGGGTCGCACTGAGGCACTTGTGTGGCTGGGCAAGGAACATACCAAATGCTGCAGCTTTGTCCTGTTGGTGACAGGTACCCCATTAACAACAACCTTGCACTTGTCATGTGGCATGACTGTCACTTTGCCATTCAAATTCACGAAGGAAGCATGTTTATCTGAAATTCTAAGACAAGAGTTTGTGTGGGTCACCCAGTAGGTTATGATTTCATGGCTGGCCCAGTTGCACAGTGAGATCCTCAGCTGTGATCAATGGGAAATCTCCCACTGTCCCTTACCCCACACAGTACTGTGGTTCATAGGCATTGGAGGCTACAGGGCCTGGCCCTGGGAGTGCAGGAGTTGGAAGTCAAGGAAGGTGCTAGTCTATTCACAGAACAAACCCTAGCTGAGGGCCCACAGCTGCCAGGAACCACCGGCTACTGAGACAATCACAAGTCCTTGAAAGCTACAAGCTAGCAATGGAGAAATGAAAGCAGGTTTCAATAGCCAAGATATAGAATAAACCCATGTCCATCAAAAGGCAGTAAAGAGATGCGCTTATGTACACCAGGGAAAACTATTTGTCCAGAAAGAAGGAATAGATTTCCATTACGTCAGCAATTAGATGCCGCTGGAGGGCATTATGAAATCAAGCGAGCACAGAAAGATAACATGTTCTCACCCTCATGAGGCCAAAACACTGGCGTCAAAGAGGCAAAGAATAGAAGAGTGCTTGCCATAGCCGGACTGGGGAGTTGGGGGGGGTTAATGGCCACGGAGTGGAGCTTGGTAGGAAGAGAGCCATCTGGTGTTCTACAGTATAAGTTTATGATGCTCTAAGTCATTAGCTGAATGTTTCAAACCCCCTAGTACATCTGATCACTAACTATTGCATGTGTGTTCTGAAAATCACTATACAGAACACACACGTAACTACGATGCCAATTAAAACATTACTTTAAAATTAATTTGAAAAGCTGCTTCAGTCAGAGTTTCAAATAGCTGCGGATGCAGTCACCTGAAGATAGTCATGAAAGGCCCTCCAGGATGTGCTTGGCCTTTCATCTCCCCTAGTTTTTGCAGGGTCTCCTTACTTCTGCTTGTGGGGTTCCGTCTTACAGGCCCTAGCCACTGGCGTCCCTTTTCTCCCAAGATGAGCGGAAGGAGACAGGCAGTGTGTACTGCACACTGGACTTCAGCAAGCACTCTTCATGAGTAGTGGGGGAGTTGCTGAGGGAAGTCTGGCAACTTTTTATATTGCCCATCCAGCAGGACTTAACAGCTTGGCATACCTATGACCGGATGGATGGCTTTCCAGAATCTTCTCTAGTGAAGCATGTTACAACCTGACAGTGCTGCTCAGAGGAGGAGGAAAGGGGAAACCCTGGCAACCCAGCACTCAGAGGAGGCGGCAGGGGGTTTCGTGTTTGAGGCCAACCTGGGCTACATAGCGAGATCCTGTCTCAAAACATCTAAAACATAACAAGACAGATCTCTGGGCTGAGAAGTCGGGGTCCTCTGGTTCAGGCCCCAGGTGCTGTTCTTACCCCAGGCCTTGAAGACGGATAGCATTTGAAGCAGCTCGGCCAACGTCACAGGAGCCTGTAAAGAGTTGGGACAGTTTTTCTTAAAATCGTCAGCATTTGGCCATGATGAAGTAATGTTCTTGGTAATTTGAAAGTGGCATTTTTTTTCTTCAGTAAGAGCATGCAAAGAGTTTGGTTTGTTTCCCAATTGGAGCTGCCAATGTAATATCGCCTGGACATGAGATTGCTTTATGGATAATTGTTTTACTTTCTGCTGTCTTTGTCTTAGGATCCCCAACTCGATGCAAATGCCACCTTCTTCGTGGGCCTTAGTGCTCAGTGACCCAGTGAAGCTACGCAGCAAAGGCTCCTGGAAGCTCCGTTTCTGTGGTAGCTGGCCCCTCAGAGTGCACTGTATACCCTACAGCTCCTGGCTGTCCTGCCACCATCATGCACACGGCTTAGTTAGATGTGCACAGTGGCCAGGGAGGGGAGAACAGGGATCGAATGTCACATATTGGAGAGACAGTCCAAAGGCTGCCACCTCCTCAGAAACCACCAGGCAAATGTGATGTGGCAATGCAGGGTGATGGGTAAATAACATGCAGTGCTGGTGTATGATAGGGACCATTTGCCTTAGCCAAGGAAAGAAATGCCAAGCCATGCTAAACCTTAAATGAGTTGATGATACTCAGTGAGACAGACACAAAAGATCTTGCTGCTATGAGGCACCATGCATGGAGAAATCCAGATACAAAAAGAATGGTGGTCGGTCACCCAGGGCTCATGGAGGGGCTCATAATCGATACAGAGTTTCAGTCTGAAGAGATGGAGAAAAGTTCTGGAAATAGATGTGGTGATGGTTAAGAACCTCTGTACTGTATGTACTCAAGAGTTGTTGAAGAAGTGAATTTTATGTTGTATGTTTTAATATAAAATTTAAAATATCAAAAAAAAAAAAAGAAAGGAAGAGAGGGGAGGGGAGGGAGCAGAAGGGAAGAGGGAGAAGGGGAAGAAGAGAGAGGGGAAGGGTATGGAATCAGAGCTGGCCTGGGGGGGTAAGGGTAGCAGGGGGATCAGGTACCATTGTGAATGAAGTACTTGAGGACCCCCGTGAGCTGCGGGTCCTCATTCACATTGAGAAGATGTGGGAGAGTCTTCACCATCTGCTGCTCCTAAAAAGATAGAGAAGCCTGTAGGTAGAGACCTGAGCCTGTCCCAGGAACCTCAGAGGAATGGGAGCTGTCCCAGCAGGCCTATTCCAGAGCCCAGGGGCCTCCCTTCCTTTCTCCCCCTTCTCCACCCCCACCCCCCACTTTGCCACCTTCTATTGCCCTCCCCTTCATTCTGCCCCACCTGTTTTCTTCAGGCCCCTGGCATCCTCGGGCTCCTTGCTCTCCACTCCCCACGGCCCCTCCCTGGGTCTCTCTTAACTTGCTGGTAGCACACTGCCCTCCCCCCTCAGTGACACCCAAGTACATTGAAGTCTTCCGCATAGACTAGGACCTTATTGTACTTATAGAGGACGGACAAACTGAGCAAACACCATGGCTTAGGATGATTTTTAAATCCTGAAGTTCCTTCTGATTAAGAACACGAAAGCCCTGGTGGTTGTTCACTGAAATAGTTTTGTAGACCTGTACCCTAAATTCCACTTAAACCTGGAATCACACAGGGCCACCCCCTCTGCAGGATGCTATTTAATGGGGCTTCTGCTGTCACTGAGTTTTGCCTAGACCTTCATGATCCTTGACCTCTAACTTGATCTGGGGCTGTTGACACCACAGACCACACCCTACTCCTACCACCTGAGGATTTATTCTGAGCTTCATGAACCTTCCTGAAGTCAAGTTGGATTTCCCCCTCTCTCCCAAGAGTTCTGAGTCCGGTCCATGACTTAGGCATTTGCTCGGAGCCTCGTGGCTAAGAATCAGATTCGAGTGAGAGTCGGGGTAGTAAAGGGAGGCAGGGAGGGCAGGCGTCTTCCTTACCCAAGGATGACATTCACAGCCCAGCCCAGAAGCTGGGTGTGACTCGGTGCTGCACAGGCCCTGGATTTCACCCCAGCACCCAAAACAATAATGATGGCTTGTTAGGATCTGACAGTGAAAGTGAATGCCAGCCAGGAGGGATGCAATAGCTCAAGCCAATCTATTGTCCCCAGAGGACACTCACACCAACAGCCCTAACATCCGTCTTCACTCATCAGAATGCCATGATCTCCTTGATCCCTTCAGGCCCCAACTCCATCCTCCCCACAGTCTGGAGCCTGACAGCAGAACAGGCAGTCAGCTGTGTGGAGGGAGAGTAGACAGTGTGAGCCTCACCTGCGAGAGAGCCGCGTACTGTTCCTCCCACTCCTTCCGCGCCTGCTCCAGCAGCCGGGCCCAGGTTCCCCGAGTCCCCAGCTGCCATTCTGCCAGGAAGCAAGCTGAGTGCTCTAGAGGGAGGGCGGGCCTTTAAGCATCATCACATTGAGATGTAGGGCGACTGTCGCTGAGGAGTGGGGAGCTGCTTCTGTGTGAAGACTCAATGGGCTCAGTCCTGCTGCATTAACCCTGGGGCAACTCAGATACCAGAACACAAAGGATGGTTCTCGGGGAAGCATGGAGCTCACAGGTCCCCTTTTCTCCTGTTCATCTGTGCAGGCATGTGACCATGTGTTCAGGGAATTCCCACCAACTGGAGGTTCAGAAAGAATTAGATGCTTCTGGTCACCCATAACTGTGACCGGCAGAGCCAGGTGTGTTCCCTTGGGTGTGTGTGCCTGCCCTGTGTGTGAGCAGTGTGGGAAAGCACGAGGCTGCTGTCTCACGTCAGCGGTAAACGAGGCCACACTGATGTCAAAGCTGGAATGTTTCAAGGTTGAACCAGAAGCTCCTTAAAGTGTGTGCCCCCACCCACCCACTCTACCTGGCCAGCCCTCCCTCTGCAGCCCAGCTGGTGAGCAGGCCACCCCTCAGTCCTTCCAACCGGGCTCTGGCTGTCAGGTGTGGCTGAGCATAGTGTGCTGACTTGATTTACCTGCTGCTCCGGCGTCCCCGAATCCTAGCAGCCGCTGGTTCTCAGCCCTGGCTGCTCTGACCAGTGTACAGGTGTTGATTGTAGCTCTGTTCTGAACCTTTTTAGCTCTGTCATGCAATGGCAAACACTGTCTCAGGCCCCTTTGTAAGCCTGTACTACCAGCCCTGGGGCAGCAGTGGGCAAACTCAGATCCCAGGCAGAACCATGTTAGTTTTCACAACCAGGAAGGTCCAGCCTTTTGACATCTGTCATCTACAAGTTTCTTGGGCCACATTCACAGGTGGCTTAGGATGCATTGTGGGCCCATGGGCCACAGGCTAGACATATCTGCAACCATTAGGAACAAAACTTACCTAAGTAACCTACATGGTTCAGAAACTCACAAAGCTCAGCTGGGTCCTATGCTAGGCCTCTGAATGTCCTGGGTCATGACCACACTTGGCTAATTCAAGAATGTGACTTTCAACAATCAAAACCCTGGGGGGAGGGGCGGGAAGCTACCACCCAGCTCCCAAATAAATACACAGAGGATTATTCTCAAACACCTGGCCTTAGCTTGTCTTATTTCTTGCCCGCTTTTCTTAACTTAAATTATCCCATTTATCTTTTGCCTCTGGTCTTTTACCTTCCTCTATTTCTGTATTTCTTTCTTTACTTCTTATTCCACGGCTTGCTGCATAGCTTGGTGGCTGACCCCTGACGACTTCCTCTCCTTCTCCTTTGCTCTTTGATCTTTTCTTCCCAGATTTCTCCTATTTATATACTCTCTGCCTGCCAGCCCCGCCTATCCTTTCTCCTGCCTTGCTATTGGCTGTTCAGCTCTTTACTAGACCAATCAGGTGTTTTGGGACAGGCAAAGTAACACAGCTTCACAGAGTTAAACAAATGCAACGTAAAAGAATGCAACACACGTTTGCATCATTAAACAAATATTCCACAGCATAAACAAATGTAAAGTCTTAAAATAATATTCGGCAACAGGCTACAGTCAACACAGAGGCTTCTGTTCCTGTCCCTACTCCCATTGTTACCACAGAAAGCGCAGGCATATGGTAACATGACTTATTCTCTGTCTGAAATTCAAATTCTACAAGGGTGTCTTATACTATTATTACCTTGATGTCGGGGATTAAACGCTAAGGCTTAACTCACAGATGTTTTATGTTTTACCCTTTCATTTCACAAAAGGAATGTATGGATTCCAATGAGCCCTGCTCTAAGCACAAAGACAGAGTACAGAGTACAAAGAACCCAGCGCCGCTGTGCACCCCTCCCAGAGATCCACAGTCAGCAGGACTGCACGGATAGGCAGGAAAAAAGGAACATTCCAGACATTGCTACCGTCAAGTTCTACTTAAGATCTGAGCTTGCACTGCGGATTCTGGGAGAGAATGCCATGGCATGCAGCGGTCCTGTGTCTGAGCAGTGAAAACAGAGTGGGCAGGAGTCCACTCACAGGAAAGGGCTCCGTGGCTGAGAAGTGTCTGGAGGGCAGGTCAGGAGAGGCAATTTGCTGGAGGCATAATCTGAATGGTAGGGTTTTGTTTTCCTGAGACAGGATCTCACCTGGCTGAAGCTCTTGATCTCACAGAGATCCACCTGCATCTTGCCTCCCACGTGCTGGGACTAACGGCTTGCGTCACCACACTAAGACCCAGAGCATCCCTGAGAGAGCAGCGCACAGTGAACATCTTGCTGCTCAGCCGCCTCTGCAGACCCTCCTTCTACTCCCATTTGTTTTGTTTTTCCATTCCTCTCTCACTAGTCACTTTATTCTCCTGCTCCTGGATTCACACACCAAACAAAGGAGTTGTGACTTAGGATGTGGGACCTGTGTCCAGTTGCTGCTCACAAACCACTTACCTCTCAGCGTATCTCAGGGTCGACAGGGTTTCCTCATAGCAGATATCGGCTGGGCTTATGGCTGCAATCTGGAACCATCCCAAACAGACTTTTGTCATCCAAGCATTTATTACCATGCAAGCTACTAAAATAGCTACTATTTGGGTCAGGGAAATGGCACTGATAAGCAAGAAGAACTGAGTTTGATACCAGAACCCACAAAAAAGTGCCATGTATGCTGATATTTACATAATCCCAGCACTGGGAGGCAGAGACAGGAGGCTCCTTGGGGCTCACCGGGCAATGAGCTCCAGGGCAATGAGAGATCCTGTCTCAAAGGAAGTAGATGGCACTCCTGAGGAGGACATTCAAGGTTATGGTCTGTCTGGCCTTCACACATACACACAGAGACAAGTTTGTACCCCCCCACACACACATGCACCTCATGCATGCACATGCTAATAAAAATAATGTTCACAAAACAGCTTGTATCATTTAATTTTCAGTACTATTTAACTTTAAATCACTTACTTTAATTATTTATTTTTATTTTATGTTCACTGGTGTTTTACCTGCATGTACGTCTATGTGAGAGTGTTGGATTCCCAGGAACTGGAGTTACAGACAGTTGTGAGCTGCCACTTGGGTGTTGGGGATAAAATCCGGGTTCTCTGGAAGGGCAGCTAATGCTCTTAACCTCTGAGACATCTCTCCAGGCCCCTCATTGACTTTTGTAGATTTACTTAATTATTTTATGTGTATGGATGTTTTGCCTATGTGTGTGTGCATGTGTACCATGTGTGTGTCAGAAGAAGGCATCAGATTCCCTGGAACTGGAGTTGTTGTGAGCCACCATGTGGGTGCTGGGAATCAAACCTTGGTCCTCCATAACAGCAACACGTGCTCTTAACCACTGTGCCAGCTTCCCACACTTCTGACCTTTAAATTTTCAAAAACTAAATTTATTTTTACATTTACTTGTGTGCGTGCGTGCACGTGTGTGCGTGTGTACGCGTACACACCACTCCAGCACCATGATGTACATATGGCAGTCAGAGGACAAGTTGCAGGAGTTGGTTCCCTCCTTCCCCTCTGTCCTGCTCCAGAAATAGAACTCAGGTCATCAGGTTTGGCAGCAAGCACCTTTTCCTGATGATCCATTTCACTGATCTATTTAAACTTTACAAGCTGGAAAACTCTGCTTAGAGAATAGTAATACAGCCAAGGTCACCCAGATGGTAATCGGCCAGAACTGAATTTGAGCTGCTGGCCTCTGGCTAACCCTGAAATCTGCCGCTGTCCTGCTGACTGCCACAGGCTCTGTGTGCTAGGCCCTCAGCAGGCTCCTCAGGAGATTGCTCAGTGTTCTCAGGGTAGGAGAAAAAAGCTTTGCTCATTTCAGATCCCGTCAAGAGCACCGCAACTAATCCTGTGTGACCTTCCCATCCCTAAGACAAAACACCGTGGAAAATCAACCATAAGAAGGGTTCCTTTGGGCTCAGACTTCTAGAGGATTCAATCATCCCAGAGGGTACTGAAGGCAGCGCATCACACCCCACAAGTGGATTGTGGGGCTAGGAGAAAGACTATGCTGTGGGCTTGCTTCCTTTTCCTCCCTCTTATCCAGCCCAGACTGCAACCTCGGGAATGTTACCGCCCACATCAGGGCCAGGGCAGGTCTGTCTTCTTTGCTGAATCCTCTCTGGAAACACTCTCACAGACTCAGGCTGAGGTATGCTTCAGGAATCTCCTATCTGTGGTATTAAATGCTTGTGAAACCTCTCACATTCTACGAGAATGGAACTTCAGCTGGACCTTGCAGCCAGAGTTAATAACACACCTTGAGGTCATTAAGACTTATGACTGCTGTCCTGCTGTGTGCTCAGCCAGTTCCTGTAGCCTGTCTTTAAGGTTAACAACCTTGCTTGCCTTGGATTTTCCATGTAACCAACATTTACAACCTAAGGTAACTTAGCACGGCTGTGAGCTCAGGTCGTGTACTCTTCATGCCGCTGACTAAGAACAATGCGTGTGTTAGCATTTGCTGAGCAAATACAGAAGTTGAAGGCAGCTTCCTAACATCTACCCTAAAGTTTGAAAGTGGGTATGGATATTGGCTGATAAACACTGATGTCTGGAGTACTGTCTGCTGTCTGGGTCAGTTGGAGCCAGTGACTAATCCCTTTTAAGAGAATGTTTTGTTGATATTCATAGGAGGCTTGCCATTTTTCTAAACAGAAAGGGAAGGAGTGGATGGGGGAGGGAAAAGGAGAGGTGGGAGGAGGGAATGGGAGAAGAAGGAGGGGAAACTTGTCAGGATATGAAATAAATAATTAAAATTAAAAAAATAAATAAAGAGGGCTGGAGAGATGGCTAAGCAGTTAAGAGCACTGCTCTTTCAGAGTTCAATTCCCAGCAACCACATGGTGGCTCACAACCATCTATAGTGAGATCTCATACCTTCTTCTGGCCTGCAGGCATACATGCAGGCAGAACACTCATACCAAAAACAAAAAGAAAAAGAAAACAAAATTTAAAAAAGATTTTTGCTGAAATCAGGACAGGTGTCGTAGAGCTTGGAGGAGGTTGACTGTGCCCATTCTGTTTTTTTATTTGAGTCTTGGAACACTCAGTATTCATCTCCTACCTCCTTTTCTCCAATAATCCCAGCATTTGGGAGGCAGAGGCAGGCAGATCTCAAGTGAGTGAGAGGCTAGCCTGGTATACAAAAGGAGTTCCAGGATATCCAAGACTGTTACACAGAGAAGCCCTGTCTCGAAAAGCAACAAAACAACAACAACAATAAAAACCACTACAATCGGGGCTAGGGGCTGCCTAGAAGAAATGCCTAGGATGGAACCCTTTTGTATTTCCAGCGATTTTTCAGGCTGGGCTAAGCTATACAGTGAGACCTTCAAAACTCATGAATCTTGCAGATCTGCGAGGTGTCCTGGCCTTACTGTCTCAGGTGACTTTACTCCAGTGAGATTGCTGGGTTGGACACTCAGTCGGTGTCTTGGGAACACTGCTTTTGTTTTTGCTTTTCCAGTACTGGGAATGGAACCCAGAATCTAATACTTGGTAATGCTGTACCCCGAGCTCCCCAGCTCAGAGGAGTGCTGCTGTTCTATTCCAAGGTCTTGGTGAATGTACCACTGGGATCCACAAACAATGGACACGGGAAGGACTTTAAGGTGAAGTACTTAGGCAAGTATTTAAGCAAGGCTGTGTTTTACTGTAAGATTGGGGAGAGGTGGCCTTTAGTCTGTTTTGTCCCATTCTGCGACTGGAGAGAGAGGGCTCTGGCTTAGAATGTTGCACCCATATAGCTGACTCTCAGTGCTAAGACTGAAACTCAGTCACCCTGAATATTGTACATCTGCCTGGCAACTAACTTACTTACAGAGTGAGGTAGTGTTATTGTTAATTCTGTCCTTATAGAAAAAGTAGTTATATATACAATTATATATACATAGGGCAGTGGTAGCATACACCTTTAATCACAACACTCAGGAGGCAGAGGCAGGTGGATAGCTATGAGTTCGAGGCCAGCCTGGTCTACAGAGCAAGTGCAAGGATAGGCTCCAAAGCTAAACAAAGAAACCCTGCCTTGAAAAACAGAAACAAAAAGTAAAGGCTGGAGGCATGGCTCAGTGGTAGAGGGCTTGCCTGGTGTGTGCCAGACCCTGCTTTCCATCTGCATCACAAAACAGTACAAATGGAAAGCAATATATATTCCAGTAGATACCCTGAGAGCTGCAACAAAGAATAAAATATTTAATGTTGTGGAACCCTGTGACACACTGCAGTGGACAGGCATCAGGGACTGGGAGATGATGCAGAGGGCAAGCACTGAGTCCTGGTGTGTTGAGAGGGACTTCAGCCACAGAACTCTAAAGCTGAGCCAGTGCTATTAAGAAAGAGGCTCTCTTACCAGTGTCGTCCTGCTGTTCCCGCCCAGAGCCGACCGGAGCAGTTTGGTTAGAACAGAATCTCTGTAGGGAATGTGCAGGACTTTCTTCCCCATGGCTGAATCAGCCAGAGCACTGCATGAAGGAGAAAACATAAAACAACGGAGGGGATAAGAAAGATACTGCCTCTCCAGGAGTAACTAGAGATGGCTCACACATCCCTGCTGTGGTCTTGTGCTGTGGTCTGAAGGTCAACCCTGTGGGTAAGCCAATGTTTGTTTCTACCTCCAAGGAACCGCCATGCTTTTCCTCCCTAAAGATAAATCCTTCCTCCCTGAAGTGGCTTCAGGTCAGAGAAGTGACTAATGCACCCTGTAAAGTGATATTAATAACACAGACTAGCAGACACCTGTGCAAAGGTGCCCAAGCAAGACAGAACACAAGCTAAAGACCTTGTGCACAAAGCCTTGGACAGGGACTGGAGAGATGCACTGAGCTTAAGAGCCTGTACCACTCAAGTAGAGAACTCAAGTTTGACTCCCACACCCATAATAGGTTGTTCACAAACACCTGTAGCTCCAGCTCCGGGGGATCCGATGCCCTCTTCTGGCCTCCTGGGGCACCTGCACCAATGAGGGTATACCCACACTCATACACATAATTAATATTTTTAATTATAAAACTCAAGACAATTAAGCAAAAATGAATCTGATGGCAAAGGTCAGCTTGTTTTGGTGGTGTGCCAACAGGGAGGGGCTGTGTTCCAATGGGGGGGTTGTGTTTGTATGTCTGTTCCAACAGAGAGGGGTGTGCCCCAGTGTGGTGGGCTGTGATGGAGACTTGTGGCTTCTGTGTGAACCCCACTTGCTCACAGGGTCTCTGAACATAGGAAAGACAACAAAAAGGCCAGTTCTGCATTCTTAGAGGCTACTGCTGATGCTACCAGCCGCGCAAGGCCCCGCCTGAACACTCAGCTTTTGACCACACTTGGGCGCAACCCCAGCTTGTGGACGACACGTCATCACTGTCGTAGCAGCAGCACCAGGCACCTTTCCACTGTTAACTGTGGGACACACAGGCTGAAGTGGCCACCAGACAGTTCCCTCCCTCTCTCGTCTCTCCTGCCTCTCTTGTCTGTGGCCTCTCTTCTTGCTTGTTCTTTCTGTCTGCCTGCCTTCATGTCCCTCTTTAGCTCTTTCATGCTCCCCTCACTCCTCTCCCCAATAAACCTCTTGCACTAACTCTGTTGCACCTGGCATGTTGGCTTAGTGGCATACCTTGGCAGGGCCTGAAAAAAGATACCAACTTCACCTTTTAAAAAAAAATCCTTTCAATCATCCCTCACTACAATCTATAAAGTCTCCCTGCTTTAGTTCAGGAGCAGGACTTCTCCAGGCTCGAGCTCTGAGACTGGTGAGCTCGTTGCTATACTTTTTCAGTTCAGCTTGATCTGGCACATTGCATTAGAGGAGAAACTTATGGGGGGAGACACAACACCTATTACCTTTATACATGAATTTTAAAAGATGTGTCCCATATATGCACTAATATTCACATGCTAAAACAAGATTGGAGGGGGCTCATTGGATGGGGTGTGAAGACTGGGGTTCTAAGCACCCACATAAAAGCCAGGCAGGTGTGGCAACCCACCAGAACTTGGAAGGTGGAGACCAGAGATCTCCCTGGGCAATCTGGCTGGCTAGACTAGCTGAACCAGCGGGTTCGATCTTCATCAAGAAAGCTCACCTCGGTAAATACAGGGGAGAGAACTGAAGGAGACATCCTACATGAAGAAGACATCTCTGGTCTCTGCACATATGTGTACATGTGAGCCCACCCACATGTGCCCACACACATACAAACACCTCCCTGGCAAAAAGAAAAACAAAAAAGAAAGGGAAACAAGGAAGACCAATAGTCGGGGAGGGGCAGTACCACAAACCCCACATGGTACTTACCTCCAAGAGGGAGAAGGCACAGGGACAAAATTCTGTACCAACCACTTTGCTTGGTAGGCTTGGAACTGGGGATGGGATCCAGGCTTGGGCTCACCAGGGAACTAGGACACCACCCTCTGCCCTCTTATATGTCATTGTTTCATGTCATGGTGTAGTGGTTTGAATGAGAATGGCCCATATGCAGAATATTACTTTAACTATGTAAAGGTGTGTTGCATTTGTTTATGCTGAATTTGTTTAATTAGGCAAAGATGTGTTGCATTTGTTTACTTTGCCTGCCTAAGGCACATGATTGGTCTAATATAAATCTCAACAGCCAATAACTGGGCAGAGAAAGGATAGGCGGTGCTGTTGGACAGAGAGAGCAAGTAGGAGGAGGAATTTAGACGGAAAAAGAAGAGGGAGAAGAGAACGGGGGGAGAGAGAGAGAGATGTTTGAGGCCAGCCAAACAGACTTGGAAGAAGCAGGAAAAGTAAGACATACATAATGAAAGAAAGGTAAAAAGCTCCAAGGCAAAACTTAGATGAATAGAAACATGGTAAATTAAGTTAAAAGAGCTAGTGAGACAACCATAAGCTAAAGGCTGACTTGTCATAATTAATAAGTCTCTGTGTCTTGATTTGGGGGCTGGTGGTCCAAGAAAGCCTGCTATCGGCCTCCATAGGCTCATATGTTTGGATTCTTGGTGGAACTGTTTGGAAAGGATGAGGAGGTGTGGCATTGATGGAGGAGGTGTGTCACCAGGGGTGGGCTTTGCGGCTTCAAAAGCTCACAGCATTCCAGTTAGCTCTTTGTGTCTCCTGCTTCTGGATCACGATGTGAGCTCTCAGCTACTGCTCTAGGACCATGCCTGCCTGTCTGCTGCCATGTTCCCCACCATGAAGGACACGGACTCTAACCCTCTGAAACTGTAAGCCCCAAATAAATTATTTCTTCTTTAAGTTGCCTTGGTTATGGCGTCTTTTCAGAAAAAATAGAAAAGTGTTTTAATACCTTGTTTATACTATAACAAAGTTTGCCTGAAGATCAAAGGGTGGTGCTAGCCTCCAGTTAACCACAGAGGTCTGGAGGACTGTACAGACAGACAGGAAGTGATAAAGCAGGAGGAGACAGGAGCTCAGTCTCTTTTTGGCTGGGAAGTTAGAGGGGTAAAGATGGCTGTGGTTTGCTCCTTTGTCTCTCTGACCTCTCAGCATTTTCCCCTACATCTGACTCCAGGCTTTTTTATTAAGACCTATTAGAACTCGTTCTACAGAAAGTAACTAAGGCACATGAATATCTGTGTGCTGGTCACATACCTGATAACATTTCCTAAGCTGGTTAGGCTTAAGTTGACCCTGGATCCTTCCTTCAGCCTGTCTCCTTCAGACCCTGATGACTTCTGCCTCTCACTTCCTGCCAAGTCCACCATGTTGATGCTGGATTTTTTGGTGAGGGCCATGTCCAGGAAGACCTGTAAAGACATACCTCAGGCTGTGAGACTGATGCCTCAGAGACAGACTGTTCCACGAGCTTACGTGGCTCTTCAAGGTATGTCACAGACTCCAAATACAGTAAAGCAGTGGCAGCTGTCACTGAAGGTGCTGTCCCTGTTCAGTGACAGTTGACAATGCCAATACCACGATCCTGGGTTCAAGAGTCCTGCTTGCCTCTCTCTAGTTCTGCAAAGCACTTTTGAGGGGCATATTAGATAGCAGCCATTATAGGCATTTCAGTAAACTTTCAGCACATCAGATGCTGTGAGCCCTGCAACATCATGAGCATCCAAAACTGTTCAGTACTGTGGCTCGAGTGAACACACAGGGTTTCCTGCTGGCTACAAGAACTTTTGTTTTTCTTTTAACATTTTAGTTTTCTCAGTTAAAAGAAAAAGAGGGGGCTGGAGAGATGGCTCAGTGATTAAGAGCACTGACTGCTCTTCCAGAGGACCTGGGTTTGATTCCCAGCACCCACGTGGCAGCTCACAACTGTCTGTAATTTCAGCTCCAAGGGACCCAACACCCATGGCAAAACACCAATGCACATAAAATAAATAATTAAAAAAAGAGTTTCCATTTATTTACCTTCATCCAATTTTTCCTCTTGTGCCTAGATAAAAAGTTCAAATAACGGGGTAAACCACATATACAGTATATGAATTTTTCTAACACCGTAAAATTCTTCCAGGGAACAGCACTTACAATGTACAAAATTCTCTGTTGTGGGCTATTTGTTTATACTGTGTGAAGATGCATCACTGTGCGTGGTTAATAAAAAGCCGATTGGCCAATAGTTAGGCAGGAGAGGATAGGCAGGACTTCCAGACAGAGAGGAACTCAGAAGGGCTAGAATTTGGCTCAGGAGAGATGCCAGCAAGACACAGAAGGGGTCAGATATGCAAAATGGAGGAAAGGTCAAAAGTCATGTGGCAGAACACAGAATCATAGGAACAGGTTGATTTAAGTTATAAGAGCTAGTTGGGAACAAGTCTAAGCTAAAGGCCAAGTTTCATAATTAATAAGTCTCCATATCATTATTTGGGATCTGGTGATCCTAAAAGGAAGTCTGACTACAATTCTCCATGTCTCTGTGTGTGTGTGTTTATGTTTAGGTGCTCGTGCACGTGTGTGTGTGTGTGTGTGTGTGCAGGTGCACATGTATAGGACAGAGTTGCTATCACGTCTTTCTCAACTGTTCTCCACATGATTTTTGAGGCAGTTTCTCACTGTCCTGAAGCTCACTGACTTGTCAGACTCCTGGCAGGCAAGCCCCTGTAACCCCCTAGTCCCTGCTTCCCCAGTCAATTATAGAAGCATGCTATCATGCCTGGCTCTTTTACATGGGTGCTAGGGATTTAAACTCTTGTCCACATGCTTGCACAGCACATGCTTTACTGTTGAGCCACCTTCCCATCTCTAGAGAATTCTTTAGACTGCCTCATCTCAGCCTCCCAATGTGCTTTCACCCCATTTTACAGAAGATGGAACGGGTGTTGGGAAGATGGTCTCCTCAAAGTCTCAGCACTGGTACCTAACAATCACTGATGTGCCCACTGTTCATGTGGACATGATGCTTTTCTGCCATTGCTGATTCAGCTCTGAAAGGACAAGGGTCGTGTAATCACAGCTGGCTGTGGCAGTCACCCAGGAGCAACTGTTTCTAGAACAAACTGGGGCTGCTGCTCAAAGACATCCTGACACCCACGGAGGAGGATGGAAAAGAGAGGTCCTCTCTGGTTTATCAAAGGCTGTAGTTAATGGATGTTACAAGATTTCCAGGAACTAATCTCGGCCAGGCTTTGTCTCAGAAAGATGTATTAGCACCTGGCTGTGCCCTTGGCTCATGGCTGAGCCTCTCAGATGATAACCTTGGTCCTGCTGGTCTTAATTCTCCATGCTAGACCATAATCAATATCTTTACCATGGACTCCTTTAGCAACTTGGCCTCAAAATTCATTCCTCATAGTGTAGAATTTACTTGAGGAAAAACAGCCAGCCATGTCCTGTGGGTGCTCCAAGGATCGGACGACAGTAAGACCCCTCTGCCATAAGCAAGGAGCTGCTTAGTTGAGGGGTGGGCAGGGTGAGCAAGGCCCTCAGCTCTTCCCACCCTGGCCCCGTGGTTTATGTTTTACCTTAGCCCACTGGTCCACTTTGGACACATTCCATGGTCCCACCCCTACTCTGTCACTGGAGCCTGTCCCATAGACCAGGACTCCTACCTGCTTCAACCGGATGGTGATGACCATGTGTGACCGGCTGCTGCTGGCATTCATGTTGGTTGACGCTGTCATTCTGATTTTGGATCCCTGCTCCATGAGCTTTTCAATTTGTGCATAATTCTCACAAGGCACCCACTTCAGACCTTCCACAAAAAACCCCAGCTGTTGGTCTTCCCTGACTTTTAACCCTCCAGGAGTCTTGGTTCTGGACAGCAAATCTCTTATCTGTAGGAGGAAAGGGAAGAAGTAGCATGCAGTTCACTTCCTTCCTTATCACTGTAACCCCCAAATAAACCTTTCCTTCTATAAATTGCCTTGCCATGGCATTTTATCACAGCAAAGGAAAGTCACTCAGACAGCTGCTGTGTGGCTAAAGCATAGCGTGTGAGTGAAGGGACTCTACCCAGCCGGGCCTGGTGGCATGGCTCTGGCAGGCCTTGTCCTTCTCCCCAGCCCTTCTGCCTTGCTACAGACCATTAGATCACATCCCTAAAGCTGGCCACCAAGGCCTATTCCCTTATTTGACCACTTCCTCCTCCTGTCAAGGTTCCAGTATCAAAGTATGGAAGTCCAGCAATCAAAAGCCCCCTTTGGCCACCCTAATTAACATGCTCCATGAAAAGCAAACACATCCTAACAAGGGGTTTCTCCTTGTACCTTTATAAACTGCCATTTGCCTATGGGTCACATCTGTCTCCTCTATCCAGAGACAATCCTTTGTCCCTCCAGGGCAAATCTCCTTTCCCCTCCCTTGTTCTCTCCTCCATCTCCCTGTCCTCTGTCTCCTGTCTTTGTCTCTTATCCACTGTCCTTTGTCCCTCTGGGGCAAATAAATCTCCTTGTGCTGAGAACTTGGTCTTGGAGTGTGTTGAGCCAACTCTGAGGTTCTCTACAGTGAAGGACAGGGGATTTGAGATGGTACTGGAGAGGCAGGTGGGCTACATTCAACACAGGGTGGCCGGTGACCAGAGCCGTTGGTGCTGGCTATCCATGGAGTTGCTCCGGCTGTGTATGCTGTTAGCACAGGCTCTTGGGATAGGCGAGGCTCAGTGATAGAGCCTGTGTTTAGGTTGTTCCAGGACCTGGGTTTGATTCTCAGCAGAGACAGACAGACACAGACAGACAGACAGACAGACAGATAGGCAGGCAGGCAGAGAGGCAAACACACACAGACAGACAGAGACAAAGATAGAGGCAGACAGACACACAGATAGACAGAGCGAGATATAGATAGAGAGAATGTTACCTGTTCATTGTAGATTTCCAGCATGCTGAACATGACCTGTAGGGAAAGCAGTGTGTAACGTTGTCCTGAGTCCAGAAGTGATGTAAGAAGGACATAAATATTCAACAACGGTAAAGGCTAACTAACATTATAATAAACTGTTTCAAACTGCCTGGTTCTCAAGGAATTTTACAGCAATGGAGATTCTCTCAATATACTTTTTTTTTTTTTTTTAAGAACAGGCTGGGGATCTGCTCAGTGGGTAAGAACCCTGGCTGTTCAAACACAAGGACCCAAGTTTGGATCCCCACACCCACACACAGAGCCATGCGTGACTGTGCTCATCTGTAACTGTGGGGACACAGACAGGAGGAGTTTGGGGCTCTCTGCCTGCCCGTTTACCTAAAAACCATTGAACTCCAGGTTTAGTAGAGACCCTTTGTCAAGGGAACAAGTGGAGAGTGATGGAAGGGACACCCAATGTCCTCCTCTGGCCTCCACACATGTGCACGGAAGCATGTATACCTACTGTGTGGATATACGTGCTTGCACTTTTCTATCAATCATACATGTACTCATGCATACACAGAAGCTAAAGCAGGACGACTGACTAGACCATGGACAGGAAGAGAAGAGGTGGTTTCAACCGTTTGGTGCTGTTGGACAGTTTTAGGATGGGCTTTACAGGAATGACCGGCACTATATATATATATACTTAATCTACTAAGCCAGGTGATCCAGAGGCCTCTAGCCGTGGATGCAACCAGCGATGTATAAAAAGCAGTAACATGCAAACCCTGTCGCACGGAACAGTGCAGGCTTTTGTCTCCCTTCTCTTTAGTCTGGTCCCTGCTATCTAGAATGAGCAGAGACAAGGACTGTGCCTCCAGGTGTTTACTGACAACCAGCTGTCATATTTCAGAGCTAGTCACATCAGTGACTGCCACCAACATTCAATGCATCCAAAGTTTGCTCTGGAATCTTCTGTGCCGGGGACAAAATGACCACCGTTGGTGCTTGGGTGTAATTCAGGGGTGTAGTTCAAATGCAGAACACATGCTTATGCTTTACGTCAGGCTGGGTTCAAGTCCTATCACCATATATGACATATAAATATGTACCTATTTTAGGACACACGCGCAGGTGGCATTTTCTTTCTTAAGCGCCTACACACAGTAACCTGTTTAAAAGTAGTTTACAGTCTGCACCTGTTTTACTGTGCACGTGTAGCATTCTCTGACCACATAAGCCAAACCTTAAACTGCTGAGCAGAAGTTAGCCGCCCCCCTCCTGCCCGCCCCCACACACCATGTTGTTCTGGCAGTTGTCCCCACCCATTCCCTCCAGATGGACGGACAGTGAGAGCCAAGCCTGGGCCTGACCAAGAGTTGCATTTTCCTGGGACCCATGTTTAATTGAGACCTGCATTTAACCACCTCAGCTCTAGGAAGTTGGTTCCCACTGTGGCAGGCATTTTTCACTTACCTTGTTTCTACTTAGTGTGCACAACAGCGCCTCTTAAAGGAGCAGTATTTTTTTTTTTCCTTTCCTATCTTTTTCAAGCCCTATGTGGAAATTTAGGCCCAACATGGGATGACAATTTTTTTTTTTTTTTAACTTCAACACAGTTGTTTTAACTTCAGCCTTAACCTACTGCTATATCAGCCAGCAATTGTAACTCTGTAGTTACCAGCCTATTTAATTAACAGCGGCTTGGCCACTCAGGCTGCATGCAGCCTGGTGAGAATTCTGCTCCCATGGGGAACCACCCTGTCACTGCCCCTATAGGTAGCTTTAACCAAATCTCTATCATTCAGTTATGAATAAGACTTGAGATAAAGGCTGGGGTGAAAACCTGTGAGCTCAGAGAGGCTGGGTAGCAGCTAGCTAACCCTCTCACCTTGCTGACATCCATGGAAGGCCCATGCTTCCGCTCTGAGGACAAAAAACCCCGTGCTACTCCAAACCACACCCTACTACTTCCCGTTTCACTCTGTCCCTCCCAGATGCCCTCTGAGGCTCTAGGATTACTTTCTATCAACTGGTCGATAACTCAGCCTCCCGACCCAAGGTTAATTTTATTTAATTAACACAAATGAAAACTCAGGATTCACAGTGTGATGGGGTATCCCCAACACACACACACACACACCCCTGAAAATACAGATGCTGGTGCCTTCCACTTGTAGAAAAGGAAAGGGGCAGGCAATTCCCAAGAAAAAAGGATTCTAGAATATGAATGCACACCTGGGGTTCCATGTTTTTCTTCTGTGTCTTCATAGCTTGGAAGAGCTCTTCACACACTCTTGGAATAATACCCTTGTTTGTGCCAAAGCCAACCATGGAGTAGCTTTTCCCAGAGCCAGTCTGGCCATAGGCCAGGAGAGTAGCATTGTAGCCTCGCCAGGCACTGTCTAGAATTCCCCTTCCGATGTCATGGAACACATGGATCTACAAAGGAAATTGTGTCATCCGTCACTGCGTTTGGCTCTAAAGCTTTTTGTCAACACATATACAAATGTGTGCACACACTCACACAACACAGACCCCTCCACAGAACTGCTGTTTGTATCCAGGGTTGGTAGCACTGGGAGGCTGTGGAAACCCCAGTCTCTTCCTGTCTTTATCTCCTGCCATGAGATCTGTAGCTTTGCCTCCCCCTGCCTGCTGTAATCATCACTTTCACCACAGGCTGAAAAAGTAATGGGCTAGTACCTCCAGAAGGAATGGAGTAAGCCTGGACTCTTCAAAGTGCATTATTGAGGGTTATTTCTTTATACTAACAGAGAGTTGCCTAATGCATACACTCTTAAAAAACAAACCTTCCCCCCCCCCCCCCCCCCCCCCCCAGTGCTCAGCGACCACTGAAGAAAGGCAGTACAAGCCAGAGGTCAGGGGGCGCCAGAGCTTCTGGGACATGACATGACAGGAAACTGCACTCATGAACTCTCAAGACTGCACAACCGCAAGCCAGGCACCACTGCAGCACAAGAGTGGAGCAGCTTGTGAGCCCCACTCCCTGCCCAGGAGATCCTGACAGGTGTGGCCCCTGGCAAGTTGAGAGGCTACAGTCAGTGGCCCCACACTCCTCAGTATATGGACAGCTAAAACTGGTCTCTACTGCAAAAGAAAGAGAGAGGGAAGGAAAGAGGATAAGAAATTGGGAGGAGGTGGGAGATTGGGGGTGGACCTAGGAGGAGTTTAGGGGGAGGAGCAAGGGGTGAATACCATAAAAATACAATGTACCCATGCATGAAATTCTAAAAGAATTAATAAAAATGTTTAAAAACCTGTAACATTTTATTATTGTATGTGCATGGGTATTTTGCCTACATGTATGTTTATGTACCACACGTGTGTCCGGTGTCCTTGGAGACCATCAGATCTCCTAGAACTGGAGTTACAGCCTTTTGTGAGTCATCATGTATGTGCTGGGATTGAACCCAGGTCCTGTGGAAGAGCAGCCAGAGTACTTAACCACTGTCTCCAGCCCCTAAAAATACATTAAAATAACAATACCAACCAGGCATGATGGTATAGTACTTTGGGAGACAGAAGCAGAAAAGAAAGAAAACATTTTTAAAAATGGAACCAAAAGATATTTGTACTACAATTGTTCAAAAGGCAGGGTGTGGCCTGGCTCCCCCCCACCCTTTTTTCTGATCACAAAAGTCTCAAATAATAAAACAGGAAGATTCATGGAATCCATTTGTCACAATATATACATTTGTGGAATTTATGTAATTTTTATTTCTGAGAAAGACACACACACACACATAGTATGATCTACAGAGGAAAAATTTTAAATAACCAGTTTAAATACTACTTGTTTCTAGCTAGCCAGGCAGTGGTGTTACATGCCTTTAATCCCGGTACTCAGGAGGGAGAGGCAGGCAGATCTGTGAGTTTGAGGCCAGTGTGGTGTATAAATCGAGTTCCAGGACAGCCTGGGCTATATAGAGAAAACCTGCCTTGAAAAACAGGAGCAACAACAAAAAATACTGTTTTGTTTTTCATAGAAAAGAATAGAAAACTTCATGCTCAGTTGGCTCCATTGCTATGGGTTTGTGGTGGTACAATGTATCATGGCAGGAGCATATGACAGAGACTTGTGTCCTGAAGCTAGAAATCAGAGTAAGAGAAAGGAGGAATATGGGTCCCCACATTTCCTTCAAAGACATGCTAGTACCCAGAGTTCCTCCCACTAGGTCTCGCCTCCCTCTCATAAGCACCGTAGGCTGAGAAGCAATGCTTGGTGTTTGCACAGATCTAACTCAGGTCCCCATGCTGCCACAGCAGGTGCCTAACCAACTGAGCCATCTCTGGGCTCTGGCATGGATCATGCTGAAGCTGGCGTAGAACATCAGAAAACACAAAACCCAGTCTACCACTGACGTCTCTAAGCGACTTACCTGGCCTGCGAATTTACTAGTTGCATTAGATGGAATAAGTACGCCATCTTCGTCCTTTTGAAATCCGTCATGAGACCAATATGCCAGGTCAAAGGTGAAGGTCTTCAAATGTCCTTTGTTCTTAGGGTCTCGAATGGTGGTGCTTTGGGAATGCATGGAAATCACACATTGGCTTCCAGAGTTCTTCTCTCTCTGTAGTCAGGTTATACATTCAGAATTACGGTACATTCTGGCTAGAAGTTTCTTGTCCTGAACACTTGTGGTGGTTTGAATGAGAATGGCTTCTGTAGGCTTGTATTTGAGTGTTTGGTTTCCCAGATGGTATGGCATGGGCTTTTGAAACCTCAAAGCCCACCTGAAATGGCACAGCTCCTTCAATAAGGCCGCACCTATTCCAGTTTCCATTTCTCTGCCTCTAATTTGCTGATGAGATGTAAATTCTCAACCGGTGATGGTGGTGGTGGTGGTGATGGTGGTCGTGGTGGTGGTGGTGATGGTGGTGGTGATGGTGGTGGTGGTGATGGTGGTTGTTGTTGGTGGTGGTGGTGATTGTGGTGGGTGGTGGTGGTGATGGTGGTGGTGATGGTGGTGATGGTGGTTGGTGGTAGTGGTGGTGGTGATGGTGGTGGTGGTGATGGTGGTGATGGTGGTTGGTGGTAGTGTGGTGGTGGTGATGGTGGTGGTGGTGGTGGTGGCACACACCTTTAATCCCAGAACTCAGGAGGTACTACTCTAGGGCCATGCCTGTCTGACTGCTGCCATGTTCCCTGACATGATGTCATGGACTCAACCCTTTGAGACTATAAGCATCCCCCAGTTAAATATGCTTTATGTGTTTTCTTGGCCATGGTGTCTCCTCGCAGCAACAGAATGGTGAGAAAGCCTAACTTACAAGCCTTGTCCTCTGGCCAGAGTTGTAGGAGCTTCCTAGCCCCATGCTTCTGCTAGTAAAGGCTCACTCTGCAACCCCAATCTCTGCTGCTTCCCTTTGTCTCATGGCACCTTGTGGCTGTTTTTCATATGTTGGGACTGGAGTTTTTCTAGAACAATTGGCAAGCTAAGCAGAAAACTGAGGAACTGGACAAGAGAAGAGAAGCTTGAGCAAGAGGGCACTCAAGAAGGAGACATGATTTTTTATGGGAAGGGGGTCCTCTGTATGGTAATGCTTGTATGAATGTACCCCAAAGGCATTGCTGGTTTTTGAAGAACTATTTGCACCTCTGTCAAAAGAAGGGCAGTATTTCGATACTGTAGTGGGGTTGTTTCCATGGATTGGGTGGCCACCCATGTACAGATGGCTATGGGCAACGGAGCTAAAAATTCAGAGGAGTTATAGCCTGTACAATGCTGGGGAATGGAACCCTGGGACACAAGGAAAGAATCCCAGAGACCAGCTTTGTGCAGGAGGTAAAAATGGGAGGAGTAGGGAACCACCACCTCATCAACACATTGAAAGAAATGAGGACTGAGACCCCACTTTCTCCTGACCCTTGCTTTTCTGTGACTATTAGTGACTATTAACACAAAGGTGTAGAATGCACCAATAAAGGCAGAAATCGGGACTGTTCAAGACTGCAGGATTCCTAGACAGCTGGCAAAATCTTTTTGCTTTGGTTTTTCAAGACAAGGTTTCTCTGTATAACCCTGGATGTCCTGGAAGCTCTGTAGACCAGGCTGGCCTCCAACTCACAGAGAGTCGCCTGCCTCTGCCTCCCAAGCGCTGGGATTGAAGTTGTGCAACACTACGGCCTGGCTAACAAAATCTTTTCAACAAGTATTCCTGAGAATCTTGCCTTCATAAGTGAGTACACTCTGGGATATGAGAAGGGCATTTCTATGAGAGGAAATGGAGCTGAGAGCAGAGTAATAGTACCCATCATCTGGCCTAAGGAAGAGCATCCAAACTGCCTGCCAGATCCAAGGAACTTGGTCCATGGTAGAATCAGTCGTTGTGGCCATAAAAGAGGCATGGCCAAATGAGAGGGGTGTGCCAGGGCGGGTAGCTCACTGCAAGCATCGAGGAAGTCTCGGGTATTTTGTGGGAACTGTATGAATGGGAGAAGCCATTTATGCCTAGGGTATGAGGGTATGCAAAAGACTGCATGCATGTGTGCATGCATGAATCCTCACCATGGTGCATGTGGAGGTCAGAGAACTTTTGGGAGTTATTTCTCTCCTTCCACTGTGGGTTCTAGGGGTCAAACATGTCATTAGCTTGTGCCATCTCACCAGCCCAAGAAAGCCATTTTTATGGATAGAATGAAGAATTTACCAACTACCTCTTGAGAATGGAGAGACCCCATCCCATTCCCCATCCTCTGTTCATGTGATGGTTTTTAAAATGAGAATGGCCTCTACAGGCTCACATTTGAATGCTTTGTCCCCAGTTGGTTGACCTGCTTGGGATTACAAGCTGTCACTTGTTTCAGAAGTCCCCATCATTCCAGTTGGCTCTTGCTCTGCCTGTGGTTGTCTCAACATGTCCCTCAGCTATGGATCCAGTGCCATGCCTGCCTGTCTGCTGCCATGCTCCCTGCCCTGATGGTTATAGATGCAGTTAAACCCTGGAACCATGAGTCCCCAAATTAAACATTTCTTTTTGTAAGTTCCTTGCCCAAGGGTTTTGTCACAGTAAGAATAGTAACTAAGCCCAGAGTTTATGATATGGACAAGACTATTGATGGTCTTTGAGAAAATGTGCACACATTGTCATAAAGCCTGATGAGAGAAAGAACAGGCAAAAATGAAAGGGAAAAGGGAGGTAGGGTGGGTGGCACTTGGGCTAGACAACAGGAATGGTGTGGTGTGATTTGCTCCATTCCTGAACTCCAGAAAAAGATAACCCAGAGTGATCTTGGTAGCCTAGCAGATGAGAAGTAGGCCCAAACCATAGTTCTCACCTTTCTGCTACCCATAGAGGATGAGGCTTCTTGTAGGGCAGAGGAATGGGTCCCCAAGTCCATGTTATAAGAAGTGGAACTTAGATTCTCAGAATAGGCTTTAGAGGGTGACACAGTCCTCCCAAGGAGCTCACTATGTCACTGGGCCTGCGAAGACAAGGAACACACTGCTCTGGTGGATACAGGAGCTGTAGGCACATGGGCTCATGGCAACTGAGGACGTTTTCCAGGGCCATGTACAGTAACTGGTGGAAAGGGGCTAAGATCATCAGAGAAAAACAAGTGTTCTGTGCCGGGAATTAGAATACCTCCATTCTATTTTGTACTAATATCCCTGATCCCTGAGAATATTCTGGGGGTCTCTATTAGGAGAGACATTACAGACCTGGGAAAGGGAACAATTCAAAACTCAGGTTGTAAAGACCCTTGACTTCCTCATCTGGAAGTAGTTACTTTTCTCATGCCCATGACAAGGTATTTGAGCAAAGCAATTTAAGGGAAGGGCTTGTTTGGGCTGTTTCAGGGCTAGGCATGAGGGTGGGGATGGCTGGGGTATTGGTGACAGGAACTTGCAGCAGTTTGTTCATAGCTTAGCATCTCAGTATACAACAATGGGATTCTAAGCAAGCTCAGGCTAAAGATCTTGGTAGCTTTCATAAGCCCGTGAGGCCACCCCAAAGGCCGCTCCACAATCTCCCAACACAGTGCCCCTGGCTAGGAAGGAAACACTCTGACATGCAGGGTGGGAGGCATTTCATGTTCAAAACATTTAATACACCACAGGGTGTTGGGGGGGACCACAGTAAAAACAGTTAACATAAGCTGCCAATGAACCTGAAGGGATTGGAAAGTCTGTGGAATAGAGGATGGGATTTTGACCTTCTCACTTTGTGAGAAAGCCAGATGGGACTTGACTTGCAGGAGCTCAGTAAGATACCTCCCATCCTGACTATGCACAGGTGATAGAGGAAACTGGACCTTTCTTGGTTCTGTGCACACCACCCAAGCATTAGGTGATAGCATTTTGAGCATCCCTTATAATTAGATCCATTGAACTGGACATTCTAGGTCCTGCCTAGTAGTAGTTATAGGACAGGTATCACAAAGCGGAGTGGCTGGGAACCTGGTTCCTTTTCTTGCTGTTAAGACCTGGCTCTACTATAGTGGCATTATGCTAACCAGTGAAGATTATAACCCTTTAGAGGACTCATCTACTTACCCATGAGGGTATGAGCTGGTTGTGTCAAGATTCAGGACCCTCAATATCTGAGACATTTTTAGGGGTGACTGGTGAGTAAAATCCTTTTGTGACACAGGATACATATTTGTGTGTGTTTTGGGGGTAGGTGTATAAAGTGCACACTGTTCATCTCCTGTATGGAAAAGATGTACAGGGTTTACAGAAAATTCTCCTTCCTCATGTAGTGCAAGGTCTATGCCCACAGTACGAGCTAATGAAAAGAGCCACGTGAGGCTGGGATGGTGTCCAAGGGAAGCACCCTGACATTCCAGGCCTCACGAGGTAACTAACCTCTTATCAGGGTATCAGTCAAGTTAGCTGCCATTTGTAGATTCATGAGCTTGGCTCCCAGGCAAGAACAGAAAAAGTACCTCTAGGTTTTTGGTCCCAGCTTAGGAAAGGTGTAGAAAAATCAACTGGATACTTACTTAGCCTTTATTTAAAAGTTCTTAGACTTTTGTATTTTGACTGCATGTAATATGTGCATGTCTGGTGCCTGTGAAGGATGGAAGAGGCCATCAGCTGCCCTGAAACTGGAGTCATGGACAGTTGTTAGCTCCCATATAGGTACTAGGAACTGAACCTGGATCCTCTGCAAGAGCTCTTAACCACTGAGCCATCTCTCTCCAGGCCCCTAGATACTAACCTTTAGAAGTAGCATTTCCTGGCAGTTTTATAGCAACAACACTTCACTGGTCACGGTGGGCAAGTACAAGTCTATGATATGGGAAAGGTGGAAGGCAGGTTCTGGTACAATGGGTACAGTGCAGCTCTCTACCTGGCAAGCCCATTACAACACAATATCCTCTTCAAGTTCTCCACTCCTGCAGAGGGGCTTAGGTGCAGGGCTTGACCTGTGTGGTATGGACAGTGTGCCTACAAGTGTTAAAGTAAAATGGGGCACAGCCAAAGGAAAAGGGGGCTGTGTGTACATGAGATAGGAGCAGAAGTGTTTCCATAAAGGCTATAGATTTGCAAAAAACCCACCAATATTCAGGTGTGGCCTGCAAACTTGATTCTCCTACCACAGCATTCGGTGTTGAGATCACTGCTGTGTGTCCACAAATGGCAAGACCTACTTTTAAGAAAACAAATTGTTTTGGGTGTTTTTGAGGAAGAGTTTCATGTAGCCCAAGCTGACCTTGAATGCACAACACAGCCAAGGATGACAGCTTCTAGTTGCTGGCTGACTCTCTCCTCATGCTGGAAGTCCACGTGTCACCATGCCTAGTTTTACTGAGTGCTGGTGAGCTACCCTAGGGATTCATGCGTGGTAGGTGAACGCTATAAACTGAGCTACACCTCTGCCCCCATACATGTATTAAAAGCAGATACCACACATTTTTATGCACAAAACTGCACTGGTTTGAATAATTATTAACTTGACAATATTTCTCTTGTCAGTATTTTATTGTGCTACTTGTACCAAGGAATGAAGTTGTTTACTAAATTATGCTTAGACCTCTGTTATTCATTTGACAAATTCATTTAAATACGTTTAATATTTCATAAATGACAAGCAGCTCAAATACAAATTCAGCAACTATTAGTAAAAAACGAGTAAAATCAGGCAGTAATTGTCAACAAGGCAATGAACATGGACTGACCTGGCTGAAAGGCCGGACCCGAACCGCCACTCTCACACTGTCTGGGCTTGGCACAGACATTTCCCCCATTTTCTCATTATCCATAATGCTATTTGGTAGAAAAATAACATACAAAGCACACTGCTACACTTCACACGAAAACATCCAAAGCTTAGCTGACAAAGGCAGTCTGTTTCTAGGAATCAATTATTAAGAGTCCATTCATTACACACTATCAATTACCTGTCATAAATTATTTGACAACACTTATTTATTCATGAGTTTCATAGCCTCCATCAAGTGACATTCGGTGTGCACACTCATACTGTAGAACAGGGCGTTTCGTTTCTCCTTCCCACATCTACTCAACAACATTCTTCCATTCTGGATAATCTGTGCCTGAGGTCCTGTGGTAATTGCAGTTTTAACCTGAATACTAAGAGGCTTCTGTGATTCAGTAGCTTTTGCAGCATGGGTAGTCAGTCTAAAATTGGTCCGGACCCCTCTTCTCAACATCAGGCACACACCAGGTGTACTGAGTTATCTGTAGATTTATTCACATTTCTTTCTCAAACCCTTTCATGAGGTTGCTAAGAAGCAGTGAACCGGTCAATCTAACCTGGATAATTAGTCTCTGAACTGAGAGACATGATAGTCTTTAAGTTACTGAACAAGAAATGCCAGCATTATAGTTAACCAATGCATTACTGGAAAATTACTCTTTTGAGGTAGATTACACAAAATTTGTAAAACTACAAAAAAGGCAGTATCACATGCCCACAATTCAAATTCAACACACTATCAGGCAAAGCCCAAGGAAATCTGATTAACAGACTCAAAGTGCATAAATTATAAAACAGCAACTTTAAAAAATAATCAATAGTCCATCCTCATTTCAGGACTGGTTCTAAAATGGACAAATGTCTAGTTGCATATAAAACCACGACTAAGACAGAGATCCCCTCTCAAAAATCTAACAGACACACAGCATATACTTTACAGTAGTTTATTTAACATCCCAATAATAAGTCATATTTACATATTATATAAACGTATGAAGCTTTATAAAACGCCTGGACTAGAAGAACCCCACTCCATATGGAGCTACTTTACTTATTTACTTGTTTACAAAATTGTACAATTTATATAAATTATTTCCTTCCAAATCAGGTGACTTTTAATAATTCACACAAATACTGATGACTTTACAAACGGTGCATGTTAAAATCTTGAGCTAAAAATTACAGCATCTTCCTGCGTAAAATTTGCTTTGGAAAGGAAGATAGCTTCTTTCTGCCCCTTCCAAGAGTTTTTCCTGCTGCTTCTGTAGTTCTTCTTGGTTTGTTGATCTTTATTTCATCAATCGGGCTTGCCAAGGGAGAAAGCAGCTTAATTTCTACAGGAGGAGGTGACCAAGAACTTTCTTTTTCTGTGTTTCTGAAAGAGAGATACACTCAAGTAGGAACAGCACAATGTGTCGTCAAGTGCTTCACTTCGCAGACAGGTAAAGGGCGAAGGGAGCCAAAGCACAGCTGTGGGCTAATGGCAGGCAGGGTTAAAGTCAACCCCCCAACCCATCCCCATGTATGCTGACATACTTAGCTACATATACATCTAAAATAACTGCTGGGTTACAACTATGGGCCAAGCACCTATGGTTAGTTCATTGGATAAGTGTCAGCAGGCCAATGGAACTTGTAAAATTCCAATTCTAGCCAGGGGCTGGTGGCACATGCTTCTAATCCCATCACTCAGGAGGCAGAGGCAGACAGATCTCTGTGCGTTCCAGGCCAGCCTGGTCTAGAGCCCAGGACAGGCTCCAAAGCTACATGAGAAAGAACACTGTCTCAAAAAAACAAAACAAAATTCCAATTCAGACATTAGGTGTAATGGCTAACAAAATTCCAGTACTCAGTTAAGAGAGGCAGGAGGATAGCTGTTGAGTTTGAGGTTGACCTGGTTTACTTAGCAAGTTCCAGCAAAGCCAAGACTACATGTTCTAAAGACCTAGCCTAAGGGGGTTAAAAAAAAAAAAAAAAAAAAAGGTAATTCAAGGCTCAGATTTAGGTGTGCCACAAAAGGCATGGGGTGGGGTAGGGCAATTACTCAACAAGCAACTGGTAAGCTCACATGTGAGCAGTGTCATTAGTCAACTGCATCATGTTTATTAATTTGTGTGTTTATTAAATTTAGCCATGCCTAAGTACAGCATGAACAGAATAACGGAAACAAAAACGATCTCAAATGGACTAATTTTACCACAGATGCAGTAATAGTGCTAGTAGTGAAACAACTGTGGGACTTTAGTGAAAAGGCAAACCATCTTCTCTCCCAATCACATCCAGTGGATGATGAACTACTTACCTTTAGACCACCTTTAGTCTCCACAGAGTGGAGAATGCTAGCTACCTGCAACATTGGGATCTCTCTACCAATGAAAAGGAGGCAGTGCTAGGCATGTGTGAGAGGCCCCCTTTCCTATTGACTCCTGTTAACTCTAAAAAATGAATGGAAAGGCTTACCTGCTCACTTTAGTCTTCACAGTCCTGCTTCTTTTTGTTTTTTGTTCTTCTATGATTTCTAGTGGTTTAGGGTCAGTCTCCTATGGGTTAAAAAATTAAAAAATATAAAATGCCTATGCAATTAAAATTTTCCTGTTTTTGATTTTCAAGACAAAATTTCTCTGTTGGTTTCTTTCTCTGTATAGCCCTGGCTGTCCTGGAACTTGCTCTGTAGACCAGGCTGGTCTCAAACTCAGGTAAAGGTCTCTCAAGTGGTAGGATTAAAGATGTGTACCACCCAAAGTCTGATTTTAAAAGTATCCTGCTGGGCTGGAGGTGGTGACCCACACCTTTAATCCCAGCACTTGGGAGGCAGAGGCAGGCAAATCACTGAGTTTGAAGCCAGACTGGTCTACAGAGCCAGTTCAAGAACAGCCAGAGCTACAGGGAAACCGTAAACAAACAAACAAAATATCCTGCTCAGCTAAGGAGTCAAGCATCACTAAAAACACTAGGTCCTAGATAGGCCCTCTAGCTCTTTAGAAAATGTGATGATCTAGGAAAGAACTGTTCTTTTTCTCACTTCCACAAGGCACCCATTCTCCAAGTCTTGCCACAATTTCTCTTTGAATGCTTCTGGCCACTACCCTGAGTTAATATAGCTTCAGCTTGAGCCCACTTTCTCGCCATCTTGAAGGCATTGGGTCATCAGAGATGGGTTTCCTCCTTCCCAGAATACTTTCCACAGAAACTACCTGAAACCTATACATGTCTACTCAGTAGCCACCACCCTTCCATGCTTCTGAATTCCTAAAACTGTTGCTTTTATTAAAGTTCACCTCCATCCCTATGTATGCAGAAGTATTTGGGCTGAATTACTTTATTTAAACTAATTACTCATTTTTGTTCATATTTCCATGTAGGGTCTGATCTGAGAAGACTGGGGGGAAAAAGAAAAATGGTATAGGGCTCCTTTAAGAGTTTCTGCCATTAGACATGGAGATGCAGAGTTTAGAGTTTGCCTAGCTGCTTTTGGGTCTTGCCCTGGTCCAGTATTTCCTTGCTATGCCGTTAAGTATATGCATGATTTTATGTTTCTACATAAAATCTAAAACCACATATGAGAGAAAAAAAGGTTTCTCCTTTTGGGACACCAATACCTTATATAAACACCCAGATAATTTTGAGGGGGATCTCACTGTGCACCCTGGCTGACCTAGGACCTAGCATGTGGTGCAGGCTGGTGCTGAACTCTGCCTGGAGCCCTAGGATTAGGGATGCATGTCACCATCCTGGTAACTACTTTAATTTTAAAACTATCATTCTAACAGGTAACTGGAAAATTGCTGAAGTTATAAGCCACACACCACAGATCTGTCTTAAAGGTAGGAGACAGAAGTTTTGTACTTTTAATACAAATGCAAATTATCATTCTTTTTTCTTTCTTTCTTTCTTTTTTTGAGATGGGGTTGTTCTGGGTAGCCTTGGGTGTTCTCAAATTCAGAGATCCCCCTGCCTCTGCCTTCCAAGTGCTGGGATTAAAGGGACTGACTCATCACCACCAGGAGAAAATTACCTTAAAAAATATTATTATTATTTTTTTAATTGGTCTTGAGTATTTTGCCTACATGTGTACCACAACCATGTATGGTGTCCCTGGAAGCCAGCAGAGAGCACTGGACCCCCTAGAACTCGAGTTAGAAGTTGTGAGCTGGGAACTGAACCTGAGTCCCCTGCAAGGACAGCTAGTATGCTTAACTGCTAAGCCATCTCTCTGGCTCACATGTTATCATTAAATAAACTTATTTTTCAACAAATTTACTTAGGAGAAATTCACTTTAAAATCTTTATAATCCCAGCACTGAGGACCTGAAGGTAAGATCTCAACGTCAAGACAATCCTGGGGTGTGAAGGGTCTACTAAAATAAAACAGAAAAATAGTATTCACAGAGGATGTTTAAAAGAATATATATACTCATGCATTCCTTACCAGTTCATCTAGAAGCTTGGAGGTACTGGATACATTTTTCCTCCTGGTTCTCAAAGTAGGAGGGGAAACAACAAACTGAGATGATAAATCTGATACTAAGTCTTTCAGCTGGGCAGTGGCCTCCATCTTTTCAGCTAAAGGCAAATGGGAAACAAAATACTTAGCTCTATGTGTGGTTTAAAAAAACAACATAAAGGCAATTATATATACTGCATCAAAAAGCTTGGAATAAATGAAACACACTAGAAAGACAGTAACATCCCCATTCAAGGAATACAGCACATATACATCCATTATCCAAGTCAGGATATAGGAATTATTTTGGAAAAAAAAAAAAAAAAAAAAAAAAAAAAAAAGCCATTATCACTTAAGTAAACCAAATGACCGCTACCACATCACAACAGTATCCAGGAAGTACAACTATCACACATTAGTTTGATCCTCCATGTTCCTGAGCCCCTCTCAGGAAAGCATGAATCTCCTGAAGACAGTGTCAGTCTCAATTTCTAGATGAGGTTCATATTACACAGTTAATTTTATTTGCAAAGAAGTGACTCACTTTAAAACCCTTCTAGCTACCTTATTCTGAGCTACTCGTCCTAGTCAAGGGCAGAGGGGCAACACAGAAGTTCAAGTCGTAAAAGCAAAAAGTTAAAAAAGAAGCTATAACACAGATTAGTTTGAGAAATGATTTGGAGGAGGGGCTCATGGGGCTCTACCCCTTCCTGAGGTTTTAAATAGCTAAGTTGAGGGAGGTGGAATAGTCATTGGTAAGGTGGGCATGCTCTTGTAAACTACTCCCTAACTGAATCATACAAAATAAAAATAAAACAAAGAGTAAAACTAACAGGGGAACCAGCTGAGGAGAGTAAGGGGAAGATAGGGTAAGGGAGGTGGGCTGAATATATCAAAATACAGTATGTCATATATGAAAATGTGATAAAAGTATGTATCATGTAGACTCTACTTTGAACCTTTTAAATAATGTCTCTGTAACAAGGACATGTGATCATGGAAGCAATAGTGTTGTATGCCAGAGATTACATGCCAGAGTTTGGGCTTTGGCTGTGCCTCAGCTAATAGAAAATAGGACACAGGTGACAACTGTTTCACAACTGTTCTGTGATAAGCAGGTCAGAACAATCTGACACATATAGCAAGTGCTTTATAAACAAATGTCTGTATGACAGGCATGCACACAGAGACACAGACACAAACAGACTGGCTGACCAACATCAGATGTCAAATCCTGCTATTATGACCGTTGCTGGCATGAAGGTCCATACCTAAATAGATTCAGCAGGAGGTAGAGGCAAAAAAGTGACAAGTTTGGGGCCCAGCTGGTCTGATCTTACCTCAAACAAAGCAAATGCTACCACTACTCCCCAAACCAACAACAAAACCAAACCCCAACTCTCTGTGCACTCAGGTGTGGATGTAGGTGTACATCGATGGACATCAGAGGACAGTCTATGTGTACATTTGTGTGTATGGAGGTGTGCATTTATGGACGTTTTGGGTGCTGGTCCTCAGGTATCTTGGAATTAGACCAGGCTACCAGGCACATGATCATCTTGCCATTGTTGGGTATGTGTACTATGCCAGCTTTTCACAAGGCCAGTCTGGGCTACAAAAGACCTTTCCCTGGTGTGCTTTTCTTTTTTCCCCCCTAGACAGGGTGTCTCTGTGTAGCTTTAGTTGTCCTGGAACTTGCTCTGTAGACCAGACTGGCCATGAACTCATGGAGATTGACTAGGATTAAAGCATGATCCACCTTCACCCAGCTCAAAAAGAGTTGTTATTTGAAGGGAACAATAAAACCTATGTCAACAGACTGTGGTATACAGAAAGCCATCACAGTCTCTGGATAATCTTGAACCTGAAAACCAACTAGTAAACAAACCTTTATCTCAGGGTCTGTTTTTTGGGGGTAATAATAAACTTTTTTTTAAAGGAAAACATTCAGTGCTTCAAATTAATGAACTCAAATAGTGTTTTTTAATGACCAAATATCAGGCTGTGCATTCTAAATAAGATAAAAATAAAGAATAAAATTAAATACCTTTTGCTTTCTTTGGAACCTTCACTGAAGGAGGAGAAAATAAAGGCTCAGCTTTGGGTTCTGAAAAGTCTGTCAACAACATGGTCTTTCTAGACCTAGTCCTTGTGCTCCGGGAAGATTTAGTCAAAGCCACAGCAGCAAGCAATCTTTCTTCCTGGTCAGCTGGCTCTTTGTGGGTTGTTTCAGCCTTAAAATTTGATATTGCTGGTAATGGACTTGTTTGGCTTTCGTTTGCAGACTTCTTTGTAGGTTTTTTATTAGAGGTCATCACTATAGCAACTTCCTCATTTGGCACTAAAATGGATTTTCCTGACGTACTCACATTTCTAGCTGGGGTGTTCCGAGTAGATCTTCGGACACTCAGAACTTCTGTCTTCTGGGGGCTTGTCTGTCCCTCAGTAGCCATGGAGCCACCATCTTCTAATGACACTACTTTCCTTGGTCTACCACGTTTCCTAGGTGTGGCCGGCACATCAAATTCTGTTTGAATTGGCAACTGGGATGAATCAAGCATAGGCTCTTCTATCACACCCGACACACTAACTTCTCTCTCTCTGACCCTTCTTCGTTTAAGAGGCAGTTGCTGGTCACTGGGTCGCTCCCGTTTATAGTCTACATGTTGAGAATCTTCTAAGTTAGCATTCCTCCTCTTTTTGTTGGTCCCGCTCTGACTCGTTGCTGTATTGATGTCTAGATCTCTTACAGTGTTAGCACTTTGCCCATTTTCTACAGATTTCTTAAGCCTTCTAGGAGTCCCTTTTTTAACGGATGAGAGCATGTCTCCTGTTCTGGAAGGCATTTCCTCAGTGGCTGGCTCTAGTGGCTGCGGTCTCAGCTTTTCTGGTGGATCTTGTGGCTCCTGCTCCACAGCACCAGGGGTTGCTAGTGTGTCTTGGCTAACTTCCCTTTTCTTCCTCCCTCTCCTAGGAGTGAGAGAATCCTGAGGGGCTAGCTGGGTCTCAGATGCTATGTTTATATCAGAACGGGTACTGTCAGAAGACCCAGAAAATTCTTTTACTTTTCTAGTTTTCCTCTTAGGAGTAGCAACTGCTGAGGACTCCTGTTGTTCTGATGTGACATTCAGGTTTCGGGCACGCTGCCTTCTTGTGCGGGTTCTAGTAGAAACCATGTCATCAGCCTGGCTGGTGTCTACAGTCTCAGCATTTGTTTCCTGAAGAGTCTTCAGTGCAGACTTTGTTAACTTGGAGGAACGTGTAACCTTTGGGCTTATAAAGGCTGTATCTTCATCAACAACCTGTTCCACTACTGCTGAAGCCACTTCTTTACTTCTTGTGTCTTTAATTACATCCAACAAATTTTCTGCAATTGCCACTTTAATTGGTTCAGGCACATATGGCAAAGTCTCTACCTTGTGGGATTCCTGGCCACCAGTTACATCAGACGGCAAATCTGTAACATGTTCTTGACTATTAGGTTCCATTGGGGACGCAGGTTTTTCCTTGGCTGCTAAGTTAGTTGTTTTTGATGACATATTCGTTGCTGCTGAGTCACTTGCCTCAACTTCTCCTTCTTCACCTTCCAATATCAAGGTAAAGTTGCTCTGTGCCACAAAAAGTTCCCCATCTACTTCAGCGACATCACATTCAGCAGAGTCTTTATCATCAGGTGAGTCACAAAATTGCTGCTCAATAGTATCAAAATTATACTGAAGGTTAAGTGTTCCTGAGGGATACAACTCATTAAAGGAAAGATTCTTGGCTCCCTCTTCTGAATTTTGAACTTCAAGTTTTTCGTGTCCAATCAGCTAAAATAAATGAAAGGTAAGAAACTAGTTAATGAACTATAAAATACGTTTTAACTTAAAGCATACAGGATTTTAATGACCATCTCACTCTTTGTGTGTCCATTTTACAATACAAACTATACTTTTGGCATATGCTAATGGATTTACTTCATGAAATATTCACTTAAGAAACAAAACCTCAGTCAAAATAACTATACAGAAAAAGATATTGAGATTATGGTTGGAATTAAACTAGAAATTCCACATTTCCTTAGCTAAAAAGACAGTACTAATAAAATCATTATGTTAACAATTCTAAAATTAAAAACTTATTCACGTATCTAAAAAAAAACTTAACTAGAGAAAAGGAAATAACCCCAAACAATAATTCCCAAATTACCTAACTATCCACACTTTTCTAAACAGCATGATCCCCGTAAGGTTGAAGAACAATTCACCTACATAAGCTCCCTTGGGCTAGACTCAATCTTCTTCCCTTTGCTGGGGTTGCACAAACCATGAAATTCCTAAGGCTGTCAAGTTCAGTACCTCTCCTGCAAGGGTTTGGTGGAAGAAGGAATGGTCCTTGCATTTACCTTTTGGTAAGAGGGAAGGGGAGAAAAAGGAGGAGGTAGAAAGTAACAGAGAGATCTCCTGACCAAGAAGGAAGACATTATCACCCACCTAGACAAAGACATTTTCCCACTCCCCATAGTGAGCTAACAGGCTGGACAGGCTAGAAATGAGGAGTCCCGTTACACCACACCCACATGTTTGTTAGCACTCAAACTGAAGAAATAGGAAATTTAGTGCCATTTACTTCAGGGAGAGAATACTTATAAAGATGAATGTGGATGAATTTATACCCCTCTCCCCAATCCCATACAATTAGATTTCTATGAGTAATTAGGATGATTAGAAGAGTTGGCTTTTAATCTTCATTTACTGAAAGTTCCCTTGACAATGAAAGGGATTTGGAATAAGATTTTAGGAAAGCAGGAAGTCCTATCAAGTACTAAAAGAATCCTTTTCTCTAATGTCTTTCTCCCACAGAAATGGAGGGAGATCCTATTTCACTGTATTCACTTATCACAGATGGAGTCTTCACGTCAAATAATCACTATGTTTACTGATAACTAAAAAGCTTCCATTTAAAGTAAGCAAAAAATAAATAAATAAATAGCTAAATTTTGGCATATAATTTGGTTTTTCATAAGAATCTCTTAAATGTTATTTTATATTCCAGAAAATATTTTTTTGAGCAGAACTTTATATTGTCAAATGAATACACTAAGTTTAAGTGATTATCTTTAAAGCCCAGCTAAATAAAAACGTATAAAGCATTAAAAAATTAATATTTTTACATGAATTTCTTGAGTATCAGGAGGACTGACAGAAATTTGAGGCTTTTCTTCTGGTAAGCCAACATGTACATCAGCTTCTACTTCATGATGTTCTTGTAGGTTTAGTGTTACTTTCTGGTCAAGGCTATGTTTGGAGGTAGCAGGGCACTTGGATGTGGTGGGCCCAGAGCTTTCACCATCTTCAACCATGTTGGCCACTGCTGAAAAACAAAACAAAACATAGTAACTTCTTATATTCCAAAACCCAAAACCTGATTTATAAAATTCAGAAAGCAACAGATTACCTTACTTAAGAGTATCTGAATATGCTGTCACAAGATTTGTGATGGCTTCAGGAGGAATACCTATCCATGGCTTCCCATTTTCTTGGATAGTAAGTATTAAATTGAAACAGTATATACCCGCTCCCCACAAAGGCAAACACGGAAGATAAACTTCACACTTGAAAGAAAACCACATTGGCCTTCCCAAAATGGAATACAATCCTTGCCATTATTGTGAAAGTTTACTATGATGATCACTACACTAAGGGGACTCAGACTATAGAAAACCAGCTACCCTCATTGAATCTTACAGAATTCCATGAAGCCTACAACCTGGACTTTGAGGTAGCTACAAAATGGACGGATGGGTGTCGTCCTTTTGGTAGAGAGCATCCAAGTGCGTACAGATGTCTTCTTTGGAACGCCCTAAGTTTATGGCCCACTTAAAAAGGAAACCTCTTTTTTTTTTTTTTTTTTTTTTTTTTTTTGTTTAAGCTTTGTACATTACTATGAGGCTTGACATTTGTGACTGACACAAAACACAATAATCTCGAAGTGGTTAACAATGTCTATATTTAGCCTAATTAAATACCCCTATACTTTTAACACATAATGGTGTTCATATCCCTAAAATGTAATGACTAGTACAATGGGAAACGATTCACAGACAAGTTTGGCACCATAATCCACCTCCCTCTCTCTATACATGAAGTCCACCACCTTTAATTAAAAAAAAAAAAAAAAAATTAGAAGTCTACGAGCGGTCTTTGACCCTCTAAGCTATGTCTACTGAAGAGAAATATGATACCTACTAAAGAAATAATGAAACAATAGCTTATTACAGGACATCCTTATTCAATGACAGGGTACAGTATTAAAGGACAGGATGATGTATGTATTGCTGCTATGGAAAAAAATCTTAAATATTTTAAAAGTTTTTCTTTTAGTTAAATGTAGTGATGATGTAATGGTATTTGTAACAGCAGGTAGCATGCATTAATTTTTACTGAGTGCCAAACACTACTCTAAACATTTTACATACATATAAAACATACCCAGGAATAGCTCAGTCAGTACAGACCTGAGTTAGGAAACCAAAGCAGTCTCCATCATATCTGCCCATTCTGCAGTTACATTACTATCTCCTCTTTCCACACGTGGGGACAACTTAAATTGGTAAAAACAGAGCCTAAAAGGCTTCTACTTACATGTTACAATAAACATATAATTATATCTCACATTCCTTTTGTTATTGCTGTCTGTCTATTTTAGAGACAGGCCTCTATATGAAACAATCCTGGCTGTATTGGAGTTTCCCAGTAGACCAGGATGGCCCAGAATTTAGAGTACTAGGATTAAAGACATAAAATCACCATGCCTAGAACATTTCATATTCTTAATCTTGGGGCAAAATTCTTAAGCTTACCCTGGACACTACTGAAACTATGATAGGCCAAAAGGTGTAATAGTGGAGAGTATGTATGTGATCTAGGCCTGGATAGCCCCATCAAAGCACAGTGTTAGGAAGATTGAATGAGCTAATACATATGAGATGGGTCTGGGAGAAGATATCCTTGATTTAATTGGAACCCAGAGTAAAAAATACCACTTTCAGCCAGGCAGTGGTAGCACACATCTTTAATCCCAGCACTTGAGACACAGAGTTAGGTGGTTCTCTGTGAGTTCAAGACCAGCCTGGTCTATAGAGCTAGTTCCAGGACAGGTTCCAAAGCTTTAAAAAAAAAAAAAAAAAAAAAAAAAACCCAAAAGCTAAAAAACACCTACCACCTTTTCATTTGTATAAAACAAAACTAAACATATCAAAAATTTGAAGTATTTAATATATATTTATGGATTTCCCTGAATAAAATGCTATCCCTTCCTGTCCAAAGCAAAGTATGTCCACAAAATTCACTGAGAATCCTAGTCCTTTTTGAGACAGGGTTTTTCTGTGTAATAGTTCTGGCTGTCCTGGAACTTGCTCCTGAGTGCTGAGATTAAAGGTATGCCAATCCGAAATTCCTCCTAAGAGTCTCTTGATAGCCTTAGAATTCTTTTACGCCAAGGAAGCTAGCCGGAGGAGAACAAGAGAGAAAAGAAAAAAAAATCTAGTAATATTCTTCTAAATACATGATTCAAAACACTAAATGATACATACATTCATCGTAGTCTGCCCTGATTGTGGAGGCTTGGCTTTCAACAGACATTACTCCATCCAAAACTGATGCCTTGGATCTTGACGTGGGGATTTTCCTTGAGAAATAGAAATGTACACTTGAGTATATGAGATCCACCTGTCCTGTCCTCTCCTTTCTACTTTGTTATGAAATCCAAAACACAGAAAACACTATCAAGCACATTTAGGTTTTATAAAATTTACAAGAAAATTACGGTTGCATTTGTTTTTCCTACTTTCTTGTAACAATGGTATGGCCTTAAAAGTTCAAATAAAATTATTACTGAGTGTCTGCCATGATATAAATTTACATTTCAGGCATTTAAAAATAATCAGCAGCAGCCTGGCATTGTTGGCTTACACCTTTAATTCCAGCACTCGGGAGGCAGAGGCAGGCAGATCTCTTTGAGTCCGAGACCAATCTGGTCTAAGGAGCTAGTTCCAGGACAGCCTCCAAAGCAATACAGAGAAACTCAGTTTCAACAAACAACAACAACAACAACAACAAATCAGTAGCTATTTTTCAAATTAAGTCTGTCAGGTGTCAGGGTTTTCTGATTTGGTAGGCTCAGGATCAGCACTTTAATGCTAACTGGAAATATTAAGGCAAATGACTCAGAATGGACAACCAAGGAGAATAAGGTTGTAAAATGTCCTGGCAGTTATCGTCACCTATCACTGGCTTTTCCCTAAGTCATAACTAAAGTATGCTGAATTTTAAAGATAGGATAGACAATATATTCCCAAGAGAGCGGTTTCTGAATACAAACATCTGTACATGTTTGTGAGATTATCTTGATAACAATATTTATAGCAATGATGGTTAATACACAACAATTAAATCTCCACAATCTTCCTGATAAGTTTGTTTCAAAGAAACTAGCTTGTCAAAATATTGATATACACCTAGATTCTCACTGAAACAAACTTTTCTGATATGAATGGTAATTTGCTTTTTGATTATTTCCAACTGAAATAATACTCATTTTTATTAAAATGAAAAATTAACAAAATAAGCAATTAAAAAAAAAAATCAAGAAAATCTTTTATTTCTCCTACCTTTTTTAAAAAAAATTGAAGTCCTGGGAGATTCCAGTTACTGAACTTTTATTTCTCAGCAGAAAATGTGACTGAGTTTGATAAAGATGACAATCCATGTTTTGTGAATAGCTTATAATGTCATACCCAATGCTTGCTCATAAAGAACTATTTTTGTATCTTATAAAATCATTGTTTATGTGGGCTAGTTTTATTAAATTTAACTTATTATTTCTAAAGAAAGAATTAAAGCTGTCACTGTTTTATATACAGTGCTACTCCAAGTGCTGAACTCAATCAAAGGTGATCATACAATCAATTAGGTCAGCTGACCCTCAATAATGGAAGCAGTGTATTTTAATGTAACCTTACATCCGATTGTAATTTTGGAAGAGAACTAAATTGCTAGACTGGGCTTTCTTCCCCACTAATGGAGATAGTCTCCCTGTAATAACCCAGACTGACCTCTAACTCATGTTTCTCCTCCCTCATCCTCCCAAGTGCTGAAATCATAGTTGTTAGCCACCATACCTAGCACACCATGTTTCAGATAGCAAGTGCTAAATAAAACACATCATCTAGTACAGCTTGGCTTTGCTGGCACTTGAAGCATAATATTTTAAAATGACCACTAGAAAAATGACTTTTGGGTTTTTTTTTTTTTTTTTTTTTTTTTTTTTCTTTTAAATCGTTTTGCCATTTAAGCTATGGCCATCCTATTCAGCAACTGCAACTCTGCTGATACCAGCAGCAGCTAGCTAGGCAGTAAGAGCTGAAAGTCTGAGGGAATTCTGTTCCCTCAGGCACCAACTTTTTAAAAGCTACTAAGGAAATTTATTTAAATCTCTCTCTGCTAAAGAACTTAAGATTCAAAGGCCGATACAGAATCCTGCTTTCTAGAGAGGCAGATCACCTAACTCACCTGTGAGTCTCCCAAGAAGTCCTCGTGTTCATTCTCACCCCTCATCCCTTCTTATAAACCTGGCTCCTCCCTACAACTTCCTGTCAGCTGCTGACCCAGCCTCCTGACCTCAGGTGAATTTTATTTAATCAAACATATATTTGCATCATTAAACAAAGGTAATTAACAGAGCATTAAACAGAGCATGAACAAAGGTAATACACCTGAAAATAATATTCTACAACATTTTGGTCTTTTGTTTTTTGACACAGGGTCTCATTATGTAGCTCTAGCTGTCCTGGAATTCACTATGCAGACAATGCAAACCAGTCTGGCCTTTAATTCACAGAGATCTGCCTGTTTCTGACTCTCAAGTGCTGGGATTGGCATGTGCCACTATGTCTGGCACATTTTTGGGTCTTCTATCACACTCAAAAAAGGAATAAAACTGTCTTAGGAGGTGACGACACAGACTGGAAGGGGCAGGGCAGGAACCAACTGTCTGAATCACCTTCTATACACACACATATATATATATGTGTATAGCTGCATGCACATGGAGGCCGACCTCAGATCTCTATTATTTATTATTATCTTTTTTTTTTTCTTTAAACTTTTTTGGGCCGGGGGTATTTCCAGACATGGTTTCTCTGTCTTGGCTGTCCTGGAACTTGCTCTTTAGACCAGGCTGGCCTCTGCCTCCCAAGTACTGGAATTAAAGGCATGCACCACCACCATCTGGCCCCAGGATCCTCTTGTGTGAACAGAGCTGGTAGTCTATGCATACAGTATGATTTTAAATAGGACACTGGAAACAGAACATGGGTACTATGGAAGCATTCTTAAACGATAGGCCATCTTTCCAGCCCCCATTTACTTTAAATATATGTGTAAGTCTGTGGGTGGGTATGTGAGAGTGTCTAGTGTAGGAAGAGACTTCAGATCCCTGGAGCTGGAATTATTGGCAGTTTTGTGCTATCCAATGCAAGTGCTTGGAATTGAAGTTAGGTCCCTTGGAAGAGCAGTGCACAGCCTTGACCAACAAGCTATTATCTGAAACCCCCTCATTCATTTCCATAAACTCACCCTTCAGAGACGGAGGACACATTAAGAGAACCTTCAACTCTTTGAACAGGGCTTGAGCGACTGAATTCTGAAAATGCCTCCACTGCAGCTTCCACAGTGCCTGGGAGTCAGACAGACAAGGCCATGGTGAACTTCTTGCCATCACTTTAAAGAAACTGCTGGTCCTACTTTTGTTCTAATTCTTTGGCAATAACAGGCTGTTAGCATTTCCTTCTCATTCTTTGGGCCTAGCTCAAGAGCCCATTCTTAACTTCCCACATTTCTTTCTTTTTTGATATAATGGATGGTCTCTCTAATATAACTCAACCCTCAATACCCAAAGAGATAGTTAAAAAGAAAATAAACAATCAAAAAACTCAAAGCATAAATCTACATGCATGCTTAGCCCTGATCACAAACCATGTTTAGAAACTGAGCTAAACTTCAAACTTAATGTATTAAACTCCAGGGTTTATGTTATATGCTATCCCTACTTGAGAATACTTAGTAGAAACAATTAATAAGATACTGATATGAGTATCCTTATCTAAGGATGACCATTTAAGTATTTTAGTGAAATATAGCATATTAAAAAATAAAGCAGCATTACATTCTAGACACATTTTCTATTTATAAGCCAAATCCTAAAGGTCTTAGAATAATTAATGTCTATTATTTGCTAAAGACACCAAATGTAAATAGACTTACCTGTTACAAAACCTTCATTCTGTCTAGGCTAAAAACATTAAATACAATCTATTTATGACACAGATTTTTTAAGGAGGTAAAACTTCACATATCCCAGGCTAGTTTCAAATACTATACAGGCAAGGAGGACCTGGAACTTGGGTGGGATTACAGTTCTACTATGCCTGCTTGACTTGGTGCTGGGAATTGAAGCCAGGGCTTTGATGCATGCTAGGCATCAACTGAGCTCCATCCAATAGACAAATTTTTATTGTATGTATTTGGTTTTATATATCTAAAGAAATACCTTTCATACAGTTGCTAAAAAACATAATACTGTAAAACAGGTATTTGATCTACCAATTCTAAGCCAAGTCTCCCTTTTTATGTTCACTTGGCCCGTATCACAGGACATTATTAACCAAGTTGAATTTTAAGTGTCTGCCAATACAGTCTACTACACACTACATAATGTACAGGCAAATAGTGTATCTAGCACACTCACTACTGATAGGTAACAAAAGCCAGCACTTATTAGGGGGTGGAGAAGGTGATTTTCTACTAGAGCACATACTTTAGGGGCTCAAAAAAACAAACAAAACAATAACAAACTTTAAATAAATAAACAAATAATAACTCCCATCACCAATAAAACAACAAACTTTTCAGTAAATAAATGATTATTAAGGCAATAGAATACTGACTGGGCCTGAGCACATTTATGTGCTTATTTTAGAGGTGAGGGCAGACAGCAGAACCAAATTCCTGATTTCTAGCAAACAGACTACTAGAAAAGTATAAAATTACAGTATTCACCCAGTCTATAAAGTTGGCACTATTCTCATAGTTACTGGAAAACCTTCAAGGCAGACTACGTATGGAGTGTTAGGTCTCTATTTTAAATACTACTACTGCTGTTTTCCAAATGTCATGGGTAAATAAAAAGGTAGCACATATAAGTTCTCTTGTTGTCAAATGTCTTACACCTACTTATGAAAGAACACACGTTTTCCTAAGCTAAAATAAAATTTACTTTGTCTATGACCTAGTACACTGTGAGAAAGAAAAAAAAAAAACAAAAACAAAAAAACAACTGTTTATTTAGCTTCAACACTTTCCTATAGTAGAAAATATCCTATTATGAAATTTTGAGTGTATACAAAGAGTTCCTACCCATTTGTTTCTCCACAACTGAAGGAGTACTTTCTGACTTAAACAAATCTTTATCATTCTCCTGCTCAGTTGGTAGAGTCGAAGCACTTGCTGGCTTGGGGGACACAAAAACACCATCTTCAAAGTCCTCTGGTGATGGTGCATCATGATATTCTAAGGAAGTCTGGTCTGATCTGGTTGAAGCAATGCTGTCTTCCTTGCTCACATCCTGTTTCTCCAGAGTTTGTGAGTGGGTGTCCAGCAATCCTGCAACTTCCTTTTGATGACCCTTTGCAGGGATATCCAGAGGAAAATATGCATTTTTATCACCAGTCTTCATCCATTCACTGTCTGCTGGGAGTCCACATTCATGGAAAGATGTACTAACAAACACTTTTGAATTATGGTCATCTGTAGCCTGGAATTTATGAAAAGAAAATTAAAGCATCAGAACCCTTAGCTAATCAACATAATCACACCCACTGATCCTTTCCACACTTCATATTTTTTGGAACTTAATTACAATTCATTTGTTTCAAATCAATTTTTTTTAGTTGCAGAACTAAAAGTGAACTGCTATTAACATTAAACATTTCTCTATCAGTAATTTATCACCCATTAAAACAAAAGACAATGTACAAAACAGACAATGAAAAAGTATCAAGTAAGTAGATTTCTATTAATATTAGAGTGTCCACAGACACTCTTTCTGCAAGAAAAGCAACAAGATACTGGATGAAAATCAAACCACCATCAGGAGGTTATATATCCTTCTGTTATTTCTGTCCTTTAAGATGTAGATTCTCAGTCCCTTTATTTTAATAGCATAATAGTGTAAACACACACACACACCCCTACTGTATTTTACTTGTAGAAAATATATACTGGCTTAGCCCATGTTCTAAAGGTTTTTGCAGGACTATTTTGTAGTTTTAATACAAGACTGCATTAAAAAAAAAAAAAAAAAAAAAAAAAAAAAAAAAAAAAAAACTGCAATGTTAATCAAACTTACTCTATCTCTATCAGTCCAGTGTGTGTTCACCCCTTCTTCCATGAATGAAATCCTGGTTTCTTTAAGTCTGAAAGGTGGAGTGAGAGATCTTCTAGGTGATAGAGAGGGAGATGCTAAAGGTGTTGTTCGAAGACCAGACCTTAGGATGGATGGAGGAGTAAACTCGGCAAATCCAGAAGAAGTAGCTGACAAAGCCAAAGATTTAGCTTTCTATGGTGAAGAGCAAAGGGAATCACATTATTAATGTTTGTAAGTAATTTACACAAGGGCAGAGAATAATTTCAAAGCATATATACATTTTTATCTTCAAAAAAAAAAGTACAAAATTTTATTTCAGATTGGTGGAAAAATACAAAATTCAATTAGAACTTTCTGTTCAGTTTGCAAGACAAAATTATTTTTACATTCTTTCTATTCTAAAGGCCCTGACTTTTTCCTCTTTAACTAATAAAAAAATCATATGCAAAAATACTTGAAAAAATGAAAAATATGTATGTCTATTACTACCAGTCATCACAAGTTTGGATTTATTTTCTTCTTAGTAATTTATCTAGGATGGTTGATTATAAATAGTATTTCAAAGTAAAACAAGTAAAAATAAGCCTAAAACCAAAGTATTTGGAAGAAATAAAATACAAATATGACGATTATTAGCAATAAAGTTTGTGTGTGTATTTCAAAAGGACAGCCTCTATATAGTACTTTGAAAATATAAGCACAGCCAGGCATCGGTGGTGGCACATGCCTTGAGTCCCAGCACTCAGGAGGCAGAGGCAGGCAAATAAATCTCTGAGTCTCAGGCTAGCCATGTCTAGAGATTGAGTTCGTGCACAGCCAGAAACAATACCTCAAAAAACAAAACAAAAACCCTAAAAGTAAAGCATTTAACTACCCATAGTTATGCCATAAACAGCTTAATTTCTCTATGCTACTTGAAATATGCTAATTTCTCAAGAAAACAGATAAGTAATACTAACCTTAACTACAGGAGGAGTTTCAAGTAAAAGTAATTCTGAAGGCCTGGAGGTATTTTGATGTGGCCTTTTTAATTGTGAACTTAATGGCAATGAACTGGATAGCAGACACAGAGGAGGTCTTGAGGGACTTCGCTGAATAAACTCCAAACCCTGAGAAGGCTGGGGGATAGGATGAACAACCAAATCCAGTAATCTGCAATTAAATAGAAAAAACTTAGTAACTTCTTTAATAAGTTCAAAACAAAGACTCATATTTGTGTGCTCACTACTAAATACTACTACTATACATGTAAACAATTTTAGGCAAGTATACTAAAGAAATAAAAATGCCAGCATTAGTTTAAAAAGTCTGAAGTTCTCTCAAAAGCAAAAGGGAATTAGGAATTGTAGCTAACAGTTTCAAAACAAAGAACTTTAGTTACCTACCCTCCTTTTACATGTAATTTCAACTTCCAGGAAACATCTTCAGGTCACAGTGTCTGTTGGACCTCTTGTATAGGTAGTTCTTCTGGCTATGTTTTATTTAAGATAGAGTGTGTGCATGTAGCCAAGGATGGCTTTTAACCCCTGATCCTGTTGCCTTGCCTCCCAAGTGTAAAGATTATGGGTATATACCATCATGCCCAGCTTATGACTAAAATGTGTATTGATAAAACCAGCGCCATCGCCAAGCAGTGATGGGGCACATCTTTAATCCCAACACTCAGGAGGCAGAGGCAGGTTGATCTTTGTTAGTTGAAGGCCAGTCTAGTCTACAGATTGGGTTCTAGAACAGCCTGGCCTACATGGATAAACCATGTCTAGAAAACACCCCCCCCAAACAAACAAAAACAAATAACAAAAAACCCAGCACCATGTACTTCCTCCAAAATGCAAGCAAGACCTCAGCTGACAATGTTCAGGAAAGTGTGATCTGCTTCGCTGAGGCCAGAAATAACCTCTGAATGAGGTGTTTTCCTCAGAATCCCAGTCTTTTGATTCAACTTCCCACTATTAGAGGGGCACCAAACTGTTACCCGCCCCTCACACAGATGACTAAAATTATACTTTAGGTCTTGGGATTTCCTCAAGATTTTTTGGTGTGATCCAAATAAGAATGGACTTTCTAGCATATACACAAAACAAACAATAGAAAACAGCAGGTAATCCTTAGGAAAATGCCAGAGTTGACTGATAGTACCCATTGGATTCTACTTCTTCAAAAGGTGACTCATTCTATTATTTCCTGTCCAATAATTTACACCAATATAAAAATACACAACTGGGGAATGCATTAATTTTTCTGAGAAGGCATACAGTCATAGTTAATAGGATAGCTGTATCTGACTTAATATTAGTTTCTCATTACACTTGATCACTGAAGCCCTTTGGCTGAGTCTTCACAATGGTCTTACTGCCTTCTGTTACTCTATGCTGCTAAGTTAAAGGGACAAAGATGGTGACTTGTTGGAGATAATTATAACTAATAAAAAAGACAAGAGAAATCAGTTAAAATTTCATTTATACCAGTTAATTATCATGAGGTAATGGAAACCATCTAACTAAATTTAGTCTAAAAAGCAGGTCCTTCTCAAATTTCAAACTATGTCCAATTATGAAAGTTCCACAAACATCTTTGGTTTCAATTATTTGTTATAAATTTATGGCAAGTAACTTGTCATTGTAAAAACTGAACTTTAATTTTAATAAAAGTGTAACTTTTGATAACACAACCAAAAATTTAAAATACTGAGGTACTACTCAGAATTAAAATATTTTGTTAGTAATATCTATGAATACTTTGCAGCTATCCAATGTCTTAAATGTATATTTAGTCACAATTTCATTTTTTATGTAAGACTTTAATAATCATTTAGGTAAGGTCAAAGTATTACTACAACTAAGCAGCAAAAGATACTTCAGTAAACCTGGGAGAAATCTTCACCAAGTCAATCAAGATTTAGTAACTACTTAACATGAACAACATTCTTATAGAGATCAAAAAAAAAAAAAAAAAAAAAAAACACCCAAGTTTGACAGATTACTTTCCTAAAGGTTTTCGTATGGTATGCTTATTTTCACTAAGCTGCATGAGGTAAGTAAACAGAAATGTTAAGTATACTAACAGCTAATGTATAATTTCCTATTATTATTATACTCTTATCCAAATTTTAATAGAAAGTATTGAAATTTTTACTTAAGAACTTAAAATAGTACCTGTTAAACCCTAATTGCAGCTGGGTGCATGCCTTTGATCCCAGCCCTTGGGAGGCAGAGGTAGGCCTGAGTTCAAGGCCAGGCTGGCCTACAGAGCTAGTTCTAGGACAGCCTCGAAAACAATACAGAGAAAAAACCCTGTCTCAAAATACCAAAAAATGAAAAAAACAAACAAACAAACAAACAAAAACAAAACCTAATTACAGTTTTTTTCAATACAATCCAAGAAAGTCTCACCTAGAAATTCTCTGGGATGTTTTTGAAATTGGTGTTCCAACAAATGCCTCAGGAAGCTCTGGATGTGAGAAACGATGTACTACAGAAGACGGTTGTTCAGTTTTAGGGCTACAGAGAAATAAAAACTCAAATGTAAGTTATATACCATATGGGTTACTGGCAAAAAATTCTAGGAGATTAGATGGAAGATAAAGAAAGGATGTCCATTTTTCACTTTGAAAAAAGGCCAGGAAGGATCAGCAGGAAAACATGTCCCAGTGACCGAGTTCAATCTCCAGATCCCACATGGTGAGGAGAACTGAATCCTACAAGTTGTGCTCTGATCTACACACACACATGCGCGCACACACATACTCACAGACAAAACAAATCCTTTAATGAGCAGCTAACTTAAAGAAGTTTCATTTTTTATATTCTATAATAACCTTGCTAACACCAAGGTGCCTTGCTAATGAACATTGCTGCTGTTCTGCAAAGAGTACATACTTGCCTCATACTCTGAGCTTGATCCCTGGGACAAATATGGTGGAAGGGCAAAACCAACTCTTGTAAACAGGCCTCTAATCACTGCACAGACTCTGTGAGCTGCATGCCTTAACCCTCCACCACACACACAAAGTAAGTAAAACTTAAAGGTAATTAGAAACAATACCTATTGTAAAGTGAGATGCCATTTTTAGGTTCATGACTTGCCCACACCTCTCCAATTTTAGATAATACATTATTGATGAAAGTAGATCTTGTTAACACTGTTCCAGTTACAGCTTTCTTTGGAAATGCTGATAATGGTTTGGGTCTAGAAACTGAAAAATAAAGAATACAGGACTCAGTCCCATCTCTGACAAGGTTTTTATAAAAGAAAAAAGGAAACATGACTGTACAACACAAGGAAATGATGGTGACTCCAGGAAGGGAATCACTCGGTATCTTTCCCAGCCTGAGTATAAGCATTCTGCAATGGAATTTTACCTTCACGAAAAACTGATGATGTTGATAGATGGTAAGGCTTAGCTCGCTCAACGGCTAATTTTCTCTGGACTCTAGGTAGGATTTTCCCATATTGGTCTAATATAGAATTTCGAGCCACTGATCTCTCCCGCAAACGTGGGTCACGATCACTCTATTGAATACATTATAATTAACAAAAATTTAATTTTTATGTTAGATGCCACTATATATTTATACCTGAAATTATGAATATAGTATCTTTCTTCTATCTACGTTTTTCCAGCTCAGATTTCATATACTCCCTTAAAATTGTGCACACATCTACACATTCCATATATCCACTACCAAGACTTGATCCTTCACAATGAATACAAACAATGTATCATGAATGTAACACTCCTTTACATGTAGCTTCATGTGTGGGGAGCAGAGGAAGCCCTGTGTTAAGATCTGAGTGAATGTGTGTTGTTGACATGGCTATGGGTATGTCAACACCCTGCCACACATACATAGAAAGCAAAAGCTTCCTCTGGTTCATATGTGTACACAGAATATGTAGCTTTCTTCCATTGGATATTTTTGGCCTGAAGACTACTTCTACCAAGATTAAATAAACCTGTCTCCTTGATCCAGCTGTACACATACCACAAACCCTACCTTCTCCTCATTTATCTGTATAGAATGCAGATAATAATTATCTGTCTAATTGCATATAATAAATAAGCTGAACTTCCAGGGTGCTTGGCGTTCTTCCTAAAAGAAGAGCCCAATCCCCCGGATTCCAGCTATTTTGTGTCTCTATGTTTATATTTCTTTACTCTCTCGATGGTTCAGTCAGGTCCATCCCTGGGACCAAGGTAGATATGACATCCAGGCAAACAAGTTCCCAAATATTGTCATTTTAGTGATCACTAAGGCTCACAAAGAGTGTCCTATGTGCACAGAACAAGCTAAGAGTCAGTGTGACTTCTGAAGTTCATTGTTTTCTATATTACACAACTACTCTCAGAGTCCTCCTTTCGTTTTCACTATCAGAACACAGTGGCATGTGCAGATAACCACACCCATGAGGATTCTTTAAGCTCAAGACAACATAAAGCAAATGGTCACGCTGAAACTATGTTCTTGTAACACAAGTAAAAAAAAAAAAAAAAAAGATCTGTTTCCTTTTTTTCACACAGTGAGACAACTTTAATCATACCGTGAGATTATTCTTCAGTGTTTGGTTTAGTTTCAAGGCAGAAATATAATTTGCACGCTGCAAATGGTGAACTAGAAGAAATTCATGATTCTGAACACTGGTACTGGATTGTAAAAATTTCACTAAACATTCCTAGGGAGAACAAGAGAGATTTGTAAACTTATCAATTTACCCTAAATTTCTTTTAAGTCTACACTGATTGCTGATTAATTACCTGCTCAGTGTCTGTAAATGGTAGCTTCAGTAAATCCTCCATTAAGCCCATTTCCTGACAAACTTCATAAGCATGCTTTAATAGTTCCTCTATATTCACTCTGTTTGAGTTGTGTCGCAGTAAGTTCCAGGCCTCAACCATGCACCTGAAATCAGTACCAAAGGTTAAAAAAGCCATATAAGACAGAAAAGGTACCCGACACAACATTTTAAAGATAATTTGCATGCGCAACTATAAAATACTTGAAATTTTTATTGAATATTGATACACAATGAGTCTTGCTAATGTCAAAAAGATAACTGGGCACTTGCTCCCCCACAAGACAGAACTTACTATGTAGCCCTGGCTATCCTGGAATATACTATGTAGACCAGGCTGGCCTTAAACTCAGAGAGATGCCTGACTCTGCATTCCCAGTGCTGGAATTAAAGGTGTGTGCCACTACATCCAACTACAACTAGGCACCTCAATTTTATGCAGCTTTCCAATATTTAAGCGTTGCGTAGTAGACAAACAAAGCTGACTGACAAGGTGGCAAAATCTTAAGGGTGGCCTGAAAAGAATTGAAGGTTTGTGTGGTATGACAGAGAATAATCAGGATATCATGGTAGTGACACTTAGCATGAGCAGAGCATGGGAATAAAAGTGTGACGACCTGTAGTAGATTGACTTTGGCTGATCTATACCAAGGTCTAATTAGAAAGCCTGAGTGAACTTGAAACAGCAAGTGGAAGCTCTGAGCAGTGACACCATTTCAACGAGGCACTGCTTCTTACATAGGAGTCTAACAAAGTGGGTTTGATATTTAAAAGCCTGAGCCACCATTCTCAGTGCTCACTCTCCACTTCATGCTGAAGGTAAGGAAGTAAGCTCTCAGCATCACTCCCCAGCCACCTCATCTCCCTGCCACGGCAACTCTGCAAACCCAAGTCCAAATAAACTTTCTTCTAAAAGTTGCCTTGGTCATGGAGTTCTATCACAGCAACAGAAAAGTAACTTAATACTCAGATCCCACTGAGAGACTTGTCTTTCAGAGATTTACTCTTTCACTCAAAGTACTTGTTATTTATCAATTCTAGTTGGAAGCCACCATGTCTTTCTTATAAGGATATTAGATAATGTGACTGATATGATATGTATTTTTATTTTCTTGAGATGGGGTCTCATGTATCTAGGGCTGGGCAAGAATACATAATTCTCCATTTCCTGAGACTTGGGATTATAGATATATGCCACTATTTACTATACATTTCATTTATTAACCAATTCTATTTATTAAAATGTGACTAAGAATTTCTATTTTTAAGATGTACATACCTATTAAAAAGCAGAACAGTGAGGTGAAGGATGACATCACTGCTACTGGACACTGTTGGCTTCATTGTTTGAAGATATCGGAGAGCCTGTTTGTGCTCTCCCTGACTCATAAAGGCTTCAATTATCTTTGAATGCTGCCACGACGCAGGTTTTGCAGTAATTGGGTGAAAGAGAAGGTCTAAACCATTCTGAAAAATGATGAAGTATTAAATATAAATACTTCTTTGTATTTAGACAAAGTAGTTGTCCCTTAAAAGGGCAAGTAGTATTAAAAATAAAACCAAAGAAGTCAAAATTAAGTAAGTTTAATGTAAGCTAAAAGGAGCTAGTCTATGGTAAGAGTTCAAAGAACAGAAGTATCATACCTTTAAGGCCTCATATATAAAATTCTTCCTATGCCCATTTCATGCCTCATTCACATGCCTCATTCACAAATCTTTTTTGGCTTACGCCAAAACCCAAACACATCTCTTAACAGTCAGTGCTAAACCATTCCCAACCATCCACCTGTATGCCCTCTTCTTTCAACAGCAAGTAACTTGAGGATTCAACTGGAATTCTTGCTGCTTGGGTGAGGGAGCTAAAGTTATACAAAAGCTTATATTCCAAGTGAAATACTTACCTCATAGTCATTATGATCTAGAAGCCAAAATCCTTGAACTAACTTAACTTGGCCCCAAGAAATAGCAAAGGCAGTTGGGAAAGATTCGATGGGAGTATCCATTTTGTTTGGAAAGGAATACATAATATCAAGTAGCAAATAAATCGTCTTTTAAAAAAAGGGTTAAGGATAATAAACTTAGAAAATCCTACATATATACTTAGAATAGGGAGTAGAAGGTAGAATTAAGAGGTTTTTAAAAACTTAAGCTTGTAAGGCCATTAGGGATATCCAGTTATGGAAACAGTTCTTTAACATAGGCAAAAGAAGTCCCATGCCACCCTTATTTATTCTCTGTATTTTAGTGCTACAACAAAAGACTGAACAAAAATATATCTCATTCATTAAAACAAACAGTAAATCCCAGTAACTGGTTTAGTAAGTTTAAAAAGAGCTATAGATCAAACTCTTACTTGGCAAAAGCTGGCAGTTTAAACAAATACATCAAGTACCTTATATGTTATGAACAAGCAATACATTAGACTAAAATGACATTAGGACAAAACATTGCCACAAAATGCATTAAGGCAGAAATAATGCCCAAGGCTGTATCAAGCTACCTTTAGAAAGCTGTTCATGTGTGGGCGTATGGTGTGTGGGCATGTGCACCCATGTACTTATGGGTGTTTTCAGGGACATTTGGAGGCCAGAAAGATAACTCACCAGATATTGTTCACACCTTATTTTCATTTTTTTGAGAAAGTCTCCCATACTGGACCTAGATCTTATCATTTAACTCAAATGGCTGGCTAGCAAGGCCCCAAAATCCATGTCTTCTGCTTCCTTAACACTGAGACTGCAGGCACACACCACTCCCTGGCTTTTATGTGGGTACTAGGGATATGAACTCAGGTCCTCATGCATAGCTAACAAGCACTTTACCTAAACACTGAGCCTTATCTCCAGTCCTATGAGTGAGCCCTTAGTGTAGTAATCATCTACAACACATAAACTTTTTTTCTCCTTTTAAGTGCTGGAGATCAAGCCCATAGCCTGACACATGCTATGTAGTAGTACATGCTAGGTAACTACCACTCATCTACTGACTCCTCTCACCCCAACTGCCAGCCTAAGACTTCTACAGCTAAGCCTTACCAACTGATTCTGAGTTAAGAATACATACTTAGATTGGGGGGGGGGGGAGATGTTTCATGAGACTGGATTAAATATTTGAGAGTCCCACTACTGGAATTTTATGATTTAGGCAATATACAAATACTTATTAAAAGTTTAAAGGATACAATAGTATGCTTGCTTGTTTCAGTAATGTTGTCTAATAAATATATGTCAAGTAGTGCCTATAAAAGAAAAGAAAAATGTCAGTGCTTTTTAGTCTTTTCTTCATGTCCCACTTCTCTAGCCTGTGTCAGGCATGAAAACTTCAAATACTCCCCCTCCACTCAGACTCTTTAAATGATCCCACATTACTGTAACATACATGGATGCTAGCAGGAGGATATTTTCCTGTGCCTCCTTCATCCCGCTTCCACAACTTCTCAACTTGATCTCCTAATTGAGAAACTAATCCATCAATCATCAAACAATCATGGTTCCACTTCCCTCTGCAATGTAAGAAACATTAAAGATTATCTGCATTAATGTTAACTATTGATATCAAAACAGTAAGCATTAAATGTTCAAAAAACAGGTGGGAAGCAGACTTCACTTAGTATCATGAGACTAAAGAAATAAAGTGGCACTAGTCAGAAAAATCCTTAAGTTGCTTCAAGTTCAGTCATTACCAAGCCAGCCAGTGAAGACTAAATACTATGAAAGAATGGGTCTAACCAGTAAAATAGCTGAGACCATTTTATTTTTCACCATTCTGAATTAATTATGAGCAGCCCCAGGTACTAAAAATATTTCTGTTCCAACTGAGCTGAATCCTGATTTAGTCATTCAAAAATGTATTACTGAACACTTCTAATGTGGTAAGCTTATCTCCTCACCTATCAACAGCAGCAGCAGCTTTTATTTATTCAGACATATACTAAGTGTCCTTAACATCTGACTTCTATATTTATATTGCAGCTTACAAATAAAGCAAAGCTTCCAAAGGATACATATTTTAAAACATGCCTAGTCAGAACAGGAGTAGAGAACTACACTAGAATTTCTGAGGTAGGAGAGTCAAGTTCAAGGTTATGCTCAGCTACCTTTAAGTTCTACAACATGAGTCACTGCCCAATTTCCAAAGTTCACATCCATTATCCTAGAACAGTTACACTAAAGGGCTGGTTTCCAAAATTCAAAGCAAATTAGAATTATAGCTCATTCCCAGGAGAATCTGACCCAAGAAATCTGGAGTCAGTGCTTGACAAGCCATCCCCTAAATGCTATTTGGTCAATCTAAAGAAGACAACTATCTAATTCCAGAGACAGAATAGAATTCAGGTTCTAACTACTACTTCTAGCATACTCCCCGCCCCCTTTTTTTTTAGTTACAAAGCAACTAACAAGGCTATTTTTTTTTTAAATTTTTATACAAGAACTACATAAAATATGAAAAGGAAAAAAAGATCCAAGTTTTGAAAACCACTAAAATAACCAATTCATGTTGTAGGAATAGGTTTTCGATGAGTAAAAGATTCCAGTCTTTTTTCCAAATAAGAATTCCTGGAGAGTGGAAGAGTGATTGCACAAATTACTGTGACAAATCACTCATGAATAACATTTTATTTAGGAAATAAGGGTAGTATGCTCTAGTTTAAAGTGCAGGCATTGGGTCAGACTCCATTTGTATTTTATTAATCCTACCAACCAATGAGCATGGGAGACCTTTCTAGCTTCTGAATCGTCTTCACTTTCTTTCTCCAATGTCTTACAAAATTTTAATTATACAAGTCTTACACTTGCTTGATTGGAGTACCACAAGATATTTTTTGAGCCACCATTAAAAGTACTGTTTCCATGATTTCTTTCTGTTTGTCCTTTGTTCAAAGAAAGGCCACTGATTTCTGTGTATTAATTTTTATCCTGCTACTTTGTCAAAGTGTTTAACAGCTATAGACTTTTCTTCTTGCTATTTTGAGGGTCATTATGTATACCATTGTACCACCTGTAAGGCCCAATACCCTGACTTAAGAATACATACTTGGGGGGGTGGTGGTGGGAGGGGATACATTTCATGAGACTAGGCCGGATATTTGAGAGTGACACTACTAGAATTTTATGATTTTGGTACTATACAAGTAGTTGTATATTACCAGCAGATAGATGGCTAACACAAACTCAATGGTATTTTGTTCCCATAAAGCTTTGTCTGGGCATTTTCTCCTTGCCCTACTGTCTTTTGCTTATATAATTTCTGATTATGTGTTTTCAGGGAATTTCTGTGCTTGTCCAATATGTGTTCTTGTGATTTTCCTTTGGGTCTTTTAAGTTTTTTTTTTTTTTTTGTTCATTTGTTTGTTTTGTCCTGATCAGGTTTGCTTTTACCTTATTTATTTTTGTTTTTAGATGCCTGTTTGCTTTATAATGAGAGCAAGAAAGGATCTGACTTTGGGTGGGTAGGAGGATATGGAAGGAGTTGGGGGAAGGAGAGCCAGAATCAGAATATACTGTATGAAAAATTATTGTCAATAAAAAGATATAGACATGAAGTTAAAAGCAAACAATCCAATTAGCAGTGTGAGTTACGACAACAGTACTTGGCTGGGAAGTTCACTTAGTCATTTTACAGTCTGAGTGTGAACGCTGTAATGAGGCTGCACCATACCTGGGCGAGTGCTCACACTTCTGCCGGCGACTGGTATAGAAGTTCTGAATAACAGGGTAGTTGTAGCGCACCCTTGATAGCTGCAGGGCATCATCTGGAGGGTTTATTGATGTTGGGGGGAAAAGTTAGTAATATTGCCAAAATATCTCAAAATTTAGGATGTTATAAAACTCCCTTTTCTCTAATTGCATAATAAATTCTTACTCTAGCTAAAATTTGTTTACCTGTTTGTTTTTCAAGACAGGATTTCTCTGTGTAACCCTGGCTGTCCTGGAATTCAGATTTATAGACCAGGGTGACCCTAACTCACAGATCTGCTTACTTCTGCCTATTTATTGCTGGGATTAAAGGCATGTGCCATTACCGCCTGGCCTAGTCTTGCTAAAATTTAATCAATACAAGAAGAACACAACCTCTTTAAAATATATATGTATAAAGTTGGGAGGGAGCAGGGAGAAAGAGCATGGTTAATCAAAATACATTGTATACACAAATGAAATTCTTAAACTATCGAGTGTTTATTTAAATACATCTAACAAACAAATAAATGTATAAGTAAGGAAAACAGTCTCATGAAGTTTGTAATAAGAATGCTGGATGGGACTTAACAGTGTGGAAAGTACTAGTAAATTTACTCCTGAGGCACAAAAAAGAATTTGAAAACAAATAATATTGACCATTTATTCAAGTTAGAATGTAAACAAATTGTAAACGAGTAAGATCAACAATTACATATATAGTAAGCAGAGAAACTTTAAAGTAGAGTCAACTGTACTTCCTAGAAATGTAAGTCAGGTCTTTGTTGTAAACAAACTCTATAGAAGGCAGTACTGAGAAACTCTCAAGAAGTCTCTAATTAATTGGATTAAAGGAACCACTTAATTGATGGCAAGTATTAATAAATATATTAATGCCAGCATGGGATATACAATTTTAATCCCAGTATTCAGAAGGTAGGGGCAGGTGGCTCTTTGTGAGTTCAAGGACAGCTTGGTTTATATATTGAGTTCTAGGACAGTTAGAGCATCTAGGAGGCAGAAGCAAGTGAAACTATGATTTTGGGATTAGCCCAGTCTACATGAGTTTCAGGCCATACAGGGATATATAGTGAGACCCTTTCTCAAAATAGAACAAAACAACAACAAAAGAACGAAACAAGACATCAGTAAGTTAGGTTATAAAAGCCATACTTCTATGGGTGTAAGTGATATTTTAGAAGTCATGTTTTCTCAGACTTGCTCTTATTTTACATGCTAATTCAATGAACATACATGGAGTGTCTGTGAGGTAATGCAGACACAAAGTAAGGAAAAATGAAGATTAGAAACATATTATGAAGGCTCAGAACAGAACAAGAACATTATGGAGCTAGGACATTTCAATCAATATTCATTTATTAAATACTTTACCTAAACCTTCAGGTAAAAGCCCAGAATGAGAAAACCACAGAACCATTTGTGCATATTGACAGATAAGTTGGGTAACCATATGCTTATTGCTCAAGTCCACCAGTCCTACAAAAAAGAATTAACATTGGTTGTGTTAACTTTCAATGTATTGACCACAAATGACAATTCAAAATGAGCATGAATACACATACATACATACATACATACATACATATCTATGTATATTTATTTTTAGTATACAATGAGCCAAAGTGAGGTTAAGCAAATCTCTAAAACATTAAGGTAACTCACTAACTAAAATAGGCATTTTGTAGAAACTACAGTTAAGTGTTTCATGCGAAACACAGTTAAAATACATTAAAAAATAGATTTTTCAAATTAGGCCTTTAAATAAAAGCGTACTTTTTCCCTTGTTGAAAGGGCAAAATAAAGACACTTCTTTTCATACAAAAATAAATGTTAACCTCAAATTTTAAATTCTACTAGTAGTAAATTCTAAGGCCAGCAAGATGATTCAGTGAGTAAAGACACCCGCCAAAAATAAATGAATAAATAAATAAAAGCCATAAGACCTAGGTTCACTCCCTAGAACACACATAAAAGACAGAAAGGGCCAATCAGAGCAATCTGGTGGCAGCTGCATAATGACGTGTGCATGCACATCCACACACACCACACAAATTACTGAAAAACTTTCATCTTAGAGAACTAGCTTCCTCTACAAAACGCCTCATCAAGTAAATAAGAACTTTAAGTGAATTAAGTAAAATTTAACAAGACACTCATTTGTATAACATGCATACCTCTTTCAGTGATGCCCTGAGCCTCCATTGCAAAACAGCTTAAGACTGTATTAAGGTTGCTGAGGAGTAAATGGCACTGCTGGATAGACTGTATGGTTTGTGGATCGATGAATCGACATGAACCATCAAATAATGGTGCGCCTTCCAAGGATAAAACACAAGGTCAGAATCAACATCAACGTACATTTTCTTCTAAAGGGTAATAGGCTTTAGAAATATAGGCTAAAATTGGCAAATATCAAGGAACTCAGAAAGTGCTTTCAATATAAAACCAGAGTCAAACTAAGATTATAAATTCAATTTAAGTCTACAGCTTATCCTCCTAACTACTATGTGTCATAAAATATGCATTTAACATGTGACTAATCTAAACAGTAATTAGCCTGGCGATGGTGGTGAATTTGTGAGTTTGAGGCCAGCCTGGTCTACAGAGCAAGTTCCAGGACAGGCTCCAAAGCTATAGAGAAACTCTGTCTCAAAAAACAAAAAAAACAAAAAAATCCTAAACAAAAATTTTAATTTCTGAGTTCCTTAAATCAAGTTCTAATTTGCTTCTAATAAATTGCTAATACAATTCCTTCACTTGAATATCATAAGAGGTTAAGAAAACAAACAACAATAACAACAACAAAAAGCCACAAAGTCTCTCTCCATTAACCAGCATAAAATTTAAAGCTTCCACAACAGCTGAATTACAGCCAGGTTCAGAGGCACATAACTATAATCCCAGTACTTGGGAGATATAAAGGCAGGATCATCTCTGATACATAGCAAAGACGATATGCTTATGTAGCTTATTAATCACTGTATTGCCAGTGAAAAGATAAGTTGTTTTAACCACTTTGTTTTCTTCTAAGACTATAAATCTTAAGATTTTATATCCCCAAAATATTAAAACTATTATGGAGCTAGATGTGGTAGCTCATGCCTGTAATTCAAAGCACACAGAGGCTAAAAGGAGGCTCAATAGAAGTTTAGTGCAAGCATGGACTACAGTGAGGTTCATGTCAGCCTATGTTACTGAGATCTTGTCTCAAACAAATATCCTATCTGTAAATAAAACATCAAGATTAGCTTTTAACTAAAATTGCCCTGAACCCAGACTTAATACTTACAAAGCCTGTCAAATTCTCCTTTTGTGAGAACCACCTTATTCCATGTCCATTCAAGAACAAAACGTAAATTAGCAGCAGAATTTGGTTGTTCTTATTTGCATTCATAAAAGAAAAAAGATAAAAAGGATTACTAACTCCAAAATGAAAATTAGTTCTTTTTAAGAGGAACCAGGCAGGCAGTACCTTAACCAAGCTCAGGAATTAAACATCAACTTTTACCAAATGTATCTTGGTGCATCTTATTGCACGAACCATGCTGCCCAAGGTACAAAACCCAATGGAGCTGAGGAAGGGTAGGGAGTCTTAAACAAACAAACAAACAAACAAACAGGTCATGAAATCTTTAATCCCAGTCCAGGTAGAGCTAGAAGGACCTCTGTGAGTTTGAGGCCAGCCTGGTCTACAGAACAAATTTGAGTTCCAAGACAGGCTGCAAAGCTACACAGAGAAACCCTGTCTGGAAAAACCAAAACTAAAACCAATGAAATAAACCAAAATCAAAAAAAGCTGGCCTCTAGTCTTTTAAATAAGACTTTAGAAATTTCTGAATATTAAAAGTCTGAAAATTTATTAGGCATGGATTAAAGGCATATGCCTTTAATTCTAGTACTCAGGAGGCAGACATATTAAAATCTGAGTCTGGGGTTAGCCTGGTCTACACAGTGAGTTCCAAGATAGCCAGGGCTACAGAGGAACCTGTCTAGAACAAACAAACAAACAAAAATCTCCCAAACAACTCAAAAATTCTTCCAAACCCCTCTACCTATAAAACATTTCTGGAACACTGCTAAGTTCTCAATTGGTATTACCCTTCATTCTGTAATCACAGAGTTTTTATAGGTGAGCATCATTTGTTTTCAGATAAAATTGAAATGAGTAAGAAATAGGATGCTTTCTTTCAAATGGTTTACAACAGAACAATATGGGGGCAGAGTGCACGTATGCATATGTGCATAGATACACATGAAGAGCAAAAAAAGATATACACAGTGTATCTCCAGCGAATTTAGCTGAATGGAAAGGTATATAAAGTTATATACTGCATGACTCAGTTTATGACCATATGAGAAATGACACTATAGCAGTAGAGAGCTCAGGATCTTGGATATGATACTGTACAAGGGGTCTGCTAGATTACATTACTCACTTGGGGGAGAAAAGTGCTATAAAGCATACAGAGATTCACGCTATTGTGAGATACATAATTATCTCACAAGAAATGTTTAAAAAGTGAAACCAAACTGTAATTTTAAAAATATAAGTTTTAAAAAGTTAAATAAACTTACCTTCTGTTATCCATGTTCTAATGTAACCAGTCAAAAGTCCCAGGGAACTTGTCTGAATTGCTGCTGACAATATAGCTTCTAATTGTTCTTCCTAAAATGTGTTAAAGAAAGCAAAAAGACTCCTTACTTTGGCTAAAGGCAGAGAGACAATAAATCACATGCCTAGAACTCCAGCATTGGGAGGTTAAGACGGGAGGATCACAAGTTTGAGGTCAACCTGGGTAAAACAGTTGAGAAAAAAACAAAGGACAGTATTAACCAACATTGGTGTGGAGGTGGGAAAATTGGAACACTCAGAAGACTTACACATCATGTTTGACGAAACCCACTAGACCACTAAGGGAATCACACACAATTTTTACATTTACTGGTGGTACAGGGGACTGAAACAAGAGCCCAGGAAACAAGAGCCCAGGAAATGTTAGGCAAGCACTCTACCACTGACCTACATATCCTCAGTCCTCATTTTATTTTAAGATAGAGTCTTAGCTAAATTGGACAAGCAAGCCTTGAATTCACTCTGGCCCAGCCTAACTAAACTTGTGTTCTTGCTTCCTCAATAACTAGGATTACTTGCTTCCTCAATAACTAGGATTACATGCTTACAATACTAAGCCCATGTGTGACTTTTTTTTAAAAAGGTGTTTTTGCCTAATGCACGTATATGCACCATGTGTATGTATGCATGGTGCCTGCAGCAGTCAAAAGAGTCCCCTGGAACTGGTGTTACACATGGCTTTAAGTTGCCATATTCCCAGGAACTGAACCAGGGTTTCCTGCAAGTGCAGCAATTGTTCTTAACTGCTAGCCATTTTTCTAGCCAAATTAGGTGACTTGGAAGCCAAGCATGATAAACAGTGTGAGAATATAGAATGAGCAAGGTACCACATTACCTACTTTTGCAAAAAAATATATAATAGATTTATATTAATATTGAAATAGATAGTAACATGCAATTTGAAAGAAAAAAAGAATATCTCACTTGACTTAAACTGGAAGGCTGAATGTCAATAAGTCTTGGTGACAGAAGACCAGCAACAAGACACCGATTATAACTATCAGGAATGACTTCATTGAGAGATGGTCCTGATTTCTTTAAAAATGTCAAAGTCTGTAATAGAAAAATCAGTCAAAAAAAAAAACCCAACCAATAATCAATTCAAATCCAAATTAAGAAATACTTTATATATTTAAAATTGGAGTAAAACAAAAATAACTATGGAAATAACGAAAAACTGACTAAATTGCAGGATCAAGTTATGGAGCTTACAGGTTCCTGAACTCAAAAAACATCTCTAAGACAGCTAAGTCACAGCAACTATTTACATGTGACTACCACATCTGCATATCCCATTGCCCCAGAAAACTATTTTTGCATCATTCCCACATCAACTTGGTATTGTTTCTGAGAAGAGCCAAGGCAAAGACCTCCCCAGGCCACCACACAAAGGATGACCCATAGTTGCAGTGGAGTCGTTAACCCTAGCACTTAAAAGGCAGAGCAGATGGACCTATGGTTCCAGAACAGCTGGCCACCTGAAACCCTGTCTTCCCAGCAACCACCCAGATGTGATAAGACACTGACTTACTTGGCTTTCAAGTAGATAACATCCACACAAAGCTGCTAAAACACTTCAATGTCTCTTCTAGCAAGCTGTCATTAAAACTGAGGTAGCAAGATGCTAAACTCATAAACCTAGCAGAAACTACTATTTAAAATGAATTAGTTTACAAATACCATGAGAGTTTAAATCCATGAAAACATGTGTATATTTATATTCAACTTCAGCTTGATTACCACGAACTATGTGTTGTTATTCATACATACCTCCTTCTGAAATCCAGTACAAGTTACATGGATTACTCCAGAGTTTAACAAACAAGTGGCATCTTTAAAAAGAAAAAAAAATTTAAAAATTCAAATTAAATGTTTACTGTAGGTAACCAAATTATTTTATAGAATAAATCACCATCCTCTTAAAAAAAAAAAAAGGACAGGGTCTCACTGCATACTGGCCTGGAACTCTACGTAACCAGGCTGGAATTAAAGGCATGTGCTACCACACCCAGCAAGAATAAATTCTTAAGGAAACATCTTCAGATATTTTCTTCTGAGACAGTGACAAACTTAATCAATAACATATTAACTGTCATATTCTAAAAGATTCAAAATAGTATTAACTTACAAACATACTAAATTTCTCATGTACATGTAACTACATATTAACAAAGTTATCTAAGTTAAATGCCAGTGAGATATGAACAGATAACACATATAAACTGAACAAATATACAACTGACATACTACATACATTGTACACTATTTTTCCAAAATACTATGAAAATACATACCAAAATTAAAAGTACTTGGATTAAAAAACTGCTCTGGAGGTGGATATGAAGGAGGAACCCCTCGATTTAAACTTCTCTCGTGTACTAATATGTCCAAGATGTGATGCGGAGAAGTTCTACTTACAACTGAATCCAATGACCACAATGCAAAATAAGAGCAATTATGTAGAGATTCTCCTGACCTAAAAGAAAATTTAAAAAGTACTGAGACACTGATCAGCTATGCATAACAACACCTGATGGAGAAGGGGATGAGAAAACAGAGTAATCATACCTTAATGAATCTGGCATCTGTGCATGATACCAACGATTTATGTCAAAAAGTCCTAAGTACACAGAAGGCTTTCCCTGTCCATATATATTCACTTGCCAGGTGAAGACAGAAACACTAGTGTCAGGGGATAGAGCTGCAAACAAACAAACAAAAAACCAACTATTCTTCAAAAACAGAATAAAGAATCTGTAAGTACAACGACAACAGAATCACAGTAATATTTAATTCCTATCCATCTATGAGTCTCACTTATACTCTTGATTTTCTTCTTTAGGTACTGGGAAGTTCTCATCAGAAAGGTCTTGGTTTTCAATCAATACTTCAGTGACTTTGACACACCAAAGTAGAAACTACAAAGTGATTTCAAAGAACATTTCCCCAAGGATACACACCTAGCACAGAAGTTTATCCAATACTCAAAACGGGTGTCTCCAAGTACTGAGGTTTAATTCTTTAGAGGAACATAGTTGAGAAGACAGCTAGCCAAATAGTGAAAAGGGGCCTCAGCAGAAAGAGAAAAGTAAAAACCTCAGATAACACTAATGGCAAATGAAAAAGGAAGGAAGACACGGACAAAGAATAAAAGGAAAGATGGCATGTTAAGTTTTTGACATGTTCAATTAGATGTGGAAACATAATCACAAATTACAACGTTAGAACTATGACACAGAACATCCGTGAGACGAAAGAACTCATTAAAATAAAGTAACGAGATACATGTGCAGTTGAAGGCATCTCCAGAATTGAAGGGGCAGTGACACTCTCCTTTAATGCTTATAAAAAGCATAGAGAAACAGGATTCAGAAATACAAAAGTCAAAGGCTACACCTGAATGGAAAAAGGATCAACCCTGAATGTAAACAAATCTATCCCAGGATCTTTACCCAGAAGACTAAAGAAAATGGAGGAGTGGGGGCGGGGCAGTTTCCAGGGAAACACCGCATGGCTAAAAATAATAGCTAAAGATAAATAACAAATAACAAAAAACACAGAAAAGAAAATCAAGTTACACTAATGAAAATGGAGACCACCTTGTGTTTGGAGTCAAACACAAGGATCACTCATTCTTCAGTTCCTTAGAATAATCCAGAAAGTAAGAAAAAGCTAAAAGCCTAAATAAATGACATAACCAAGAGCTTAATTTTCAATTGTCAGAAATATTAGTTCTAGAAACCTGTCATAAATCTTAAGTCATCACAACACAAAATAGTTAAGAGTACTTTTAACCAACCTTCTCTCATACTTTCTTCCCTGTCACCATGAGATGGGAATCTCTCTATACTCTGGCATCCCAACAATTTAGTATTACTAGTCTGTCCTCTTAAGGGGAACATGCCACCCGCTAGATCCAGTGTGTATCTTTCTTCACAGTATTCTAATCCCTGCAACATAAAATAAGCACAAATTTTAACATTATCTAAGTAAAAGTGTTCTAAAATTATTTCCATGATAAGTTTTCCACACAAAAGGCTTTAAGAGAACTAATCATTCCAAAGGCTACAAAACTATATAAATGCAAATATCAAGTTAGATTTACTCTCAAAAATAATCACCAATAACTGCTATAAAATTGTATAAACATGGGAGCACTCATGCACTAGTAGCTGGAGTATAAAGTGGAACACCATAGGCCAGCAGATCTATTTCTGTGTTCACATGTAAATTCTTAAGAGTAAGATTAAGAATAGGAATAAAATCATTTTTTTTTTTCCTACAAAGACTCTTTATGCAGCCCCTGGCTGCCTTTTGTCAAAACACTGAATATTAATTCTTAATCAAAAGAGAAACTTTTGCTCAACGAACAAGATTAGTTTTTAACACTTCTCCCTCCCCACTTTTTTGAGACAGATCGCTATATAGCTCTGGCTGCCCTGGAACTTACTATGTAGACAAGGCTGGCCTTGAGTTCACAGAGATCTGCTGCTACCTCTGACTGGTGCTGGGATTGAAGGCTTAGAATTCTTTCTTAATCAGATTCCCTTATGATCTAAAACCCAACCCTAAAACCCAACCAGATACTTCAACACTAAGTTCTAAAAGCCTGTTGTAGAGTAACATTCCTCTTTTAAATTTTAGATATTTGGTTAGAAAAATAAGCAGACATTTGAGCATTCTGATACATATGCCCTGATGTTTCCTCCATGGCGTCTGTATATTGCTTGATATATTAGAACAAAGCTGGGAGCATTTCTCTTGGGCATTACATTAGGTCACACACATGAACCAGTCTAGTCTCTCTATTGTGGGGGAAATACCCAGAAAAATCTAGAGCCCTGAAATGGCAACACAGATGAGAACAGTAAAAACTCGTGCTCACTAGCCTAATATTTCTCACTACATGAAGCAGACAATTTTAATTTGAGTAAGAATAACTTCAGTATGATAAAGCAAAGAATGAAAAACAGAAAACAAAAATCCCAAAATGGTAATATTCTAATTAACCACTTACCTCATATAAGATTTGCCCTGAGGCCAAGCATTTTCTATCACCAAAGGCCAGCTGAAGCAGATGCAAACTCAAAACATCTCCTTCACTAAAAGAGGAAAGAGAAATTACTGAGACACTAAAACATGGAGCTTACCTCTTATCTTCCAAATTTTTCACATAACACACTGCATGTGACAAACTTCAGTTGCACAAAACAGATTATTTTCTTGTTTGTACAAAATGTAATTAATACAATATGTAACATAGTCTATCATTTTTTAACCCAATATTTTTTCTCGGATATTCCTCCTCCAATTAGTGTATTTTAGTTTTATATACATGGCTGCCTAAAAATATCAACTGCATTTCCTACCTTCCTTTTGCACCACACTAAGTCCTGGCCAACAGAGTATGAACAGAATCATCCAATGGCAATTACACAGAGCATTCCTTCAGAGACATGCCCTTTTCCCCTCCACACTCTTACCTATGAAGGTCAAGCCCTACATAAGAAAGGGGGCTTTACAATAGGACATGAAGCAAGGCACCAAATGAATCATGTACAATGCATACATAGCATGAGGTGTGTTACCATCACAACATCTGGCAGTGGTAATATAATTCAAACTTTTCAAAAGAAACAAACTGTTCAGTTTCACTCCTTTACTGCTATATCCTCAGCCTTAATAACATGTATTTTTTAAAAAAACACAGGCATACAAACCTATCTTGTGTGGACTGAACAGCCCATAAGTAACAGCAATTACGAGGATCATTCTCAGGTTCTTGAAAAACAACTGCATAGACAGGAACCCTTCCACCTTCTAACTGTGTATAATACCTAAAACAAACAAAATAATATATTGCTTATTTTCAAGTTAAGATTTTATCTTTGGAGGTTAAAAAAAATTTCCTTCCGTAAAAATTCAAGAAGACACTGTTCATACATTTCCCTAAATTCAGTGATCTGGGGGACCTAAGTCATTTTATCTTCAAGAACACACATGGGACAATGAGACCATTTAGTCATGCTAGCTCTTACTCCCAGGCAGAACGGGAATGACAACTGCTAAATCACATGCATTTACTTATTATGTAATAACTAGCTTCTAAGAGTCACATGAGTACACACCATACAGTAAAAGAGACAGAAAAACTTGCTTCTTCAGAGAATCTCATGTCACCCAGGTTGCTCTCAGATTTGTTAGGTAATTGAAGCTAGCCTGAAACTCCTGATCCACCTCCATCTCCTCAGTGCTAGAGGTGTGATGGCACATGCCTAGTGCTTTCTGGGTTTAAGTCAATTTTCTACTATAAAAATAGTAGATGAGGGTTTAAGATGGCTCAGCCTATAAATCATATACACCAAGCCTGATGGTATGAATTCAATCCCTGGGATCTATATGTTGGTCATATGCACACTGCGGCACATGTACACACACACACACACACACACACACACACACACACACACACCACTTAGAGACAAAAAAAAAAAGGTGATGAGCAAGAAACTGAAGAGTCTACATAAGCAGCTTAAAAAGCATAACAAGCCCCAAAATAAATGTTAGAGAAAAAACAATACTTAAATAAAACATTTTCCAGATGTTGTTTCAGGAGCAATTCAAAAGCAGAATTAATAAAAGGGTAAAATAAAATATAACAGAGAGGAAAAGCTTGTAAGATAAAATACCCAAGAAAACATAACAAAATACCTGGGATTTAAAAAAAAAAAAAAAAAAAGATAAAGAAACTGAAAAACTAAATGTCCAATAGACATCAACATATCTCTTAACTAAAAACTAAAATCTGATGTTTATTTTTTTATTTTTCAAGACAGGGTTTCTCTGTGTAGTTTTGTAAACCAGGCTGGCCTGTCTCTGACTCCTGAGTGCTGGGATTAAAGGCATGCGCCACTACTGCCTGGCTTAAAATCTGCTGCCTCCATCAGTATTATATGCTGTTTTACTCCCATACAAGTTTCAATTATATAATATTTAAGGGAAATTTTGACAGCATAAAAAATTTACCAAGTACACGTAAATTGGTGCTTTTAATAAATTACAGGCAACCAGGGCTCACAAGGAATTCATACTATACACATATTTTAACCATACTCGATTGACCCTTTTCTTTCTTCACTTTAAGCTAGGGTACACATAAAACCCAGGGCTGCCTGGATCTGGCTTTGCTGTTCACACTAGCCTCCAATCTTCATCCTCTGAAACACTATAAACTCTGAAGAACCAACCTAAATTCACATGATAATTTCCTTATCAAACTACAACTTGATTCACAAACTTTTCTGTCATTTTTCTCATACTAATTTTCAAATAATTAATACATTATATTTTAAAACAATCAGTCATCAACTAAAAGAAAAAGAATTATACTTACTCTCTTTTCATGTTTTTCATATTCCAAAGTGCTAAGTAGCCATCGGAAAACCCCACGGCAAGCTGATTTGTCCTGTTAATGTAATTGACAGAAGAAATGGCTATCCCTGATGGGCTTACTAGCTGGAAACACAGGTGGCGCCCTTCTCTCATCACATTCTCTCTGATGTGTGGTACTTCAGCTGGGATACCAGTAATAACTTCAAGGTCTAAAATAAAAAAGACAATATTAAGACACTAAATGAGAGCAGGGTGGTGGTGGCGCACACCTTTAATCCCAGCACTCAGGAGGCAGAGGCAGGAGGACCTCTGTGAGTTCAAGGCCATCCTGGTCTACAAACTGAGTTCCTGGGCAGTCAGAGTTACACAGAGAAACCCTGTCTCAAAGAACGAAAAAGAAACTATGTAAGTCCCAGAAGAATTCAATTCCTAGACTCCATGTAAAGGTGTACATTGAGGTTTGTGGAGATGGCTTACCTGATAAAGACACCTGACACTAAGACTAATGACCTGAGTTCAATTCCTGGGACCCACATGGTAGAAGGAGAGAACCAACTCCTGAAAACAACCTAGATTCCCCACAACCAAAGAATAGATAAAGAAAATGTGGTATATTTACACAATGGAGCACTACTCATTGGTAACAAACAATGATACCTTGAAATCTGTGGGCAATGGATGGAACTAGGAAAAACCCATTCATAAGCGGATATTAGACATAAAGCAAAGGACAACCATCCCATAGTCCACAACCTCAGAGAAGCTAGGTAACAAAGACATAAATGGATTCACACAGAAAGGGGAAATAGACAATAACTCCTGAATAAATTGGGGGGGGGCTTGAAAGAGGAGAGAGGAGGAAGGGAGTGGGGGAGGAGAACATGAGGGAACAGGATGGTTGAGTTGGGGAAAGGACAGAGAGAAAGAGCAAGGAAAGAAATATCTTGATAGAGGGAGCCATTATGGGATTATAGAGAAACCTGGCACTAGGGCAATTCCCAGGAATACACAAGTATGACCCCAGATAAAACTCTAAACAATAGTGGAGAGGGTGCGTGAACTGGGCTTCTGTAATAAGATCCAGGACTAACTGTAATTGTTATCACAGAATCTTCATCTAGTAACTGACAGAAGCAGATGCAGAAATCTACAACTAACCACTGAGCTAAGCTCCCAGAGTCCAGTCCAAGAGAAGGAGGAGTGATAATATGAGCAATGGAAGCAGGACCATGATGGAGAAATCCACAGAAACAGCTGACCTGAACCAGCAGGAGCTCACTGACTCCTGACTAACAGCAGGGGAACTTACATTGGACTGAACTAGGCCCCCTGAATGCAGGTTGAAGTGGATCGATGGGGCAGTTTGTGGGGCTACTGGCAGTAGGACCAGGAAATTCTATCCTCAGTGCATGAACTGGCTTTTTGGAGCCCATTCCCTATTGTGGGTTACCTTGCTCAGCCTAGACACAGTGGGGAGGACCTTGGTCCTACCTCAATGTGGTGATGGGATAGACTTTGTTGACTCCCCATGGGAGGCCTTACCCTCTCTGAGGAGCAGATGGGAAGTGGGGGGGAAAGGAAAGGGGAAGAGAGGAGAGAGGAGAAACTGGGATTAGTGTCTAAAAAAAAAATAAAAGAGATTAAGCAAACCCCCCCCCCCCCCAAAAAAAAAAAAAAAAAAAAAACCCAATCCATAGTCAGGTAGTGAGGGCAAACACCTTTAATCCCAACACTTAGGAGGCAGAGAAAGGCAGATCTGAGTTTGAGGCCAACCTAGTCTACACAGTGAGTTCTAGAACATCCAGGATTACAAAGAGAAACACTGATCTGGAAAAACCAAAACCAAAAATACCATTACCCCAACATTGCAATGCTCTTTTTTTCGTTTCCCAGTAAAAAATACATTACCTGATGCCTCTACTTCATTTTGACTGCATGACAAGTCATCCAAACATAGGTCAATAAGAAGGATCTGTCCAACATCAGTTACCACAGCTGCCACTCCAAAAAGCCATCGAAGACTTGGATGTAAATGCTGGGTACTTGCGCTGGCTCCTCCATGATTAATTATAGGCTCAATAGCTGTTACCTAGGAACCAGGATATATGATTAGCTTTCCTAAAGTGAAGAAATACAACCAACTCTATAACAAATAAGACTGGACATTAAGGCAGTTTGTAACTTGGACAGACTGAAACATTATATGGCATCACAACTGCATGACTATATATATCCAAGTAAACAGTGAAATTCTCAGAAACACTACAAAATTATGCTAGTTCAACATAATAAAAAAGTGAAAATTATGTTTATTGATAGCCTAATCTATGCTAGTCATTTGCTAACTGGCTCATTTAATGTTTATATAATCTTTTTATTGAACTATATACAATTACCTGTTTAAAGATGAAGTTGAAGCTTTGAACACAAATTTTAAAAGTCATAAAAGTTTTAAAAGCTCTTAAGCAGCCACTTTAGTATTATCCAATGTAAACTAATCATTTCAGAAAACTTTAGTTTACCCTTCTATGGTGGTTTGAGTAAGAATGGCCTCCACAGACTCATCTATTTGAATGCTTAATCACCAGGGAATAGTAATGTTTTAAAGGACTAGAAGCTCCCTCTTTGCTTGTGGATCAGAATGTATTTATCTAGTTGCTGGCTCAGATACTTCTCTACCATACCTACCTGCCTGCCACCATGCTCCTTGTCATGATGGTAATGGATTAAGTAAGCAAGCCCTCAATTAAATATATTCTTTTCTAAGAGCTGCCTTGTCAGTTTCTTCATAGCAATAGGACAGTAACTAAGACACCTTCCAAGTAACATAAGAGCCAATGTGCACACCTTCCCAGACAAGATGTTTGTTGTATTTTCTACCAAAGGGAGTAAAATCAGGTATGAAGAAATGGCTCAGTGATTAACAGCAATGGCTGCTCTTCCAGAGATGCAAGGTTCAATTCCCAGTACCCAAATGATGGCTAACAGCCATCTTTAACTTCAGGTTCAGCAGATTCAATGTCCCCTTCTAGCCTCTATGGTTACTAAATGCACATAGCACATAGTACACAGACATACAAGTACGCAAAACATAACACATTAAATTTCAAAATCTTTTAAGAGAGGAGTACAGACTCTCTAAATGAAGTTATAATTACCTATTTTAAACTTTTTTTTTTTTTTTTTTTTAAAGACAGGGTCTCACTGTGTAGCCCTAGCTTACCTGGAACTTACTGAATACACAAATGAGGCTTGCCATGAACTCTAGAGACCCACCTGTTTCTACCTCCTAAGTGAGGATTAAATGTATATACCACCATGCTTGGTCATCTTAAATTAAAATTTCTGAAAGGGCAATTAAAATGTCTCAGATAGTAAAGCTGCGCAGTGATATAAGCCTGACAACCTGAATCTGATGCCTGGAACCCATCCATATAAAGGTATAAGGAGAGGGTTGAGTCCTACAAGTTGCCCTCTGACCTCCATATGAGCATATGATGCAAGTATACACACATACAATCCTAAATAAAAATACATTTTGTATTTTATATTGAGGGGGATAAATATATGAAAACACATTAATTGTTAAGTGTACAATTCTGAGTTTTTAAGGTAAACATATCTTGTAAGCTTTCAGCTTAGAAAGCAAAACTATCAAGGTATCTTAAATAGTACATACCCTTCCAGGAAGAACAACAGCTTTGACTACTCTTGATATACCAAGGTCATAAAGACACAGGACGCTCCCGTCTGCTTCTTCCAGTCCTATTAACAATCCAGTTCTCTTATGCCAAGAGAATTCTTTCACTGCAAGAACTACAGGAGGCTGTTCATTTACTCCATTGAATCTATATGCAGACAACCGCTCTCCCGTTAGAGAGTTTACAACTTCAAGTTGTGGCCCACAAGCTAAGCATGCTAGTCCATTTTTTCCTATGGAGGGGGGGAAAAGAATCAAAATCACTGTTTATTGTAGTAGTAGTGCAACATAACAAGTCTGGTAGTTAGCTCTTTTATATATGAATTACATAATTACAAATCCCTTTTGAATTGAAAACAAAGCATTTATAGACTAGCACAGCAATCCTCATATAAATAAATAAAATGAAGAGTAACTACAGCAGTAAAGAGACCATAATGGTGCCCAAATTCGTCCTGTTATTTACGTCTTACACAGCTCAGTAGAACATAAAATAACCTACATCTTAATGCATCGTTAACTTATCTAAAGTCACACAGTTACAAAGTTAACACCAGTATATTCAGGTAGATCCCAACACCAGGTATTGTGGCACACCCTGAAAAATCCACTTCAGTGGCAGTGAACAACAAGATATGAGCTGTGGTAGTTTGTAAGCTTAGGAGATAAGATGTAAGAGTTTAACAACAGAAAATATTGCACTCTACTGTCTCTGAAGTCATTGGTTAGTCCAAAGCAGGTAAATAACAATCTAATTTGTTTAATGTTACTCAGCCACTAAACAAAAGATAGACAAGGAAGCAGAGTAGATATAATGGAAGATTAGCTGGTGACTGTGAATGGAAGGTCTAGTTTCATCTAACAGAGAGAGAATAGGATTTGCTTATTGATGGGTAGATATTAAGAATAAAAAAGAATTAAGAACAGCCCCTAAACTGGACATGGTAGTGCATTTAAGAGACAGAATAAGAAAGGAGTTCCACAGTGAGACCTTGTCTCAAGGAAGAACAAAAACCAAACCAAAATGATCCCACATTTTCACATGAGCAACTAGATGAATGAAGGGAACTTTACCACTATATGGAAATGCCTATTGTGTAACAATTTTCTTCTAATGGAAACCCTACCCCTAGGAGAGGGGAGATTTGTAAAACCCAAAAAGGAAACAAACTGTACACAGTTGAAAAAGCTTAAACTTGTAAGAGTTATGGGACCCCTCCTGCTGAGGAGACTCTAACCAGAAGAATCACCTGCAAATTATGATCTCTGAGGGCTCTTTTTCCATATGGCACACATGCATACATGCAGCTAAAACACTCAAAAACATAAAAAAATAAATCTTTACATTGTGACTACCTACTATGTGAAGTTAGACACCCTTTAGGAAATAAGACAAAATCTTCTGAGAACACTATCAAGAATGGCTTTTTGTTTTGTTTTGAGATGGGTTTTCTCTGTGTAGACCTGGCTGTCCTGGAACTCACTCTTGTAGGCCAGGCTGGTCTTGAACTCAGAGATCCACCTGCCTCTGTCTCCCCAGTGCTGGGATTAAAGGTATGCATCACCACTGCACAGCAAAAATAGCTTTTTAAAAAGGGGATTTTCAGATTGGTGAGAAGGGTCAATGTGTAAAGGCCTGATTCAACCTGAGATCAATATTGTAGAATAGACTGACTACTCCCAAAAAGCGGCCTGATTTCCATATGTATATCACAGCACACTTGACCCTCCCAAAAAAACCAAAACAAATAATATATGCATATATTTTTTCTCAGTGGAAATTTTAGAGATTCATGATGAATGAACAACTGTCTTCTAATCTGAAACATGTACATCTATTACATTTTGACATATAGTCTCTTCAAAAATTCAACAGTACCACAATGTCAGGTGGCTGGTATATCCCTTTTGGTTTTGTTTCCTTTGCCATTTCTTCTTCTATAACTGAGAGAAGAAAATATGCCTATGTTAAGAATTCAACATGGTCTTGCCCACTTGAAGGCCAGGTAGACTCCTGAGATTTAAGGTATCCTAACAACACTAAACTAAGAGCTTCCTTAAAAAGTTTATAAAGAAAAAAAAAAAAAAAAAAAAAAAAAAACACAAAAAACAAAACAAAAAAAACCAAAACTAAAAGTTTATAATAGGCATTCTAACTTCTTGCAGAGAATTTTTTTTTAATTTCTAACTTCTTCCCAGATAAGGAAATGAGGGTTCTTCTGACTTATATAATACTAATGACTTGTATAAGTCAGAGGAAAGTATTGGGTGTCTTGCTTCATTCCCTTGAGACAAGGTCACTCACTTGAACTTGGACTAGGATGGCAGACAGCAAGCCCCAGTAACCTTTTTGTCCCCACCCCACACAGCACTGGGATTATAGGTATATAGCTGGGCATGTATATAGTTGCAATTGCTCATATGGAGACCAGGGGTTAACTTTAGGTATTTTTGTATATTTCACTGAACCTGGAGCTCCCCATTTTGACTCCAATAACTGAAGAGTGAGGCCTTTCACATGACCTGTCTCCTCATAGCAATGTTGGGGTTAGATATGTACCACTATGCCCTGCTTTTACTTATATGATGCAGACTTGGAACTCAGGTCTTCATACTCATGTAAACACTTTACTGAGTTATCTCCTAACCTCCGAATTTTAAATAAAGCAAACAATTAGAATCTACTGTGCCATAAATTTACTGATGTGGTCAAAAGCATATAGTTTTTACATATATAGTTAGTTATAGGTCTTATATAAGAATATTCTAAGTTGGTTTTTTATAGAAGCTATTATATATTACAAACTAATATATACTTACTTTACAAATTAAATTGGTAAACCTATTAAAAAGAAAACCTTATTGTACTTATGTGTAGGAATATAAGATTACCTGTGGAGGTCAAAGGAGAGTGTTAGATCTCCTGAAGCTGAAATTACTGGTTTAAGATTGGCCCAAATCCCAGCCCCAGACCTCATAATTAAGCAGCAAGTGCTCTTAACTGTTGAGACCACTCTGCATTTGTGTGTGTGTGTGTGTGTGTGTGTGTGTGTGTGTGTGTGTAGAGATGTGCATGTCCGTGAGGTATAATGGAAACTAAATCTAGGAAGAACTATAAGGAGGGCCAGGAAGCAAATACTCTTTACCACTGAATTCTAGTCCCAGATTCGTGAATCTTCAGCAAGGTTATTTACCTGCAGCAAACTTTCCACGAAGCACAGACTCTAATGTTATCTCATCTTCTCCAAGAGCTTCAACAGTCACTTCAGGGAAATGCAGGAGATCACTAGTCACTTGAGCTGTTAAGTCTTGCATACTTCCACTGTAAATATTTTTAAATAAAATAAAATTAGTATCATTATTTGTTCTATTGAACAGTATACTTCACTATTTCTAGTTAGATGAATGTGAGGGAAAGCAAGCCACATACAAAAGTAAATGAAGTAAATTAAAGTATCTATCTACATATGGGTCTAACATAGTCTATTTCCTAAGAAAATATTTCTTTCAAGCAGCCTTAGGAGGCTATCCTGAGGATATCCTTCATACCCATATTCTGTGAAAGGCTTCAGTGTAATTCACCTTACTGCCCAATCTTCAGAGAACCATAGCAGACACAGGTAAACAAGGAACAATCCCATTTTAGGAGATACCACTTCCCCACACTTCTTTCCTTTTCCTTTCTGTATGCTGGGAATTGAATCTAGTATCTCTGAATTAACATTTTTCAAATCTGAAAAAGTTGATTTTTCAGTAAAAAAAGAAACTCTGTAATTAATATTCAGATTCCCCAGAAACCTCTAAACTTGAATCTGATACCTATCTTTTACTAGATAGAAATGAAAAAAAAAAACTAAATTATTTTTAATTTCTTATGTAAGACCTGAAGCCCCTTCATAACTTCTGTTGTAAATAACCAAAAAGTAGGGCTGAGATAGCTCAGTGATTAAGAACACTTGTTGATTTGGGGAGTGACATAAGTTTGGCTCTCAATATCCACGTGGTGGTTCACAACCACCAATATAACTCCAGTTCCAGGGAATTCAATGCCTTCTTCTGACTTCCACAGGTACCAGGCATGTGGCACATATACATTCGTGTGTTCACACATATACACACAGGCAACATGCCCATACACATAAAATAAACCAAAAATTCTGTTTAAATACAAAAGCATCCTTCTGAATGGTTGAGATAAAAAGCAGAGAGGGCAGGGGTGGGTGGGGTGGACAATACGAGTTCTGAGAGACAGGCTGGCTGTGGTCTTGAATATTAACAATCAAATCTTGTCCTAGTGACCCTATTTTGTTTAATGCACTCCAAAGAGGCAGCTAGACATAGTGTCACAGACATTTAGTCTTGAGATATTTGGAAGGCAAAAGGAGGAAGATAACCACAACTTCCAGACCAGCCAGGTCTACATGGTAAGTTCTAGAACAGGGATATATTACAAGACCTTAGCTAAAAATAAAGCTCAGAGCTAACATAGTTTAATGCAAGCCTATGTTGTCAGAATTACTATACAAGGTTGTTGCTTCAGCAAAAGCCTCAATGTCCAAAAGGTATAGAAGCAGGAAAAAAAAAATAAAATCACTTGAAAGAGACAGTAAGACTAAGTTAATGTAGAGGGGGAAAATACACCAGATGGATACAGTCAAGATTCATAAATTCCAAGACTCACAAAAGGAAGTAGTAAAAAGGGAAAAGACTGGGCAGGTTGGATTAGAATCCAACCTGAAGCAGCCTACTATGTGTAGTTAGACTAAAAGGGAGAGAAAGAACTTGCTTTGTAAAACAAACTGGCCTCAAACTCTCCTGAGCAATAGGATTAAAGGTATGTACCACCACACATTGCCACAATAAATTTTAAGATGTAATTTTAAAACCCCTCAATAAAAGCTTCTTTTTTTAAAAGTATCACCATTTTATTATGAAGAACAAATTTTATAAGGCTGCTGGGCCATGGTGACACATGACTTTAATCCCAGCACTCAGAAGGCTAAGGCTGTTACATACAGAAAACCTGTCTTAAGCTCCCCCCAACCCAAGAAGCTAAGAAATTTAACCAAAATACCATAAATCAGTTTTTGAAGTGATATTTACACATTCCCTAAATAACTGAATTCTATCACCAAAGACAGAACTCTAACCTAGCTATTCAATAAGTATCTGATCTAAAAATAAGTGGGCCAATTCTTTCAATTTCAATCCAAATAAATATTAATCAGCCATTGCTTTACTTTTTGTTTAGTTTTCACTTTCAGACAAGATTTCAAGAAGCCCAGGCTGGTCTTGAACTCCCTAAATTTTGTGCCTCCACTCCACTATTGGCATGTACCAATATTTCTAGCTTCTACTTTTTTTTTTTTTGTTTTGTTTTGAGAATGGGTTTCTCTGTATTGTTTTGGAACCTGTCCTGGAACTAGCTCTGTAGATCAGGCTAGCCTTGAACTCAGAGATCCACCTGCCTCTGCCTCCCCAGTGCTGGGACTAAAGGCGTGCACCACCAACACCCAGCTCTAGCTTGTACTTTTAAAAACACTGTGCTTGGAAAAATAAAATCCAAGGGCAGAGACCTACATTCTGACCTCCAGAAGTTTATATTCTAGTAGAGCACATTCATAAACACATTATCAGACACAAGAATAAAGGCTACAATAGAGATACATATGCTGTGAAAGGAACAAACTGAGATTTAAAAAAAAAAGTACAGGCAAAAGGTGGTAGTTAGGGGCAAGATTTGAAATGTGAGAATTTTAAAAAGCTAGCATGCCAAACTGAAGATGAGCCTCGAAATGTCAAGCACCTTTTTTCAAGAATGTGAGCCCAGAAATGGTACTGATTCTATGGCCAAAATAGAAAATGTGAGCTAAAGCTGAATGGAACAGACATGCTACAAAGATCTTTAAGCTGACCTGAAGCACACTTCATTCTTGGAGTCCTTGTAAAATTATAAAGTTAGGATCTAAAAAGGCAATGTTTTATAATTAAGCAGAGATCTACACCCCAACTTTAAATGTTTACAGAATAATTAGGCTGTCTTACAAATTGGCAACATTTAAATACTAAGTTACTATATGCCTCCCGCTGTAACCCCAACTATTCCCAGGGCTGAAGCCAGGGTCATGCAAATTCAAGGACTGCCTGGGCTATGTAGTGCTGTATCTAAAGAGAAAAAAGTAAAGATAGTAGCTTTCAATGGTAGTTCCTGAACCTAACAGTGTGAGGCTATCGACTCAAACCTCAGAACCACCAAAAATACAAAATAAGTCACAGAATAAAGTCTTCACATTTGTCACCACCACATGAAGTACCCCAACTTCCGTCTTCCAAGAAGCTGACAGTTAAAGCTCACCAAAAACAGTTCTTAAAGCCCAAGGATTCTTTGAGATATCAAGAACCAAATTATGTTTTGTTCTAAAGAACCCACGTTCTTTGAAATACGTCTCCAACTGTCTTTTTTTTTTTTTTTTTTTTTTTTAAATCCCAAAATCAAAAAACAGCGGCTTGGAATAGAGCTCGAGCTCGGTGGTGGAGCGCGTGCTTAACATGCGCGAGCTTCGATCACCAGCATCAAAAATAAACAAAAATAACAACGCTCGTTTTCCTATAACAACACACCTCTCGAATGAAAATCGTTCGTTTTGGGAACCAAAAACCAACCGATCCCATGCTGGGGACACAACTCAGTGGTAGCACGCTTGCCTGGCATGTGTGAGAAGACCTGTAGGCGATCCTCTGTACCAAAAAGGACCCTTCCACAAAGTCAACAAAAACCACCTGTACCTGTCTGAAACAGACCATGTCTACCTCCCTATCAACTCTAAGTAAGAGCAAATATAACAGACTCCCCCCAAAAGTCAACCAAAGGCTTTGAAAGTAATCGCCCCTAAACCTCGCAGATGAGCCCTTGACGCGGTTATCTTAAATGCCCCGCACCAGATCCATTCACTCTTGTGGCCCACACAACCCGCCACTGAGAGTCAAACTGTCTTCCCCGCCCAGGACTCTCAACAAAAATACCTGTACCCGTGTCAAACAGACCATGTCTACCTCCCTATCAACTCTAAAAGCAAATATAACAGACCCCCCCCAAAAAGTCAACCACAGGCTTTCAAAGTAATCGCCCCTAAACCTCGCAGATGAGCCCTTGACGCGGTTATCTTCAATCCCGCACCAGATCCATTCACTCCTGTAGCACAAACGACCCGCCACTGAGAGTCAAACTTTCTTCCCCGCCCAGGACTCACCCTGGCCAAGCACAGGACCATGTGGAGCACATGCCAACGTAGGAAAGGTTCAGAGAACCTGCCACTGCCCGCGGGGAACGCCCCACAAAGGTCTCCATCGCTCTGCTACACCACGACGGGTCGGGGTCTCGAGTCAGGCCCGCCTCGGGTGGCCGAGATCCCGCCCGCGGGCGCGGGAGAAGAGCGCGGAGGAGCGACTCTGCCGCCATGTGCCTGCGCTCGCCGTCAGGGTTATATAACTAACGCCCGAGCGCTGGAACGAGCCGCACCGGTCACCGCGGCTCGCGGATGCCGCTTCCCCGCGCGGCGGAGCTCCCGGCCTAGGCCGTGGGCCTCGCCGCCTCGCCCGCCCTCCCCTCCCTGGGCGCGCGGGCCTGCCGCTCCCCACGCTACCTGAGCCCGCGGGCCAGGCCGCCGAGTGCCGCGGCGCCTGCTGCTTCCGTGCAGTCCGTCACAGCATCTCCCGGGAGACACGGCTCGGCGCGCGCCCCCGCCCGCGGAAGCCGCTTCTCGCTCAGCCACTCGCCGGGCCCCTCAGGCCCCGGGAGCGCCTTCACCCGGTCGCCCAATCCCGGCTCCGAACTCGGCCGCTGCCCGCGCCGCGTCCTCCCCGCCGGCGACTCGACTTACTGGGCTGGCACTGCGCGGGCCGCGCTCTGCGCAGTACCCCGGGCGCACTGCCCGAACCCCACACACAGCCTTTCCGCCGAGGGAAGGATCGCGGCCAGGGCGGGGAGCCGAGCGCAGATCGCGCTTGCGGGGCCCAGACTTCTCGCGAGGGTTCCGGCCTCGGGCGCCTACTCCGCGGGAATTTTCAAACTTTCCCTGCCAGGCCTTGCGGAAAGAGAGAATAGGGAAACAGCTTTGGGAAGAAAGGTTCGTGTACGTAGAGCAGGGTCTCCCCGCCTCCTGGGAGTGGATTGGGAGAAAGACTACAAGTCCCACAGTGCTTTGCGTGCTGGGCGTGGCGCGGGAGTGGCAGGCTTCGGGGAGCTCAGGGCCGGGGTATTCTGGTGGCGGTTCCTGCTACAACACTTGCCTTCGTGTTTTCCGTTCTGTGCTCCATCTTTTCAAGGAAAAAGCGTGCCCCAGGCTTGAGAAACGTTTAAGTGTGCTCACGCCGCCTAACATAATCTTTTGTCATCTGAACCTGGGTGTTTTCGGCTGATGGAGCATGTGCTTGGCATGCACGAAGCTCTGGGTTCCATTACGCCAAGCCTATGTTACCTTTTTGATTTGCTAGTATTGAGAAACCAGGAATTAGACAAACTCCCTGGTAGACAGACAGACAGGGAGGAGAGCTGTAGCGAATTATCAAGATAGCCAGTTTCTTCCTGAACCACCTGACTTTAGACAAAAGCCTGGCAGCTTTGTCTCCTACCAGCAGGGCCCCTGCTGATGGACTGGTTCAATAAGTTCAAGGCCTGATCAGAACACATCAACCATCATGTCTGTCTTCAAACTGACCAACCCTAGAGAGAAAGACTCAATAAAGACTTTAAGCCCCCAGGCCTCAAGAAGAGATTGGATTTTTCAGCTTCCCTATTCCGAACTTTGCTTCCCAAAGGGTCTTTTCTCAGTGTGTCTGCTGCATGTGTGTGTTCCCCACCCATAAATGCCTTTCTTTACTGCTAATTCTGCTCTTTGTTCACTTTGCCTTTTAATTATCTTCCTTCTTTTTAATTGTTTATTTTCCGAGACAGAGTTATCCTGTGTAACAGCAATGACAGTCTTGGAACTCTTTGTAGGCCAGGCTGACCTCAAACTCACAGAAATCTGCCTGTCTCTGCCTCCCAAGTGCTGGGATTAAAGGTGTGCACCACTAACGCCCGATGGTCTGACTGTTTCTTCAGGCTGATGTTTGTTAACATAAACATTATCAAAGATCCCCAGGGTAGGGGAAGTAGCTGGAGATGGCTCATCAGTTAAAATACTGGCTGTTCTCCTGTTCTCTAAGACCAGAATTGGATTTCTAGCACCCACAGGGTGGCTCACCATCTGTAACTCCAAGTCTGGGGATCCAGCACTTTTTTTCTGACCTCCACTGGCACCAGGTAGCCATGTGGTACACATACATACATGTAAGCAAAATACTTATACATATAAAAATTAAAATAATTTTTAAAACCCTTTAGACTATAAAATTCAAAAATCTGTCACATCATACCTAATACCCCGATCAATACACAACCTTTCAGATCTTAGTCTTCTCTTCCATCATTACTCATGGACTGAGTTTTTCCTTTGATTGACTAATCAAATAGCTGAATCAACCATATCTGTTCTATTTCCCTACAAACATCCTGATAATTTCTTTGCTTTTTCCCCAAATGTGTTTTGCCTTTTTGCATTCTTTTCTCTCCCCATTTTATTTTCTACCACTTAATTACATTCACACTTCTGTTTGTTTGTTTTGATACAGACTATCTCCTAATGTAGCCTGGGATGACTTTAAGCTGTTGATCACTCCTCCCCCACCTCCTGCAAACTGGAATTATTGGTGTGCACCACTGCAGATTTTTTTTAAATATAAATTTTTATTTAAATTAAAACAATCTTATTTTATATACCAATCCTACTTCCCTTTCCCTCCCATCCTCCCATGCCCCCCAACTCCCAATCCCACCTCTCTGACCAGGGAAGGTGAGAAGCCTTCTGTGGGGGATCATAAAAGTCTGTCATAACATTTGGGGCAGTACCTAAGCTCTCCACCCTGTATCTAGGCTGAGAGAGTATCCCTCTATGTGGAATGTGCTCCCAAAGTCCATTCATGCACTAGGGATACATACTGGTTCCACTACCAGCAGCCTCATAGACTGACCAAGCCCCCCAACTGACACCCACGTTCAGGGAGCCTGGTTTGGTCCTATGCTGGTTTCTCAGCTGTCCCCAACTGGAGTTTGTGCACTCCTGCTTGCTCAGGTCAGCTGTTTCTGTGGTTTTCCCCAGCATAGTCTTGACTCTTTTGCTCATCATTCCTCCCTCTATAACTGGATTCCAAGAGTTCAACTCAGTGCTTGCCTGTGAATCTCTGCTTCTAGCAGCTACTGGATGAAGGCTCTAGGATGGCATATAAGGTAGTCGTCAATCTCATTATAGGGGAAGAGCATTTAAGGTAGTCTCTCCACTATTGCTTAGATATGCAGGAAGTTTTATGTGCTGCCAGGGATTGAACTCAGGGCTTGGCACATGCTAGGCAAACACTGAACTATACCCTTAGTTATTTGGTTTTTGCTAACTGTCCAACTGGTCCTAAGCTTAGGATCCTCCTGGCCTCTGTCCACTTATAGGATTATGTCATTGCACCTAGCCTTGCATCTAAACCTGAATATCCCTGTGAGTTCAGCTCAATCTTTCCTTCCTGTGGCAAATCCTCTCTGTCATTTCAACCCACATAACTAAAAACTTGCACTGGATATGTGCTGCATTATTTCATGCCTGTTTCCCTTTTTGCCTCTGACTCTCTCCACCCACCCACCAACCCCATCCCCCAACTACCCCAGGAGCACAGACTACATCTTTTGAAAATGCTTCCTTGCTACTTTTTAACCATAATTATTTTGTAACCTTAATTTCCAATGTAAAGCTCTCCAGCTTTTCTTCATCTTTCATTCATTTAAGCAAATACCAGATTATTTTAATTAGTTTCCAAAGACAGTAATAAATGTCAAGTGTAAAGAGAAAAACCTAGGCTCCATAGTTATCAGCAACTATAGAAAGGCTGATTAAATATGTTAAGCGTTTCTTTTACATAACACTTCATCCTCTTTGACATGCATGGCATTTATCGAAACTATTTGACTGTGATGTCCACTTATACTTGGGGTAGACCTTGTCTCTTTGGCAGGCCACAGAATAGACTTGGGTAAATACAGTTGCAAAGTGTTCTCCTTTTGGAAGTAAGAATATGAGCCCTAGGCTTGTTGATGTTTGTCTTTAGTTCCAGCCACTCAGGAGGCTGAGGCAGTAGGATAAAAAAAAAAAAAAAAAAAAAAAAAAAAAATCAAGTTGTACTCAAATTTGAACTCACTAGTTCCAATCTAGCTTGGACATTTTAGTGAGACATGATTTTAAAAACTCAAAAGTTCAAAAAGGGCTAGGAAGCCAGAAGTGATGGCTAATGCCTACAGCCCCAGCACTTGGGTGACTGAGGCAGGAGGACTGCACTTGGTTTGAGGTCAGCCTGGGTTCCAGGATGGTCTGAAGTACAGATTGAGATCCTGTCTAAACAAACAAATAGAATGATTTTTTAAAGGGTCAAAGGGCTGAGTGTATCTTGGCAGTGGAGTTCTGGCCTGGCATGTCTAGACCCTCGGCCCAGTGCCCAATTCTGAAAAAAGAAAAACAGAAGAGTGTAATGATGTGGAGATACACTAAGTTGTAATGCTTCTCACTGCTTCTAGCTACATGCTGCTAATTGGATTGCTTCCCTTTCTGAGACTGTTTCTTAGCCAAGAAAAGGTAATCTGCAGGGATTGGGTCCTAATTCGCTCCCTTTTCACCCATGTAACCACATTTCAAAGCTGAATGGCCTGGAAAACAGCAATAGCTAGCCCAAGCCCCAGTGCCTCCACAGAAGCATTTTATTCAAGATACTGTTTGAACATCATTGATGTTGTGTGACTTGAGCTCCATTTGTTTGGCAAAGTAATAGAGAAAGGCACTGTTACTTTATCATTAACAACAAAAATAGAGCTGCTCTGACTGAAATAAAGATAATGGTCTTCATTCTTTATTTGAACCTTTACCTTTTCATAATTTTCTTGTAGAGAATGTGGGTCTCAAAGTCCACCCTAGATTTCGCCAATTAGCAATTCACGCGGTAAGCCACTGCTCCCTCTCTTGTTCCATGTTCCATTCATCATAATGTTGGAATGGCCAGCTAAAGTAATCATTTCATGCATGAACAATACCAGTTTCATCATTCAAAACTGAAAGTTCATAAGCGGCTCAGAGCCTAGTGCAGAGGACCCAGTTTCTATTCACTGTGTCAGTTGATTTCCATCTCCTGCAACTCCAGCTCCAGGAGAATCAGGCCTCCAGCCTCCAAAGGTCCTTTCACTTTCCTGCGTGTACACACACACACACACACACACACACACACACACACACACACACATCCCTCTTGAAATAAATCTTAAAAATACAAAAGGGAATCAGGGAGGGATGGTGCACGCCTTTAATCCCTGCACTTGGGAGGCAGAGGCAGTAGGATCTCTGTGAGTTTGAGGCCAGTCTGGTCTACAGAGCAACTGCCAGGACAGGCTTCAAAGCTACATAGAGAAACCCTGTCTTGAAAACTAAAACAAACAAACAA